CCACCTTTCACATGGGGATTTAGCACTGGCATAACTCACAGGATGCCCTGACTCTGAATTGTCTGTTACTTGTGTTCACACAGCACCTGGAAGACACTGTGCATCACTGCAAGTATTACTAATATTCATATATTCATAGAATGGCTTGGGTTGGAAGCAACCTTAAGGATCATCTAGTTCCTACCCCCTGCCACAGGCAAGGACACCTTCCACTAAAGTTGCTCAAAGTTCTGTACAACCTGGCTTTGAACACTGCCAGGGATGGGGCAGCCACAGCTTCGTTGGGCAACCTGTGCCAGTGCCTCATCACCCTCACAGTAAAGAACTTTTTCCTAATGTCTAACTTAAATCCACCCTCTTTCAGTTTAAACCCATTACCCCTTGTCCTATCCCTACATGTTGTTGTAAAAAGTCCATATCCAGATTTCCTGTAGGCCCCCTTTTAGGTATTGGAAGGCTGCTCTAAGGTCTCCCTCTAAGTCTTCTCTTCTCCAGGCTGAACAAGCACAACTCTCTCAGCCTGTCTCCATAGGAGAAGTGCTTCAGCACTCTGATCATCGCATGGCCCTCCTCTGGACCTGCTCCAACAGGTCTACTTCCTTCTTATATTGGGGACCTAGAGCTGAATACAGTACTGCAGGTAGGGTGTCATAAGTGAAGAGCAGAGGGGCAGGATCACCTCCTTTGACCTGCTGGCCATGCTCCTGTTGGTGCAGCCCAGGATACGGTTGGCTTTCTGGGCTGCAAGTGCACACTGCTGAGTCATGTTGAGCTTCTCATCAACCAACACCCCAAAGTCCTTCTTCTCAGGGCTGCTCTCAATCCTTTCTCTGCCTAGCCTATGCTGGTGCTTGGGATTGTTCTGACCCCTCTGCAAAACCTTGCACTTGTCCTTGTTGAGCTTCATGGGATTCACATTGGCCCACCTCACAAGCATGTCAAGGTCCCTCTGGATGGCATTCCTTCCCTCCAGCATATCAACTGAACCACACAGCTTGGTGTCATCAGCAAACTTGCTGAGGGCGCACTCAATCCCACTGTCCATGTCACCAACAAAGATTTTAAACAATGTTAAACACTGCTGACCCAAACACTGACCCCTGAGGAACACCTCTCATCACTGGTATCCACTTGGACGTTAAAGTTTTGACCACAACAATGGTCATTTACCTTCATGTAATATTGAAGCTATTTCCACAGCTGGCTTCCATTTATCGTTTTCTCACCCAAGCTTCTGTAACGGGAATTTACCCTTCACTAAACGCATATATAAAGCTAGCTAGATGGCTTTCTGTTTTATTTCAAGGTATCTTAAAAAGAAAGAGCCCTTTTATTTTGACATTTGTTCATTACTCACTGTTTTCACCTCTTATCACTGCTGCTAATACAGTAGATACAAGAAACAAATGGTGTTAGGCCATGAGTCTAAATTAATACTTAACATACATGCCAGCAAAAAACAGCAAACAAACAGTGTAACTTCAATCTGGTTTCATGATAATTTTCAATTTAGCAGTATAAGATAAAAAATAAAGCACTGAGCAGCTGTCTGTGTCTGCATGTATAAAAGCATTGGAAATGACTAATACTCGTGCCCCCAGCTCACTGCAGCTATTCTTGGCAGCTACTTCTTTTTTCCTAGCTTGCTCCTTGCAAGGGCAGTAAAAAAGTCAGAGGTAATGTTCTGTTTGAGAGTCTTCTGACCAGCCGTTTAGTATTGGTGTGGCTGCAGTCTGCCCTGCCAAAGAAAGAAATCTGAAAATCAGAGCTTGAAACACAGTAGAAACTTGATTTTTTTCCAAGAGGAAGGGTGGACTAGAAACAAACAAGAACTGATATTAACTTTTGAAATTTCACACCTACAAAACCAAAGTGGGAAAGCAAAAGGAGTTTCACTGTGATTAACATTGAGGCAGATTCACAAAAGGAAATAAATTAAGCAGCTTAGCTCAATAGATTTCCAGTCCTCTTAACTGAATCAGAACGTTACTCATGTTACCTTACACCTCTAATTTTAAGGTTCTTAAGTACAGTGAGTTTGGCAAAACAAGAAACGCAATTGTCCTACCTAAAAAGCAAACAAAATATAAAGATAAGGTAATCTGGTTTTCCACTTTTAACGTTTGTGGTTTATCCATAGACGTAGGTAGAAATTTAGAAAAAGTTTCTATAAGGAAAGGAAGGTTGGAAATATTTATTACGTTTTCCAGAGTCTCCCACAGGCTTTTAAATAGTGGTTTTCATTTATACATGACAATAAAACATGAGTTTTCAGGGTCTAATGACTTCAGGAAAAGCCTTGGAAGTGTCAGTCCACAAACCAACATACTTGCAAAAAAAATAAGAATTATTTCACAATTGTTTCCATCTTCTCTTTCTTAAAAGTCATGTTTTTCTGGCAATCTGGTTATTTCCCCTGCAGATATCACTGGTCCTCTTTCTCTGACTACCTGTCTCTTAAATATGGATTAAACCACCCTTCTTACACTGAACATGGTCGTTACTTCTCTACCAGCTTCTCCAGCCTGAAACTCTAGCCTACTTTTCTGAATCTCATACAACTTTCCTTAACTGCTCTGAACACATCTGAACTTACTTTTAAGTCTTTTAAGTTGGCCTACTTTCTTGCCCACACACACAGCAGTAAATCAGTCCATCTAGAGCTCTTGCCAGGGCATTTGCTCTTTTCCACCTGTTACAGCTTCTCCTCTCTGGCTTTGTGAACTGTTCCACCGACTTGAGTTTTGAGTCATGCTCTGAGGTAAGCTATCCCCCCTGCTTCTGCACTCCTTCACTGATATCCTCCCATAGTGCAACTCACAAACTGCTTTTAGGTCCTTCATAGCATCCATCCCTGTCCTGCTTTACTATGCAGCCATCGTGTTGTTTCCCTGACTATGCAGTTGCAGACATTCCCAGTGGGCACCATTCCCCCTGAAGGAGGAAGCATAGCAATGCAGTCTTTCAGTGCAATCTGTTAACTGGTATTTCTGGAGGTCACAGTTTGGGCACTCCCTACAGTAGCTGCTATTGTGTCCTGATTGCTGGCACTCCTCTCACTGCTGCATCCTTCATGATAAGATCTCTGAGAAAGAGATTTTCCTTTAACTACAAGTTCCTACTTGTCTGGAATATTAGTTGAAGAGTAACAGCTGCAGCAAGAACAACAGGATCTAACAGTTAATCACAACGTGCAATAAATATGAAGGTATTGTCGGTTGCTCACAATATACTGTGGACCCTGATAACTCTGAAAATACTGTTTGACCATTGTTGCTTTTACTGTTAAAATATTTTCTCATTATAACTGTTCTTATTATTGTCTTATTTTTCTCATTAGTTAGCAAGTTCTTGTCAAGTGTATCTCCTATTATCTCTGCTGTTGAAGGTACAGGCTATTCATTATTATTCCTTCCTGAAACTCACCTGTCCTGCCCTATCCCCCCATCCCAAGGAAACAGACTTAATTACCCACGTTCCTATTTTCTTTCTGGATTTCAAGTAATAATTCTCCACCTTCTAGGCATGAGTAAGTTACTTGTAGTGAACCATTATTGTAGCTATTGCTATCTAAAATATAAGCAGTGTGCTTCTGTAAGAACTCTTTTGTCTACAAGTATGAAATACCCATGAAAACAAACAAACAGTGAAACTTTATATTTTGGAACATATTTTATACAGGCATCTGCAGCATTTCTTCTTGGCTGATGACCAGCAAAACCATTAGCAGCAACTAATTGCATAGAAGGAAATTTTCTTCCACTCCTGTTTTCTAATTGCTAGGAAATAAAACTAAAAATAGACTTTACAAGTTTGGGGACCACACTACAAAAGCTGTGAGAGCTCTATTAACTTCTAGATGCTCTATGGCTTTACACTCTCTGAAAACCTCACTCACTGATTTCATCAAAGAAAAGATTAGGAACAAACCAAGAGGTAGATTTGACTCCGCCTACGCACTGGTATGTGTTTTTTGTACTTGCATATTTATTTGTATTTTAGCAAGACCTAGTTATTTTTCTTTAGTTCTAGTATAAATGATCATTAGGAATTGAATGCTTTGCTCCTTACTTACAGTGGGTGAGTATATGAATGCTCCATGACTTTTATAATATTTAATAAAGAATCTAGGAGTCAATTTTAAGCATGCCTGCCAAATACACCCTGACCAAATTGCACAGTCTTCTTTTCCATCATGTATGTCTAGTCCCTTTCCATGCCACTCCAGATATCCAATTAACCTTCCTTATTTCACACAGTTTGTATCTGTCCAGCTCCCCCACACAACCTGCTGATTAAATCTTCTTAAAGAGGAAATGCTGAATTTGCAGCTGACGGTAATTCCTCTGTTCAATCTCTCTCCTGAGCTCCCTTTGAAGATAAGATACTATCCCTTCTTCCCCTTCCTCTCAGATTTCCACTTGCCTTTCACTGCTGTCTCCAGGGACTGCCTCCAGTCCACATCACCCAGCTGGCAGTTTTGAAGATCCCACCCCCTCCTGACTCTGTAGTGCAGCAGCAGGTCCCACACCTCCATCACCTCACTCCATGCACCTGCATCAGCTCTATTCCCTAAGGACCACATCACACAGGCACTAATTTTGGCCTCATTAAATTTCATGCAGCAAGTGGGTGACTCACATTGCAATGATTTTGTATGATAACTCTTTTTCTTAAAATAATGTTTTCATACAGATTTATAAAGTGTCAACATAACTTGCTATAGGATTGAGATCTGGCAAAAGGTACTTCCTCTTTTGGTGAAGCTGGGTTTATTTGTTGATTTTCAGGTACAGAACTGTATTTCATTGCTTATTCAGTGTTGGTACAAAAGCCAAATCTTACCCTCTTGTAATAATTGCTTTCATAAAAGGAAGTTGTATCATATCTCTGTCACAATAAGGAAATGCAAACAGAACTTAAGTCTCATAAAGCTTTGTACAATTTCAGTGCATCCTTTATGGCCCGCTAAACACAAAAGCTGCAAACATGAGAAAAAGGGGAAAAAAGTGTTTTATTTTTTTCCTCTGGTGGTGCTGAAAATGTTCACTAGAAATCCTTTTTACTCAAGTATTTCTTTAGACATCTTCCATGACATTTAGGTGCCTAGAAATGCATTTCTGTTTTTTAACTTTTTCCTGGAAAATCTCAGCTACTCTGAGGTCAAAAGCTTTAAGCAAGTTGAAGTTACCAATCTTGGAACTCATGTGCCAAGTATGTCCTTCAGTGTTTCTTTCTTCTGGATGCAGGCCATAGTGCAGAACAGAGAAAGGCAACATTAGCTTCCACCTATAGCATCGCATGTGCCCAACTATCGTCATTTAAATCCCTGTCCAAACCCCTACAAAGGTCACGTTCCTCTTTCCTGCAGTGTTTTGTTGGAAAGAAAGCTTGGCAGAAACATGTAAGAATTTGAGTCTTCTCTGAGCCACTAAGTACCTTGATACAGCATTTGAAAGTGATATGAGAACAAGTGCAGTAGTCCCAGAAGGAAAATTGTGGTTTGGTTCATATAAGAGCTTTGTTATTTTCTCTGGAGCAGTGCACAGAGGGCCCTAGAGATGCAAACATTGCTCTTCTGTGCTCCTCATATGTCTAATGGCTTGGCTGGTGCCATTTTAACTGTCTCTTCTTCTGACTCATATCCCTTTACTTCTCCCACAGTGAACTGAGACTTTGGCATTAGAGCTAGATTTTCTGCTCTGGTGAAACGATGCTGCCTGATTGAATTTCCTCTTCGACCTGATGGATTGGATGGGCGTGCTCGTCTATCCAAGTGTGCCATTGGAATCAGCTCTTCCTGGTGGTGCTTTGCTTCAAGTGGTCGTAGTCGGGGCTGGGGTCTGGACATTACTGGGAATGCAGCATCAGAGCCACTTCTGTGGTGATCTGAAGGAAAATAGCCAAATAATTCATATTTTGAAGAGGATAATAGAGAAACACCATGGTATTGGCAAGGACAGTTAAAGGATATGCAATACCATACAGCATTATGGTTTTAAACCCTGGATCTGCAGTATTTTAAATAATTATTATATAGAGAACTAAGAATAATCCTAAATTTTATTTTTATCCCAAAGCTGATGTTCAAAAGATTTTATTGATCTTGCCTCTACCCTGAAACCCCAACAAGTAAGCACATTCAGCTGTCTTTTAATGCCTGACAGAGCTGCTCAATGCCTTTGCAGGGCAAGAGTGCTTTTATGTAGCTTTCAATTTTCCACAAGTTTCACAAGTATACCTGGTACCATGGTTGAAAAGCATTTTGAAACCCACAGCAAAAGAGAAAAAAAGTGATAGAGACAACTACAGTGGCATCAAAAATCAGGTTTACCAGTTATCTGTGATTAACAACTGGTAAGAAAACAGTTTCACCTGAAACCAGGAGTATGACTCTAGGGTGCTTTGATTACATTGGGTGTGTCAGACCTGCTCCTACCAGCTTGCTTTGCCACAAATACACAATAAAAATTTGCCTGCCGTAGGCCAATAACTGGCTTGCTCATTCTGTTGAGTTCATAGAGCATTTTCACTCTTCATAAAGACACTTGTAGTTAATTTAAGAAACAGCTTCTAACAAGTTAGGAGGCGTTGGGAAATAAACACAAAGTCTATTAATAATAAAATTAAGCTATACACTGCTGCAGTTAAAGCACACATGTATGGCCTTAGTCACAAACTCAAAAGTTGTTAAGTTATTGCAGTTTAATAACTATTACATTGTTTTAAATGAATGTTTACTTCACAGTTATCGCAAAGTAAGAATGCATGCACCAGTACATACCTCTACAAAACAGGGGAACAGACTGGTTTAACAGCAGAACCTGCTTCTCTTAGGCCATGTGGGCATACCACACCATAAGCAGTAAAACAGGATAAGTTGTCTCAGATTTGAAGGGCTTTAGCCCTTTATACTTAGCCCTTTGCGAACGTTACTGCTGCCAAGAATGATACACATTGTCAAAGAAATAATTCATTTGTATGAGTAGCAGAAGGAGTTGATATGTGGTTTAAGGATCTATTTGTGGTTATTTCTCACATTGTAGTTACTAAACTTTTTGCACAAGCTATAAATTAAGAGCTAAACCAAGCTCTCTAGAGGATGCTTGCTCCAGGAGGGCTACCAGGCATAGAGAGAAGAGGTAGCATTTGTCTCTGTAGATGCATATATACATATATGAGGTTGTCATTCTAATTTCCTACATTCCTTACATTTATTTTCCCAGTCTCTAAGTGCAGCTTATTTCATCGTAACACAGTTTATGAAAGGAGTTTGGGGTGGCTTCCTCCTGCTGAAGACAATTTAAAGTTAGGTGAATGCTACACAACTGACTTTGGATGGGGCCAGAAGCCAAAGCAAGAAGCCTCTTTAGGTATGATCTATTTGGATAGATCATAAGGTATGCCTCAAATTCAGGCCTAGCTATTAATAAAAAAAGTACTTTCATTCACTATTTCAGGATTTAGCTCTTTCCCCACTGAAATAATATTCCTGTCTGGTACAGAAGGATTTGGTCCCTTGAAAATGTCTGAAATGCTTTTAGGTCTCAGGCTGCTCTGTAGAACAATTTGAATCTTTTAGAAAGGCACATATCCCCCACCATGGCGTCCTGACAAACAGAACTGAAAACAATCAGTTGTATAAAAAAGGAAAAAAGAAAAAAAATCCCCATGAGTAATTTTATTTTCCCCTCTGAACGGATCCTCTGAGTTTCTGTTCTGCTGCCACCACGTGTGAGTGCCCAGCCCCAGGAAGATGGTTGCCTTCACAGATCTCCTGTTTTAATCTTTCGTAGTAAAACAGAAAGGGAAGAAAAAAACAGGTTTGCACCTGCAGGAAACAAACTTTGTTGTCCAAGTTTTTTATATAAAGACAACGATTAAACATATGGTTTCAATCTCTAAAGCTAACTTTGCTAGAAATGAAAAGGAGTATTTCTGAGGAACACAAATGCCTTTCAGGTTCACACAAGTAAATTCAGGAAGGAGTCAGGGAGATTACAGATGGAGACAATGATGAACATTCAAGTGTCTTAAATTCTGTATTTTCTGTGACATTGTTTTGCTGTGTTTCCTTAGACAGTTCGGTGTTGCTCCATCCCTAACTTCTGTCTCCTTACTTGAGAGTGCAGCTGAGGCTGGGTCTGCATTTTACTCTGTACATATGAGACTGGCTGATAACTTTATCCCTTAATTCCAGTATTACTACAGAAATGTTCATAGAGAATAAGCTGGGAAAGGGGGAGAAGAAACTAGGTACTTTGGGACAGACTCTGCCAGGAGTTTTTGTTAGGTTATGTGATTAGAGGCTCATCTCCACATGGAGATGAAGAGCCCCCAATACTCCAGTCAGAGGAAAGAGCCTGAGACTGTGCCTGAATCCATCACGGGGGGGGGGGGGGGTGATCAGCCCCATGGGCAGAGTAAAACAACCACATAATCTATACCAACCACAATGAGGTAGTCCCTGTGTGTGATGTAAGGGGAGAACAGGGGATCCAGGAGCCTGCCACAGGGAAGAGAAACCTGGGTGGTGCTGGGATGAGATAGAAACTGTTGCAGTAATGACCATGTAAACAACACAGATCAAAAAGAAAGGAGAAAAGGGTGTAGCTCATTTAAAGAGGCCAGGGACTTCCCTGGGAGTCCTTATTTGGTACCGCTAAATCCACTGAGCAACTGGCCGAGTTTCTTTCACTGCTGGAGTAGGATACAGAGTAAAGCATTGTCATTACCTGTAAAAGTAACATGCCTGGCTTTTTGTCTTGTGCGCTGTCTGGGGCCCTGAGGCAAGGAGAGGTAGCGTACTTCTGTGGTGTTAACCTGCGTATGAAACAGAAATGTGTTCAGTGCCTGTGACTGTGTCTGCCATTTGCACCTCTTTGGTGAGAAGGTAAAGAGGGATGGCTATATGCTTTTTCTTTTGTGCCTCTGCACTTTTAAAGCCCAATTTAGAGAGGAATGAATAAGAACAATGCTTGGCTCCAACGGTTGAACTGAATGTCAACACCAGTGAAAAATGTCAGTGTCTAATATAATAGCCCTATGGGTTTGTTTTTTTTTTTTTTTTGCAGTCAGCAGAGAGAAATATGTTCTTCTAAGATTCACCTTTCCTATTTTATGCGACAACTTTAAATAAAATCAATACACCCAGTAAGAACTTATTTCTCTTCCCTCACTGTGATCAACTCAGCTTTAAATGTGTATGCTCTCCAATGACTACCTTTGGTCAGACAAATCTCACTGATCAAGAGCCAACAGTCAGTGCAAGGTGTCAAGGGCTTTGCATCTGGCTTTTTGTGATTATACTGTTTTGCACATATCAAAACAATGCAAATTACATTATTTTACTACTGACAGCCATAGTAGCTGATCTCTTACCAATGTATAGAGGTAGTACATTAAAATATTGCTGTCACCATGCTAAGGACACTGGGGAAAGTATCCATTTTAATTATTACAAAAAAGCATATAAAAAGGTTGTCTGTTTCCTTATTTACAGAGAAGCAGAGGCATTTTTCACATAAACAATAGTACATGTAACAGGTACCGGTCTACCCCAAGGTAAGCTGTTTCCTTTCCTGCAACTCTGCCTCAGGCTGTGCTGCCGACGGATGAGGATTTCTTGGGCTTGTTTCTCGTTTGCACTGGTAGGCAGGTTGTGTCGATTGTATGCTGGTGCCTGAAACAGAAAATGCACCCAGCTGATTTTCTTTGTTCTTCCAATGTTAAAAACCTTGTGCAGTCTGGTTGATCGTGAGGCCATAACCTCGTACCAAATTCACTGCTGGAGATCAAGATAGGAGGAAACACAAGAACAGCTGTATGTCTTAGACTTCAAGGACTGCATTTTGATGCCATCTCTCATAGGCTCTTGACTGTTTGAAGTGCACTAGAAACATATACCTACCCACACAAGGTTAGTAACATCTCTGGGCTTGTTCTCCCTTTGTCATCCTTTTCCTTGTTACACAGTTGGGAGCTACAGATCTGAGACAGGTCCCAAGAGAGAGATAGATGATTAACTAGCCTTTGAGCCTTAGTACGAATATTACTGGGCCAGCAGTAAGTTGCAGATGTGCCCAGGAGCAAAAGACTAAGTTAAGAAGAGTACATCTCCAGAATAAGATACACAGACTGAGTTTCCTTTCCATACCTGGACAAACTACACCTTAATATCACCCTAAAACACAGTATGTTTTAGGACAAGCTTTTTGATTTATTGCATCCATCAGGTGAAATGAGGGAAATATTTATCTGTCTTAAAGAGAAAAATTAAGCCTTCTTAAAAAGCAGAATCTGCTCTCTGTCACACCTGCAAAGCTCCTTGTAAAATTGGTCTGGTGAGCCAGACATTATCAGGCCTTCAGAGTTGAAAGTGAAGTACTGAAAGTAGTATTGTTTTCATTCCTATCATTCATATCCAAAAGCACACAGTTCTCAATACCACATAGGAAGTGACTGGTGCAAATAGTTATTGCTATAATTTATTTTCGAGAGATTTCATTTAAGTAATCTAAGAGATGCTATATATGCAAATTATTGCTGGTAAGATAAGAAATTAATATCGTAAAGATAATAAGCTGTGGCAAATCAAACTATATTAAGAATGAATATCATATTAATAATAGCACACTTAAAAGAGCAGGGCATAGAATTTCCTCTTAAATATGTGTTACACGAGTTAGAGGTGTTTATCTGCATAATTTTGAGGTTAATGTAAAATATCTTGTACCACTCATTGCTGTAGGTGAATACTCAGTTCTCTATTCTGGGCTCAGTATTGGATTAAGTAGATATAGAACCAACAAGGCTGGAAAAGACCTTCAAGATCATCAAGTCCAACATTACCCCAGGACTGCCAAGTCCACCACTAAACTATACCACTAAAGGCCTCATCTACACATTTTTTGAACACTTCCAGGGACAGTGACTCCACCACTTCCCTGGGCAGCCTGTTCCAGTGCTTCATCACCCTCTCTGTGAAGAAATTTTTCCTAATAACCAATCTAAACCTCCCCTGGCACAGCTTGAGGTTATTACCTCTTGTCCTAGCACTTGTTATGAGGTAGAAGAGACTGACCTCTGCATCCCTACATCCTTCATTCAGGTAGCTGTAGAGCGATAAGGTCCCCCCTGAGCCTTCTCTTCTCCAGACTAAATAACCCCAGTTCCCTCAGCAGCTCCTCGTAAGACTTGTGCTCCAGACCCTTCATCAACTTCGTTGCCCTTCTCTTGACCTGGTCCAGTATCTCAATATCTCTCAGTAACTCAATATTCACTTGGCTGCATCAGAGGCAGTACAAATTTCTGGAAAACAAATCCCTGCTGAGTTATTATCACCCTCATTTTATGGGGGAAGGAACCCAAATGTGTAAAGTAAAGTTCCAGAAGAGGTGGAATAGTTATTTATTTTTCCCCTTTCTTCTCCTGTGGCGAGGTTAAGCTGTTGGTCCCATACAGACAGAGGATTTACCAGCCTTTCAGCTGTCTTTGAGCTATGCAGTATTTACCACTGCTGGTCCATCACCTCCACAGGGTGGATCTTCACTGCTGCTGGCTACCCCACAGCCCACCACCCCCCACAAAAGCCTGCACTCGTCCCCACGTACCAGGTAGCTGGATGATCAGCATCAGTAGCTGGTTGCCCAGCACTGATCCAGCCTAGCCATCCAGTGCACAGGCCGTGCATGCCATGGGGACAGAGCATTTGGCAGCCTGGAGATGGTGGTTCCCGAATCACGGGTAGCTGTGTAGTGAGGAAAGCCTGACCTCTACAGCCCAGTCACAGATTTTCCTGGCTTTCCATGTTGTTGCCAGGGTGAAAAGCTGATGGAGAAAACTCACTTTCTCTCTATACCCAGGAATGTGCCTCAAGCCAGGGCTTCTTCCCCTCCTTCCTTTCCCTGGGCGGCTCTAGGGTCGGAGCACCTCAGGGCACTAGGCTCACATCTCCCACCAGCGTTGACACCAAGGCTGGTCCTGGTGCTACCACCTGCCATGGCTGTGATATGGGGAGGGCAAACAAGTGCTTTCAGTCTGCAAACAGTGAGCGATACCAGGTCGTTTACACACCCTTTGTCGCACTTGGTATAGGTTATGTGCCAAGACGTCTCTCATGGACTTCATCTCTGCGTGGGAGAGCCTATGCACACGGCGATTTCTACCGTTCCTGTAAATAAAAGAGAAGTTTAAATATTACATTAATGAGTTGATTAAATACTATTCCCATGAAATGATTCATGATCTATTTTTAGTACCAGAACACAAGACTCTTCAGCCTCTTTGTGACCAGTGACACCACAAAATCATTCAAATATTAATAAAAATGTCATATTTTACTCTTTCCTGGGTTTTATCAATATACTGGGTAGTCAGAATGGGCCCTAAACCTTCATACAGCTGCTAGTAGAAACTCTTTTTTTTTTTTTTTCCCCTCAAAGCTTTGTGAGGAAGTTTGTATTTAAGGATCAGATTGGGCAACAACCAGCAGTGCATTCAGGAAGCACTGCAAGTTTCCTCCTCTGTCTGAATACATTCTTCAGCACGGTCTAGCAGTCTGGGCCCTGCAGACCTAATGGTTTTAACTCATTTGAGAAAGCGCAGTAGATCCTTTAGAACTAAGAGCACAAGACACCCACCCTGTGGTGAGGAGAACATGTAGGGTTTCCTTGCTACTGAGCCTGGCTCTCCATTTAAAAAGAAAGAACTACCTGAAAGATAGTCATCTTTGTATTTTTAACAAACTGTGACAAGAAGCTCAAGTCACTTGTAGCTGCCCGGCTCTTTCACTAGCAAAACAATGGAGGAGGGCTACTGTGAAATGTTAACTGGTTCTGCTAAATAGGTTGATATGTGTGAGAGTAGGATACAGCTCAATTCCCAAGAAAACAAAGGGAATTAGATAGTGACCATTCAGAATGAATCAGTGTTCCTCTTGTTTCTGTGTTTTGTTTTTATTTTTATTTTTCCCTTCTCCATTTGCTTTCTTGACTTATTATTTTTAATGAAATTTCAAATCTTTGTTCTCAGCTAAGGGATGTCCTTAGAGTGTCATCTGTAACTGTGCAATTAAAGGATGGATTATCATCAATGTACTGTATTGTCAAAGCTTTGTGTGCGTTTACTTTTTGCTCTCTACAATAAATCAAAAACTTTTAACAAAAGTTAAAACAAAGGAAGATGCATTCAAGCTAAAATGAGTTTATGCTGGAAACATAGGAAAAAGGTTGGGATTTGAAATTGCCACTAGTTTAACAAGATTACCACTGTTTTTGTGCTATTGACAAGCCAAAGTGAGTGAATAGGACTCAGTTTCTGGATTTGACCAGAAAACTTATCCTGGCCCTAATGAATCCTTCCCAACAAATGTTTAATTGATATTTATCAATTCTCAATAGCACAACAAAGTTGGGTATTTACCAGCAGGGAAGAAAGCCCAGCACCACCACCCAGTTCCAGGCCAGCTGGGTGGTTGGTTGTTGTGTGGGTTTTCACTTGCTTTCAGCTCTCAGGAATAACACTGAGAGGATCCAAGGATACCACCAAGTTTCCAGGCTTAGGTGTAATGCACCTTTATAACATATCGGGTCTGGTGTGTTGCAGGCTGTGGGACAGTCCATGTATGCTACTTTCCACAGCACGGAAACCAGTCTCTTTGGATAACAGAGAAATGTGAGGTACACCTGGGAAAGCGAACACAGACCCAGCCTCCTGGGGACTAATGGCAATCTAGCCTGTCAGTGAGAAGTTGTCTATAAAATGCAGGCTTTGCTCATTAGTGTAATGCAAATTGAACTGACATAGTTGATGCAAGCAGCTTTGACGTCATACAGATTAACTGTCTCTCTGATCCGCACTTCAGTGAAAATCTGCATAGGGTCTGTATACCTTACAGTTGGGAATAGATGGGGGAAAGCAGCTAAGTAAGTAGGGGATAAGCAGAACTCTGCTAGGAAGACATCAGATCATCTCTTTACTTTTCTAGTTACATACCTGACCCTCCATATGCCAGCACAGAAGTGACCAGTTCTGTCATTTAAAGGCTCATAATTTTGTTTTTAAGGTAACTTAAATAGAATAAATAAAATTCCCTGAATTCCAGCTGAGCTGGGATAGCAAGAGAACAAACGGTAGGAAGATAGTCTGTATTGTTCTGAAGCATAAATTGAAAACATGCACTATTTTAATGGAATTTAATACTAACCTACAATGCACAGGTGCAAGGAACAGATTTCTTTTGCATTTTGCAATATACAATGAATTTAAAGATAACAAAAAAAAAAAAAAAGCCCCAAACCCACTAAGCAATCCTTATTGAAACAACTTCTTTGTTCTTAGTGAAACTTCCAGCATGTTACGACAAAACACCATGCAGGAAATGTATTTGTGAAGAAAATAAAGAAATTATTGTACGCCATGAAAACCATCTTTCTGTAATGAGTACCATGGCAGTATCTCTTCTTTATATCTGTAGACAGCTGACTCATGGAGGAAACAAAATGCCTTCCACAAACCTTGTAAGATTATTTGGTATGTGTTATATCTAAAATCTTGAACTTTGTGAAGTCTCCACCAATCTTCACTAGTCCTGTGAAGGAAGTACGGTTCATAGGGCACAGTCCTTGCAGAGCTGCATCACCACAAATGACAACATGACACTTGATTTTGACCTGAGCTGTATTGATGCATTGTAAGATTTACTCTTGTCAAAGTCAGTATTGCAGCAATATGAAGCCAACAGTAAGTAAGCTAAGCATCAATCCATCTCTCTGTGTAATGGGCATATTTCCTCCAAGAAACAGCCATACAGTTTTGATAATATCTGCTCAGCACCGCTTTTGCAATTTCTATCTTTATTTCTAAGGCTTATATTCTACAAAACACTGCAACAAAATGCTCTATTTTCGTTCAAATGTGAATTCTTTGTTGCACAGTCCATGGGTAAATTTCGCCACTGGAAACACTGCATATCGGACACCTTCTCCGCCTGCAGGAATTACACCAGCATGAATGCAATTTCTGAGAATAATTCTGATTCACAGAGATGGAGATCCACTTTGATTGTTATAGAGCATTTCCCCTCCTGTGCCTAAAGGTTGCAGAACTGATCAAAAGTGCTAGTGAGGGAGTACTACTCTGTGCGAGAGAGTGCCAGAGAGCACTACTCTGGCACTTCAAATATTGTTTTACAAGCTATACATTGGAATTTTATTTCAAATCTCCACTTGCTTACAGACAGATTTTTGTATCCTCACTGAAGTCAGAGACTTTAGGTACAAGCTGTTTCATTGATAACTATCAAGCAATTTACAAATGCATTTACAAACCTTTTAGTCTTAAGCAGGTTCACTGAATGGGTCAGGAGAATGAAAAGAACTGCTGCATTTGCTCAGACCAAAGATCCAACAACTAGCTCACTACCGTGTCTCTTCCAGTGCTCAAACCTACCAATGAACAGAGCTGGGAAAACATATATTCCCCTAGAACACTCTCACAGCCTCCAAGAATCATGTTTCTGTGCCACAGTCTGCACTTGTCTTTTTAAAGTTGACACTTCATTTTTAAAAAGGCTGTCTCAGTAGGAAAACCTGTGCATCAGAGGTTGATGCACAGTAAAATTCAATTGCAGCCAGAGTAGAGACAGCAAAAATTAGACCATCATTATCAGCTGTTTATCATAGAATATTTTTCAATCTAAATTCTCAGCTCAGGAGAGAATTGTTGAACTATACTGAAGCCTTTTGTCTTATTTTCTCTTTCACTCAAGAAAATAAGAGAAATATGATTTGATTGCCATAAATTGTCTACCAAACATGCACATTTTGTCTTGGCTCAGAACAGTTAAGGGAATACAGCAGACAGAAAGGAGCCTGACAGACAAGCAATCTTTTTAATATCAACTGTTCAGCAAAGAACGTCTGTTAGATGCCAAGTTTTAATCTGCAGGGACAACTTCAACTAGATCAGGTTGCTCAGAACCCCATCCAGCCTGACCTTGAATGTTTCCAAGGGTGGTGCATCTACCAAATCTCTAGGCAACATGCTCTAGTGTTTCACCACCCTCAAAAAAAATTTCTTCCTTATATCTAGTCTAAATCTACCCTCCTTGAGTTTAGAACTATTACCTCTTGTCCTATAGCTACATGGCCTATTAAATCTCTGTTCCCATCTTTCTTATAAGCTTGCTTTAGGTATTGGGAGGCCACAGTCAGGTCTCCCCGGAGCCTTCTCTTTACCAGGCTGAACAACCCCAACTCTCTCAGCCTTTCCTCATAGGAGAGGTGCTCCATTTCTCTGATCACTTTTATGGATGCTCTCTAACAAGTCCATGTCTCTCCTGTACTGGGTGCCCCAGAGCTGAACACAGTAATCTAGGTGGGGTCTCATCAGAGCAGAGTAGAGGGGCAGAATCACCTACCTTGACCTACTGATCATGCTGCTTTTGATGCAGCCTAGGATATGTATGGCTGACTTTATGGGCTGCGAGCTTATGTTGCTGGGTACATGTCCAGGTTTTAATCCACTGGTACCCCCAAGTCTTTCTCTGCAGGGCTGTTCTCAGGATTTAATTGGACGAATTTTGCAAGGAAGTACCAAAACAGGACAAGACAGTTTGAAAGACTGCAAACTGAAGTAGCAATGATTGCAAATGTTACAAGGCAATATGCTTTTAATAAAAATCTGTGATAGAGATAATACAGTTGGGATCTGGCTCCAAGCTCTCCTGCAGGTCTCTCATCACCTGTCACTGATGAGCAAAACCCACTGGCCAGCTTGGTGACAAGTACAGCCACCTTGAACCACTGCTGTGATGTAAAGCAGCCAGAGCAGCTTCTGTACCTGACTAATGATTCCTCTTCAGAACTGCCTATCATTAAAGAGAAACAGAAAAAATATCCCTGGTTTTAATTTTCACTCTGCAAATAAAAAACCAAAGTGCAAATATGATGAGCACCAAATTGCCAGCACAAACCAGCAACTTCTCTTTTCATAACTGTATTTCCCCCCCCATGTATTTCTATTTAAGTCATAAAATCCCTTGGGTATTTCCTCATTTTTGTCCCTGTCCTTCCTGCACCTACACTAAAAAGGAGTCAGGAAGTCAGTACTCACTGTGAAGAAGCTGCAGGTGTTTCTGAAAGTTTCATGCTACTCTCAGCCATCTCAATGGCCAGTTTTATCTCCATCTTTTTGTACAACGACACAATGCTGGATTTGGGCTGGTGTTCCCGAATTAAGATTTTCTTCAAATACTTATTATCAATCTTCTTAAATCTGCAAAAGAGATAGATGTTAAGATCAAAGAGTTAAAAAAAAAAAAAGAAATGTGGGGTTTTTATTTTGAGGCACAAGCTGACCTTCATTCAAATGCACACATACATAATTCAGTGATAGAAACTGAATTCAAATTGGAGGCACCTGTGGACTCCTAAAGGCCTAGTGAGTGGAGACCTTTAGAGGGGCATTTGGCATGTTCTGCTGGTCCACAGAGATTGCAAAGCCCACCAGACAAAAGAAAAGAAACAAGCTGCAATCAGAGCAAAAAGAGGCTGGGTCCATGTTTGCATGTAACACCGCCACATTTGTTGGAAAAGAATATGGACAGTCTCCTTGCTTTTGTACAAATGTTGTATTCTAGTAGGGCATAACAGCAGCAGCTGCTCTTACAGCAATCCTGGCCTATTCAGCCAGCCACCAATGAGTCTTTAAATGGCCCAGCAGTTACAGTAGTTTGGGTCCATTATGTTGCTGATAATTTTGTATCCTGACAATTACAGCAGAGAAAATACAGTTCTTTGTATTCTGAATAACAGAGAGATTGAATGGCCCACAAAATACTATGTGCTTGCATACTGCAGACTGTAAAATATCAGTAATGTGGGGCAAAATTTGAATGTGAATATGTTGTGTGTGGCTTTGGAACAGGTATGTGCTTTCAGGCAGGCATTTAATAGAACAACAGCGGATCTTCTTATATGTTTCTTTCAAAGCTACAGTTTACCACAGCAAGGTAATGTGGTCCACAATGCTAGGAAAAATACTAGAGAGTTTATACATTTTTTTTCTTAACAAAAGCTAGTTTTTATACATAATAGCAGAAATAGGTACACAAATGTTTCCACTGGGGTATCTGTTCTTCTTCATGTTTTTCTGTTGCAGAAAGCCTCCTGGAATGTCATCCCTTAAGTAATGAATTCTGACATACATATGCTAACCCTCTTTAAAGTTGAGTAGAAACATGTAGGGGATTACCATTTAATACAATCATCTTCCATTAAATGCCTTCACATACACTGTGCTTTTCTGAATCTGTCCCTGAACTGAAATTCTGTTCTTATGTCTAGCTTAGACAAAATACTCTTTTCGTAGCTGTTGGGTAGATGTGAGATAAGGGGATAACATTTTCTCACAAATGTGAGTAAATGCAGCTATTCCAATGGAATTACTGTTCCAACTAGGATTTGTTTATCTTATTGACTGCACAGGCAATGGTGTGATCCCAGCAGGTGGCCTAAAGTTCAATCTGTACTGTGAGAGACAAAAGAACATTTTATTTTCTGGTTCCAGGTATGTGCCCTAGCATATTACGTGTTTACTCCTCACCAGGACAAGAACCAGATACAAACCAGCCACCTTCTTCCCACTCTTAAGTCTTGACTTCCACAGGGAGAGACCCAGTCATGAAAGGAATCCCAACAGACCCCTCTGGTGATACTGGGGTCCAGTGCTGAAAGGTGAGACAGAGGAATCCAGCACAGAAGTCTAGGCATAACTAGGATAACTAGGGATAACTTTTAGCCCACAACATCATAATAAGATGTCTGTGGGAAAGGAAGATTAGTGTTTCACACACTTCCTTTCACGTGCTACAGTGATGGCCAACATGTTCACAGTGCTCCCTTAAGTTCCCTGGTAAAGGGAACAGCAGCTCAGAATGGCAGGCCTATCACTTCTGAACAGTGCCAGGCTTTGCAAAATCACTTCATCCTGTTCCTAGAAAATACAAGGCAGGTCCTGTGTTTCTGAGTTAAGACTAGCTTGAGAGTATCTGCTTATGCTACCGGTTATCTAAGTTTAACCATTCCCTTCAGAGCTCTTATTTTACATATTACTGAATGTGAAGGCTTGTAAGGACAGGTAACTGTTACTGAATCTGTACTCCCTAAGACAGGATTATATTTGCTGCAGAAGCTTACAGCAAAAGTCAGAGAGGCACTGACACCTTATGTAGCTTCTGTTCTAAATCCAGACCTAAAGGAGCATTGCCATGGTTCTAAGATTTATGCCAAAGCTATGTGCACAGGCTGATGTGTGCAGCATGAGTTCCCATGCTATGCTTTTCTTTCAGAAGGCTTATTTTCTGCTTATTGGTGCAGAAGTAATTTAGCAGGCAATATGTGAGGACTGCACTCCCAAGAGATAATGGTCATTCAGGAGTTCGCTTTTTAAAAAGAGATATTGCACATGTCCCCAGTATTTTCACGCTATTTTAGCTTTAATGGGGCACAAGATTGATTTCTTTTTCTATTAACCTATTGTATTTTACATGATAGCTATGTTGTTTTATTACAGTAGGCTGCAATAAGAGATGCTCACTTATCTCTCAGCTGATAATGACTCCAGTGTCCACATATGTCTTCAATACCAGCCTTCAAATGATCCATCAACTAGAGAAACAAACATGGAAAAAAAATTAAGTGGCCATTACGGTAAAATAATGTTACCACAAATATGTAGCTGTCGACAGGATTTGAGATTTTTTTTATAGGAGGGTGTGAGTTAATCCTGAAAGCATCTACATTTCTCTAGAAATCAAGGCAAAGATACCATTGTGGAAGCTCCTTTGCTTGGCTGCAGGGGCAATATTTTGGTGGAGGCAAGTCTGTCAGTCTGCTGTCATCTCACCATCACCCAGCAACATACAGGCCCAAGTAAAGGAAGATGATACTGAGCGTTCAAATTGCCTGGTCCTGTGTGTTTACTGAGACCAAAACCTAAATTCTTGGTTCTGTCAATCCAGTTTCCCTTTCGCATGTGTGATCTCCCTGAGAGGGGCACAGGGCCAGGTACCACACACCTTAACTTTGCCTTGGCTGACAAATCCTCTAAGGCTTTTGAAAATTGTCATGAGACTCACAAGTTCATCACAGATAACTACCAGGATTTTCAGTCATCTTTTGTGTGTTTTTAGCATTACAGAAACAGACAGAAATACAGTGAATGCTTGCATACATATTGTTACAAAGGGTGCTTTTAAACATAAATTCATTTCAAGGTTAAGCATAAGGGTTGAAATAATAAGAATTAAATGTACTTTAAATTCAAACCAGTTGGGATGCTCTAATTCTAATGTCTCCGCATGTGTATAATTTTAAGGCACAGTGTTTCTGTTGATTCCAAATATATTCCCTATTGTGAAAATGAAACCGTGTACACATATTTTACTTACTGTTAAGTGAGATTAAGCAGCTTTCTGTAATTTTTTTATAATGTTAATCAGGGAGCTAAAGTAAATGTTTGAGAGGGGAAAAGACCATTACTGAGAATAACTTGAAACTAAATTTGCAGACCAATGGTTCAACTCATTTCAGTTCAATAAAACTTGATTCAAGACTTTTAAGGGGTCAGTGTGTACCCAGAAACAGTCAAAAGATGACAAGAAGGTGTTTGACAAATCTAGCTTGGAAGGATGATGAGTGCATTTTGTAAATGTGGCCTTCATGTTTCTGTCATGGTCACAAGTGTCAAGAAGTAAGGGTCCTGCTACACCATGACAGTTGTGGTATAATATTATAATATGATAGTTACTATGAATATGAATGAAATATAGTTTAGAAAATTATGCCTACAGTTTTCCTCCAAATATTGATAAAAGCATTCGGTCTCCAAATTCACCAAATGCCAATGCTACCAAATGCCTTCATCTGTCCAGCTCTTTTAGAATACCCTTTCTCTTCTTTTTAGGATACTAGCTACTGATATAAAAGACTTACTCGCACATGAATCTCTTCATTGATAGACTCCTTTTTGTTGGTCTTTTTCACATCTAGATACCTGACCAATGGTCCAATTGTGACTCCCTGCATTTGGAACAATGAGTCGAAACGTTAATTACCCTTTAGGACAAAAAAAAAAAAACAGAAGGAAAGCAAAAATATTTCACTTTAATCAATTAAGGAAGCTGTGTTATTAGTCATATTAATTGTATGGAGAGCTACAAAAGAGGTTTAAAACTTAAAAACTTTAAAAAAATTATGCACCAGTGTTTTTGTAATCAAGATTGTATTTATTGACAAGTTTTAACTCCTTGCCAACCCTCAAAACAGCACTCACTTGAAAGAAAACACAGTCTTTGTGAGGTTCTTACAATCTTGAAATCTCTTACTTCAGCATGTTGAGAATTAAATACTTTGGGTGTGTTTTTTTAACTTCAAAATTATTTTCAGCTCTTTCCAATTCTTTGCTGCACTGCTACTGAATAGCATTTTAAAAGGGGAAACAGAAACTATTTTATTTTTTTTTCAGAAACATTCTGGTGGAATCTACCCACAAGTGCATAGTGCCCCATTGGCACCCTAGATTAGCTGAGATTTTGGTACAGGAAAATACAGAACATGAGATGCAAGACTTCCAGAAGATCCAGTTCTTCCAGATATAGCAGTGTAAGCCAAGTGGAACAGCCCAAACATCTGAAGTAGACAGCTATTCTTAGAAATCATAATTATTCACTTCATTTTTCTCTAATATTCTTTTACAAAGGATTTTTAAATGTTCTCATTTGGTCACCAAGATGAATGAAGATAAAAGTAAAAAATTAAAAATCCTTCATAGAACAGACATACTGTTTTCTGTTCAGTGTGAGGTACACCACTAACAGAGAATGATTCTGTGCTGAAATGTAAAGTTAAAATGCTTCTCTACTTGGAAGCATTAGGAAGCACACCTGCAGTGAACATAAGAGATTTTGGACACAAAATGCTCCTTTCCTTTAATGTTTTAAAAGACACAGGTCTTCAATGCCAACTTTCTCAAAAAGGTGTTTAATAATAACTAGAAAGCCCTGAAAGGGTAATTATACATTGCAGTTCTAAATCTGGCCATAAAACACGATTTAAGAGGAAATTCAATGCAATCTTCACTATGAAGCTTTCAGTCCCCTCTATTACATGAAAGCAATCCATTAAGCAATACACTTACTTGGATGAACACAGTGAAATATATAACTACAAGAGTAGCGGTAATGAACAATTTTTTTCTTGGGAAGAGATTCACTGGAAGTAAGAATGCAAGAGAGAAGCTGCTGGCTCCTCGAAGGCCACTGTAGGAAATAATGAGTTGGTCTTTGAAAGTGAAGGGATATGTTCGGAACTTGTTGCTGATGTAGAAGAGAGCAAATACACCTAGGAAGGTAAAAAAAAACAACAAACAAACAACAAACTATTATTAACCAAGGTGAAAAGGAAAATACTTGAAGCAAAACAACATCTTGGCTCACTAAGCTGTTGGCAGTCTTTTCAGTTTTGGGTTCTTGTGTCTTCTCTTTGACTAACTGTCTGGTTTGCATTAAAAAATCTCCTCGAAAAGACCATGGTTACTACCTGCTTTGCGATTTATATTCATTTATGCAGTTTAAAGTGAGATTAGGGGAAAATATTTACTTTCTATATTTATGATGCACATTTCTTTTCTGAAGTGTTCTGGAGATAAGACAATCCACTGGATGAGAGCTTTTTCTGTGCCTTCCCTTTCAGTATTTCCTGCTTTCTGCACAGTGTCTGCCCAAAGTGTTTGAGCAGTGCTTTACCAACAAGTCCTGCGGACAGGGCTTGAAAGGTAAAGAGTAATAAAATTTTAATTTTTAATCCTCTATCTTATTGTGTCTCTAATTTCGTGTTTATTTCTCAAACTTAATTTCTTTTGTAATGAAAGTTACATTAATCAGAGAGCCTGTGGCTGTGTAAGGACTGCTGCTTTTCTTTACAGAGTATATTCAGCAATCTGCTTGATTTAATCTTCATCTCCCATAAGAAACGTTTCCTGTTTTGTGTGGAGACTTAAATTTCTGAAGTAAAAGCTGAAAAATGCTAATAATTACTGGTATTATTTATTATTTTATTAAACTCATTGCACTATTATATGTAAGGCCAGTAGCAGTACCCTGTTGTGCAGGTTGCTGGATACTGCTCTATATAAGACCTTTTTGGCTACTTATAGCTATGTTAGAGATCAGCTACTCAAATTGAAACTACGTATGTAAAGTATCACACTCAGGACAATTCTCTTTACTCAAGCTTCAGGCAAATTCATGTAATCATTTTAGCAAATAAATTTAGCAGAAAATATTTCAACCATCCTCTGGAAAGCTCTAGCACTCCCCTTGCTGTCTGAGAGCAGGATGGACATACAGCAGCAAAATAGCTTTTGCATCAGGAGAGCATTTTTCTGTCTCGGTTGTATGGATGTTCCAGTATGGACTCTGAAAGTAAGCCTTTAAAAACCTAGAGGCCACGCTTGGTCCAGGATTAGCAAGAAAATACTTAGTTATTTTTCTTTTGCTGTCAGCCCACAGGAATTATATTGCCTTTATCACCGAGTACTTGTGTTATCGCTATATAATAGAGCTGATCAGACACATGTACTTGAACCCTCACAGGTTTCCTCTTTCTTCTCCCTTGCGTTAAATGCCTTCCTACAGGGTTCCAAGGCTTAAAAGTCAAAGGTCTTGAAATGTGCATGGGTTTTGAATCAATGTCTTTTTTCTGCTCTGGTATTATTTTTGTCTGAAGGGATAAGACACCTGAGAGATTCAAGCAAGAGCACCTTAACCTCAGGTGTTTGATGCCAACACTTATCTGGCCCCAAATGTTAGAGTACTATAGGCTGGAAAGGACCTTTGAAGGTCATCTAGTCAAAGTCCTTATCAAGGCAGAGCTAATCAGATCAGGTTGTTCAAAGTTTCAGTCAAGTCTTGAATGCTTTCAGAAATAGAGAGCTGGGCCACTGCTGCAATACTGGTTCAGCCTCATGTTAAGAAATGGGTTCCTACTGTCTATCCTGAATTTACATGTTCCAGCTTGTGTCTGTTCCTTCTTGTCCTGTTGCTTTTCACCTCTGAGAAGTGTCTGTCTCCATCGTCTTTCTCCTCTGACTGGGCACTTGTAGAATGTAATGTCTCTTCTGTGCTATATCTCCCTCAGGCTGCATAGACTCAGCACTCAGACTCAATCTGTATATCCAGTGCTCCAGGCTCTGACTAGGTTGGTGACCTCTGCTGAACTTGATCCAGAACCTCTGTGTCCTTCCTATACTGGGGAACCCAGAACTGGAGAAACTGCTCTGGAAACACACATTTCCACCAGTGCTGAAGAGATGGGAAGAAACACTCCCCTAGACCTGCTGGCTACACACTTGCTGATGTAGCCCAGAACACTGTTTGTCTTCTTTGTCACAAGAACATAATTCTGACTTGCGTCCAACCTGTTACCTACCAGGCCAGGTCCTTTTCTGTAGGGCTGCTTACTAGACTCCAACCCTAAACTAGTGCATGAAGTTATTGCAAGCCACACGTAAGTCCTTGTACGTGCTCTTGAATGCAATGAGCTTCTGTCAGCCTATTTTTCCAGCCTTCCCAGGTCCCTTTGAATGGAAACCATCCAGAATATTGACTGCTCTTTGCAGTTTGGTGCCAGCCACCAACTTTCTCAGTGTGCACTCCCTTCCATTATCCAGGTCATTAATGAAGACATTAAAACAATATTGGTCTCTGTAGTGAGCTCTGAGGGATGCCATTAGTGACCAGCTAGACCAGTATTTTGAGCTCATGTTATCAACCACATTATCAACCACTTCAACTGGCCAAAATCTGCTTTTTGAAGTCCAGGGTTGTAATTCTGCTGTTTGTTGGCTTGATCACTCCTCTCCGGATCTTAGCATCCACAGTCTCATAGTTACTGCAGCTAAGGCTGCCCTCAGTCTTCAGCTATTTCTTCCTTCTTTGTGCATGGTAGGAAAGACAAAGCATATCCTTCAGCTAATTCATCAACCACTTTCCATCAAACATCCTTTGCCTTTTCCTTTCAACCCTTTTTGCTTTTCCTTCAGCATACAGCTGGCCCTGACAAGTCACCTGCAGGTCTTATTCCTCCTCAGTACTGCAGCAGATGTTGCAGGACCAATGCCCAGAGGTAAAGCCTGTATGTAAAGGAAATATAGACAAGGCCTGAAGGCTGGAGGAGATGGTGGCAGGTGACCAATATGGATTTCTGCCCCACAGGAGACCTCAGAGGGGCCTTCTTTGATTAGAAATGAAACAGGGGGGAAATAACCTACTAGCTTAGTTACCCAAGGTAGATGCTTAAATGTCAGTGCTCAGAATATGTCCTCCAAGGCCACCTGATGGAATATTTGGATTTCTCATTTTCTTTAAAAATATAAATTGCTCTGAAAAAAAATACAGGGGTGGGGAAGCGCAACTCAAGACAAAACAAAATAACAACAAAAACAAAACAAAAACAAAACAAAACAAAACAAAAAAACCCGATCCAAAACTAAGATGGCCAGTTGAGGTACTCAGAAGTTAAAAAATGTTGGAAATAAGGTTGCCTGCAGAATTGCATTTTTGGCCTTCTCATGTGTACTACTTACAAAACATCTTTACACCTTTCATTCCGAAAGCATTGTTCACTCCTATTTTTAATTAAAGTGACAAATAACAGTGGCTGAGTAAGGGATGTTATAATTCATCACTTCTCCAAGCGTACATGTGTTTGTTTCCTCTTGCAGCATCTGTAACTTAAGACCATGCAGAATAAAGCCTTCAGGTTCAAAAAGGATGGCATAATTCATAGGCAACACATCTGAAATAGACCCCTATTTGTTTGGGTTTCCCCCCATTCCCCTATTTTTCATGTGTAGATTTGTGAAATTAACTTCCCAGTAAAATAAGCCTAGCAAATTTGCTATTAAACTGGTTATGCCAGTCTGCACAGACTTCCCTAACATACCTTTGCATCAAAGGGTTTCTCTCAGAGGTGCACAGAAGGTTGCCTGCAAAAGCTGACTTACTCAGTGTCCGCCAAATGAGGCAGAAGAGCAGGGTGAAGCAAATGAAGGCCCAGTTCCACTCATGGTTTTTCCCCACTGTAGACACTCCCATGAATACAAAAATCAGGGTCTCGCTGACACTGCTCAGCATCTTCATGAAATATTTTATTGTAGTATAGGAATTCTGGGAAACGTTCTCCTCCACGTATTTTTTCATTGTCACTGCACATGATGTCATCCTGTACCAGGGAAAACATCAAGATCAGCCACAACCTGGCTTTTTCTTTCATTTAAGAACAACCTCAGCTTTCATATCTGCACTTTCTGTTACCAGTCCCTGACCTTCCTAATATCAAGAAGCTTTTTATTTCTTCAGTAACGTTAGCTATTTCATTAGATAGAAGAGCATCTTCATTCAACTTTACAAATCCATTTTGCATATAGGAAAAAGGAAACAAACCAGTCAGCCTTGCAGGCAAGGAAGCCAGGGTATCATGTTTCAGTTCAAAGTCCATTATATCCTGAATGCTTAATGCACAAGCCACCAAGAACCAAATATTTGAGTCTCAAACAAAGGGCAAGTCAGTTTTATACTAGCCTGTGTTTAGAGGTATATAACCAGCCTCTCAGTGATTTTGTTCTTTGAGGTGGCTGATGGTGGTAAGACATCGTAATAGTTCTTATGCTCCCAGCTGCTCCCTGCCAACTAGCTGGCAAGATCAGCAGGGCTAGGATAAGCTTCAGTGACTCAACCCACAGCAGCCCACTGTATACAGCAAGGGGAAATTCAGTTACCCTATAGATCTGTCCTTCCCTTCTCTTATTTATTCAGGGTGTGGGGAATGTGCTAAGGAAGCATATGGATGTTTTTCACCTCTTCACTGTTAATGAAGACTAGAGTCTGCTTCAGAGGCATGAGCAGCCACCTGACACAATTGCTAGTATTAATCACCTGGAGCAGTAGTACTTAGGCAGCCCTACTAAAGGAGGTTTCCTCTTTCCCCCTTTATTTTCCATAGTCATAGGTAATAAATAGTTTGAGTGCTATGCTAGTAACATAGTCCATCATCTATCTAGTTTCTACTGATAGTATTTTAGTCTTTGGGGGCTTCTTCTGATTATATTTTTCCAAACTTGTGAATTCAGAGAATGCTGACTGTTTATTAAGTAACCCTTCGTCCAGCTTCTGCTCATTTAATTTCCACTGAAGAAATCTCAAGGGTATTTTCATGAAGCTGAGACATTTAGCAGGTCCAAGGACACTCTAACACAAGGCCATTAGGAATTAATGTTTAATACTGTTGACTTTCAGAGGCACATGCATAATAGACTTTCATGACCCAAGTGAAAAATTAATGATTTCCTCAATAATTCAGAAGGGTGACAATAAGTTCCCATCCCTAAAACAGGCAATAATTTCCTTAATGAAGCAGTAAGAATAATCTATTATATTAACATTCTTTTATTACTAATAATTTCAGCATTCTAATGAAAATATGAAGCAAAAGAAATAAAGACCCACGTAGTCTAGTGTAAAGAATAGGCAGGGAAGCAGTACTTTGGGCAGTGCAGGTAGGAAAGGGTCCATATGGTATGAGTGCTCACTACATGCTAGGTCTAACCCTGCTCAATTGAAGTTGTTAGTTACCTCAATCAGAGCAAATGTGTTGGATATACAAAACACAGTACAAGAGTCACCTTCTTTATCTAATTGCTCAGGAAAACATGCATCCTGTCTAACTACTTATTTAATATGGCTAAATATTCAAATACTGCTTCCCAGGGCCATCTACAAAGGCTGTTTTTACAAAACCAGTTCTACTCTGAAGCTCAACAAATTGGGGTTGTTCATTCTGGAGGAGTCTCTGAGGAGAACTTATTGCAGCCTTTTCAACATTTAAAGGGTGCTTATGAAAAAGATGGGGTCAAACATTTTAATATGCCCTGTAGCAACAGGACAAGGGGTAATGGTTTTAAACTAAAAGATTTGAGTAGATTTAGACCAGATATAAGGAAGAAATCTTTTACAGTGAAGGTGGTGAAACACAGGAGCATGTTTCCCAGAAAGGCTGTAGATGCCCCATCTGTGGAAACATTCAAGGTCAGTATTGATGGAGCTCTGATCAGCCTGATCTAGTTGAAGATACCCTGGTCAATGCCCCTGGACTAGACAACCTTCAAAGGTCCCTTCCAATCTGAAGTATTCTATGATTCTATGGTTCCACGAAATCAGGGTTTGACAAGTGAAGGTGAGTAAATGCAATCGTCTGAACATCAGCAGCCACACACTTGTATTTGTTAGGTTTAAATTGGTTTGTCCTCAGTAAAGGGGACTCCTTTCTGGATCACCAGTGCCTGCAAGACCTAGCATGCAAGCTCAGAGCTAACACAGGGCATTCAAGGCTGATGCCGCTCAACAGCTAGGCACTGAGCCCGCAGCAGCCAACACCAGCTAGAGAATTTATTACCATCAGGTTCCCATTTCTTTACCCAGCTGAGGAGCTCTTTGTTTGAAATTCATTATTCATTATTTGTTTGAAAATCAGTATTATGTTTGAAATTCACCTCCCAGCAGCTTTCTTGTAAAGTCTCTCACTTTCACCCCTCTTCCTTCCTTTCTCTTCTGACTCCTTTCCTGATGCTGCCCTCTTTCCTTCAGAATCTTCTCATTTACTATGGTCAATAGGCCTTTCAGCTTTCTCGCTGTGGGAAGCAGTTGCTAGCATAACAGCACCATCAAGCTATCCTGATCACATTAAAATATGATCACCAATATCCATATGCATAACTGTATGTATGCATATATACTTCATGTTCTTGGCTGTCTGGTTTTTTCCAGTGTCAGTTCCAATGCTGCTGTACAAATGTAAAGTAATTCCAGTAAAGTCTGTTAGAGCTGATGTTCACAGCTATGCACAAAAGCAGACATTCTTCATTATGTTTGCATACTCATGACTTTTCATCTCTCTTGCAATCTGATGGTGATGCTGCTTAGAAATAAATACAGATACTCTGACCTATTAGCAAATGGTTCTCTCATTCTGCTGATCTTACCAGAGGCAGCAGACAGACGGTGGCAGCACTAGTCACTTCACCCACAGTTTGAGGGTTTTTTTCCAATAGGCAAAAATCTAACAAGTTTCAGAGCAGATATACACTCCTCAGTAGTACATCTATACTTATGCTGACTGTAGGTTTGCATTTCCTAGTTAGCATTGCATTTTACAGATCTTTTAGAAGCCTTCCACTGCAGATCTCTGGAACAGAGATTGAAAATGCCTGTATTGTACCAACCTCATGCAAACCACCTCCTCAAAGTAATAATACTTCCCTCCAGAGGCCATCTGAAAAGCCATCAGAGATACTCACGCCAAAATGCCTGAGATGTAAAGGGTTTCAGCAGACAAGTATGCCAGGTAGCTGAACATGAAGACCAGCAGGGGTTCAATAGCAGAAACGTTATGGGTGAATCGAGTCATGAACGCCGAAACAAATCCAAAGACAATGCCAAACAACATGCCACCTAGCCCCACCACGAAGAAACGAGCGAAGCCAGCAAAGACATCGATGGATTCTATTTCTTCATACCTGTGCATCTGGGTGAAGGCAATGAAGATGTTATATAAAACCTACAAGTGAAAATAAGGAGACAACAGTCAGGTTTCTTGCTGAACTTGGCAGGCTTACTCACCTCATAGCTCTGTGTGTGTGTGAACCCGAAATTGCTTTAAATGGATCAGCAAAGTAACAGTTGAAACCTCAGCTTTCCTTAACAAGTCCCAGAATTGAGGGTCTGTTAACCATTTCAAAAAATAGCAAAACCAGGAAGGGTAGATGGTTACGTAACAAGAGTAAAACTCTGGGGGATTAAATGCAATTCAAGTAACAAAAGAATACTCTTTGTTTTGTTTGTTTTCTGAAAGTAAACTTAACAACTGGTTTTTGTAGCAGATATCTAAAGGCCAGGTGGGTACCTATCAACCTCAGGCTCTACCGTCCATGCTCTCTTTCTGATTCAAGATGGGGCAGGGCAGTGACTAAGAATCACACTTTTGATTTAAATCCCATTTAGATTGTCTATATGATCTGTAGAGTGGACACACTTCATTAGATAGACTGGGGAATGTTAAATGTTTTTCAGTAGTATTTGACACATAAAAATCATGAATCCCTGAGAATTGGGAAAGAAGCAGTAGAGGGAAGGCAAGGCAAAGCAAGGGAAATATGGAAGCCTCAGTTTCATATTGACTCTAGCTAGATAGATACAGCCTCTCTATCTTCACAATACAGGAACTCTGTCTTTATTGCGAAGTGGGGATCAAAAGCACTTTAAATGGCCTAAAGACCCTTCACACATATATTTTGACTAGAAACCTTGAAATTACAAAAATAAAAAGAATGTCAGATTAAAAGAAAGAATTAATTTCCTACATTGTATAATTTGGCCTGTAAAGGTGATTTAATTTAGATCAGATAAGTTTGGCATTACCAATAATTCCTTTTCAGCAGAAATTTGTGATGAAAAATCTTCAGTATATTCTACTTTCATCCATCTTCTAGAAAATAATAGAAAGTTTCCACAATAATAGGTGTTATAGCAACAAAAATGTCTTAGAGGTTGCTGACAGTTGGTTAATATTAAGTCCTGTCAGATCTGTTTACAGGGAGTGTGTAACACATAAAAGTCACCTTTCAGTTTCCAAGAGAATTCAGGGGATATTTAAAGACACCACCTCTTCAAAGTTGTTGCACCAAAACATTAGCTCAAAAATGCAAAATAGACCAAAACAATTTGCCTTATCTGATTTTCTTTGGTCTTCCTTCTTCATATAGTTAATAAAGGAAGACTATTAAGAAGATTAAAGCAGATATTTGCAGGTAGAAGGGTCAGGCTCATCAGGATAATAATTATTCCCCAGCTACTATCTAACCTTAAATTGCTGCTGGGAACATATGACCTTGAGCTGTCACACAACCTGTTCTCATTGCTAAGATTTCTGAGGAACTGACAAAGCACAACATAACGTTTCAAAGGAGAAAATATCCAGAACTGCTTTTTACTGATAGCTATGTATAAAATAGGACTCTTCAGTGACAGATAAGGAAAAGAGGGTTCATTTCTCTACAGTAAGTACCCCCTTACTGTACTTACCATACAGGTTTTAATTACAAAGCCTGTTTTCTCTCTGTCCTCCCTTTCTTGCAGACTTCAACATTTTCCTAAGACTTGTGATTCTTTAGAAAAAATACCAAGGCATGAATCTATTCTGACTTATGTGTAAAGCAAATTATCCTCAGGAAATTACTTAGTAATTTTTTCTCCCTTTTTCTGGTTCCTAAAGTGTTTATATGATATAATTGGTTGACATAATTTTCACTTTTTAATAACTTTTTTTTTTGAGTAAACTGTTCTATACAACGTCCTGAACTGCATCATACAAATAAAGATCCATTTAGAATCATAGAATCGTGGAATAGTTTGGGTTGGAAGGCACCTTCATAGGTCGTCTAGTCCAACCTGCCCTGCAATGAGCAGGGGCATCTTCAGCTAGATCAGGTTACCCAGAACCACATGCAACCTGGCCCTGAAAGTCTCCAGGGATGGTGCATCCACCACCTCTCTGGGCAACCCGTGCCAGTGTTTTACCACTCTCATTGTAAAATATTTCTTCATCACATCCAGCCTGAATCTCTCGTCTTTTAGTTTGAAACCATCATCCATTGTCCTGTCACAACAGGTCCTGCTAAAAAGTCTCTCACCATCTTTCTTTATAGGCCCTGTTAAGTACTGAAAGGCTGCAATTAGGTTTACCCGGAGCCTTTTCTTCTCTCGGCTGAGAAGAAAAATGAGACTGTCTATATAGGAGAGGTGATCCATCCCTCTGATAATTTTTGTGGCCCTCCTCTGAACCCTCTCCAAAAGGTCCATGTCTTTCCTGTACTGAGGACTCCAGAGCTGGATGCAGTATCCCAGGTGGGTTCTCACTAGAGCAGATTAGACACTGTGGTGTTTATGCCAATAAATTGAGTATTATAATTTTTACATGGTAGGAAAGCCTGAATCAGCTTAGGATGCCTTTGTTCACCCAGTGAAGGGATGTATCGATAGCTGGCCTCATTTAACAACTGTGAGAACATCAGGCATTGTTTTTTTTGGAGGGGACATTACCATGTAGTGGTATACCACTGGGTGGCTGTTTGAGCTAGCGAGAGGAAGAGACAGCGTGACACTGTCGCCCACAGGGGACCTCCCCAGGGACAGGTCCCTGCTCTGGCAGTCTATATGATACATACATTGCACATACCATCCACATCAGAAGCTCTGGAAAAAAAGCAGCCGTCTTAACCGCCAACACAAGCAGCCTTGATAACTCTTTCTTTCCATCCTGATAACTCTTCCTGACCACATGTATTCACTTTTACTCTGAACACAGTGGGTCAGCTTCAACAACCAGAGAAGAGAATATCTTCATCCTCCTTCCTAGCACCCATATATCCCAGTGGTCAAAGCCTTTCTCAGGAACATCCAAGAGTAAATTCAAATCTCCTCAAATAAATAAATTTATTTTACTTGCATCTCCATCACACAGTAGATTTCTTTAACTGCTCTGCTACTGCATACAAAGAAGAGAGGGCACCATTAGGAAAAAATGGTTACTGCCACTTCATTTTGACTACAGTATGAGGCATAGGTGTTCTCAGCGTTTCTAAAATCAGGCCTCAGAGATGAAGTAGTAAGGGGAAATATTCTGTTTCCTCATGCACACAGGTGTTCAGCTCCTGTTGAGACAGAAATGGTCTGTGTACATGTGGGAACACAGTTTCCGATGCCTGAAACACTTCCCAGCAAAATCACGTCCTCCAGCTGTGGTCAGGTTTGAATGAAATCTGCACTGGATTTAACATCACCACTGTTTTGAACAGGGCTTTGAAACTGCACTAGCATATGACACATGCTAGGACCAGTCCTGGGTCCTGTTGCTGTCTGCGCTTTGCTGATGCTGTCAGCTTAGAAGCAACTGGAACAAGAAGAAATTAACAGGACCTAGAGCCTTTTTGTTCCACACATAGACATAGCCCTACTGAGGAGAATAGGAAAAGGTACAAATGGGTAAAAAAGGTAAATTATGAACTTTTGTCCCCGTCCCTTAAGTCAAATGCGTAACTCCTAAGTCATGATTTGCATTCCGCAGCCTGTAATTTTGAAAAAAAAAAAAAATATACCAGGATATTGAACTAAATGTAGGAGAAGGAGCTGTTGTTGCCTCTAATAATACACAAGTTCAGAAATTTCATACCAGCTTTTCCTACTGGGGAAAAAAAAACTATGTTCAAGCTGATAAGCAGACTGGAGAGAATCAGGGGATATTTGTATTTAAACAACATAAAAAGTATGTATGCTTAATATATCTTGGTGATATTATCTTTTTAAACACATAGAGTTAACTTGAAGGAAACTGTTAAGAGAAAAAAGGGAGGAACTGAGACACCTGAGATACACAGTTTTAAAGCCTTTAAAAAGCAAGAGGGGTATCAGAGAGGAGAAATACACCTACTGGACTCCATACAGATGGCAGTTACTTCAGTATCCTCAAACATGAAGCTAGGTAGAGATTCTGAAGATCTGAATGTACTGAAAATGGATGAGATGTGGGTGATGCACAGATGCATCAGCAAGAGCTGACAAACTGATTGCAACACAGCAGCTGTGAGAAGAGCCCCAAAGATGAGAGGATGTGGGGCACATGGAAGTCACAGTGGTGTAGCCAGTACTCCTTCTGTACAGCCCTTTCATCTCTTTTGCTGACTTATCTAGTGTTGCTGAGGAATGCCTACAAACCAGTGTTCTTAAAGGCTTTCTGTCACTACATATTTATGCTGTAGCAGGATGCTGACTGAAAGCTCATGTAAATACTATGAGTTGGATCCACATCATAAATAACAGCTGGGAACAAAGGGAAGGCAATGTAGAAAGCCAGTCAAAAAAAGGACGAAACAACCTTTTCCAGTGTTAGGAAGAGGTATTATTTTTTGAGGTCTGCATGTGAAGGAACCAAGAAGGCAGGTGAAAGTAATAGATGCATTTGGATTATTTTGTTACAACTGTAATACACAAGCAGTTTGCATGTAAAGTTAAGTAACATTTATTCCTTAGTTCTACATCAGCCCTACATCTCTGATTTACCAAGAAGGGTTTGCAAGAAATGACTTCATTCCTTTTCGTTTTTGCATTGCTCATAAGCTGCACTTCTCCCATGAAGCCTTTCAGCAGTGAACTCTGTACAGATTGTAAAGTCCAAGTTGCACTGTACCTCATGTATAACAGCATCTGAATAGTTTTTATGTTCTAGATTCCTGTGATTAAATTCTGTAAAGATCTTATCTAGCAAGACTCCTTAACCTGCAGTTAACTTGCAGCACATTAACAGTCCTGTTAGTTTCTGTGCAGTGAATTTCCTGCTTGAAATCTCTTCCTTGAAAAACACGTCTTCTAAGTGACTTTGTCAGTTGCAGTTTGCAGGTAGAATTTCAGGTTGCTCCAAGTTTTAGCAAACTTTTAGAAAAGTATTAACAAGATAAGTTCTGAAAAAAACATTTTTTTCATATTAAAAAACCCAAAACACACCCAAAACAACCAAACAAACAAAGCCCCAACAAACAAAATCTCTTCTATTCCCGAAGCACTGTTTCTGGACACTTAAGGCATCCAAGAAAGGTGAATATTTTTCAGATATTAATTTTTTACTGATAGAAACATGGTTATGCAAAGTTATTAGTGGCTTCTGGATTTCCTGTCTAAGGTCTCTGGGGAATTTCCTAGGAGAAGCAGGAGGAAGGAATGCAGCACCCAGAGGTTGTTCGCATCTGGTTTGGTTGGGTTTTTTTGCAGAGTGCTTCTCTACGGTGTGTGACAAGGAGGTCTCCTGTGTTTTTATCCCTGCTGCGGAATGTTAAGCAGTACAATGTCTTTAAGCAGTAGAATATTCTATTTACCTGCTTGCACAATAACAAGAATTTTTTTCTAGGTTTTACACTGATCCTACCAGCAAAACCAGCCTTAGCTTATCTATTCACTTAAGTGAATGCACAAGCAAGATGTGGTCTATGCTTCCCTCTCCTATCGGATCTAACACAATATGCTTTTTAAAGAGTTAATATAAGATGTAATCTTTGCATACATTAAAATTATTTGTGTGTGATGGAATAGAGTATCCACAACATAAATAATGTATCTAGGATCAACTTAGAGCTGCTCTTGTCCTTTGCCAAATAACCCTACAAGCCACAAGAGCCTAAAGAAGGGAAGACAAGGAGTAGAAAGAAACTCACCACAGTGATTCCATCATTTAGCAATGATTCTCCAAAGATCATCATGTAGAGCTGCTCATTAACAGAGGCTTCTTCGAAAACTACCAGAGCTGCCACAGGATCCACAGCTGAAATCATGCTGCCAAAGAGCAGGTTCTGCAGCAGGTCCAGGTCAGTCAGGCCAAAGGCTTCTATTTGGCAGATCGCATAGAGGGAGAAGCCAATTCCAAATGAGTTTAGCAGAGATCCCAGCAAAGACCACCACAGGATGGACCCAAAGTTTTCAAAAAATGGGCGAGTTGGCATGAAATAACCCTCTTCTAGGATAATGGGTGGAAGGAGATACAAAAAGTAAATACTTGAGTCCATCACCGGTGGAGATTTGTGATCTGAAGCAAAAATGATCGCTCCTACTAGTGCTCCAATGACAATCAGGATGCAGCTTTCAGGCATGAGTCTGGGTAATCGGTGATAGAGGTGGAAACCTTGAATAAAACATTAGGGTATTATTCCAATTTAAATTAACTTGATGTCGGACAGATGTTTTGCCTGCCTTCAAATACTTTGTCGGCAGACAGCCAGATATTGTTCTTTATATTATGAATGTAAAAACAGGCAGTACCATTCCCTTCAAAATTAAACATTCCCAGACATGTACTTCTAAAGCAGAGGAAGAGTTTGGCAATAAATCTCTTGTCTACCTGCTCCCCCACTCTCAACTTCTGAGCAAGTGTGACTGAGTCTAAGCTCTACTTTTAAGAATGCAGAAACTTCTTTGAAATTGTACTCCACAAATTGGAAAGAAAGCATTCTTCAAGAGTCCTTGCTGCCAAACTGCTACCTCTGAGGCACAGTGTTGTCCCTCCATCTCAAAGACACCCTCTCCCTGGCTTCAGATTCCAAGGCAGCTTCCCCCTCAGTGCTGTGGAGGGCCACTGGCTGCAGAGCTCCTGCTGGACTTGTGCTGACCAGGAACCTGGAGAAGTCCAAGGGAGAAGCCCAGATGCCATCATCTGCTGAGCTCCCTCCACTTCCAGCACTCCCCTGAAGTATGAAATGGACTCAAGGCTATCCACAGAGGGGCTGAGTACTCATGAACAATAACATACCCAAAGCAGCAGTAATCAAGCCACAGTAACATAAGGCATTGTACAAGATGACTAACCTTGTATTTCTAGGAAAACTGCTGTTCCTACATAGTGTAAAGAACCCTATGGGTTAGTTTACTGAAAGAAAACTGATGATTTCAGCTGAGCTGAGAGAGCTAACAACAGCAATTAAATATCTGAGAAAATAATGCATCCTAAGGGTTTTATTTTTTTTCCCTTACTAGAATAAAGGTTGAGTCTACACTATAACAAATGAATCAGGCCAAAGAATTTTCAAAGCAGAAAGGTTCAGGCTGCATCCATACAGTCAAATTCTCTTCCCTACTCCAGCAAATAGTGGTCACATCCAAACTGCTTGTGGGAACATATGTCGGCCCACAAGTCTGCCTGGGCACTGCCTGGGAGGTTTGTCAACATGAGTCATAGCTGAGAAGGAATACGCCAGCACTGATGTGGTATGGACAGTCACACACAGCTTCCCAACAGGGTGCTTGGTAATATACAAGCATAGATGTAGCCAAGCTGTTTTACAGAAAAAGGGTCGTACTTACCAGTATAAATGTTGTGGGTATGAATCTCCTGCCCACCTTGATGCACTACTAGTGCAACTGCATTCGCATAATTCTTCCCATCTGACACAAATACTGATACCAATACCAAGATAATGTCTAGCAATGGCTCATCTAGTTACTTTACCAGGAACTGTGTAATCATACTACAAATGAGAGATTCTTTTATTAGAAATTTAAGGAATTATTCAGAATTTACAAGAATGAGAATGAGGCAGACTAATAAACCTTTAAATCCAGTGGCTGTGTCTCCATGCCTGAGGCTAGGTCAACCTTCATTCCATAACTCCAGAAGTTAATACCATGACTGCGCTTTTGTAACCCTTAAATTATCTATGTTAAACACTAAAGAAAAAGAAAAATATTTTTATAACATTTTAAATAATATATTTTGGAGATTATTTGAAATACTGAAAAGTATATTAACATCATAACTCCACTCATCTACTTTTCTAATTAAAAGTATCTCATTCAAGTCTTTTGTCAGTTTTACAGGATAAGGGGATTGTTTTGGCTTTCAAGGTCTCAGAAATGTTTCCCACCCTGGAATCCTGAAATCTGGAAAGAAGATGATGACTGAATAGAACACTGAAAAGTTTAACAGTTTGGAAATCTTCTTCCCTAGGTAGCCAGATTATTCAGACTAACTCTTCCTACCAAATAGATTTTGAGTCAGCAGCTCCACATTTTTCAATGAAAATAATATTATTAGAAAAGCCCTGGCTAAGGAACAGGCCTGCTCTGGGGGATGTCACACAGTTCTTCTATAACATCTGTTTCTTGCTCAAACCAAGAACATTATAATACAGCAAGTGCTGTGCCTTTATGGATGATGAATAAAGAAATTGATCAATATGCTCACTGCTATTGTCACATTCTGCTGACACCATAACAGCAGACTTGACTTGTGAAAGTTTTTATTATTATTTTAGCAGTGAATAATTTATTTATAGGAACTGGATTGAGATCATCAGCTATTATAAAGCTGACAAATCATGGTCAGTGACAATTTTTGTCAACTGTGTGACTGTGTCAACTGTGTGACTATGACATGAAAAATGTTTATTTTCAGGCCACCTCCAGAAAATCATTGGTCCCACCTCACAGTCTGTTCCATAGTAACATCTGAAAATCCCATGGAGAGATCAAAAGGACAGGGAGATCACGTGTGCAGCTCTTCACCTTAGTACTATCTTCTTCATTTGTTTGATGTTGCTGCATTAATTCTGAATGGTCCAAATAATTTGAACCCAGTCATGCAAACATGTATGACACATGGTGAGCCATTTTTTACTATGTTCATCGCAGTTCCTATCTCCCCATGAGTTGTCTTTCTTCATTCAGATACCTACGGGGAGTTCTAATAGAAGCTAGATGTATTGGTATATACTAAAAAGGCACTTACCCTACATTTCTAATGACCTACACTCAGACTCTCAGTCTCTCTCCTCCAATGTTACTTTCTGAGCAACTATAAATAGCAAACATGCAAAACAAAGACTCAAAGGGAAAAGTTTCCTATTATTTACACAATGGAAGAATTCTCCCCAGTTTTCTCCCCCAAATTCAATTCACTTGAAGCCTCAGCTGGTGTTACTGATTTCTACAGCCGTGGCATGGTGTAGATTCTGGAACTTGTGACATTTAAAAACTAGAAAAAGGGATGGACAGCACTGTGTAGGGCAGCTCCATTGCTGCTCACTGACATAGACAACCCAGGAGACAGGAGGGTTAGAGGTCGTATGTTTACCTAAGTAATCTGGAAGCATTCAGAGCTAGAATTCTATCATTGCCATGGTAATGAACACACCTGTTCTTTTGAGGACAGAAGCTGTAAAAACAATACGAGCTACAAAGTGCATGGAAGATACTTGGTTACGTGGTATGTTTTTAACTTCTTGCTGAGGTAGGATGACCCAAGATCCCATTTTCTACTTACCTATTTTTGCAAGAGAGGCAAGGAGGATCCAAAGAGTAACTTCATAGGGAATTTGCACATAGCCATAGTCCACTGTGAAAACATGTAGCCTTGTATCTTGTGAAGAGCCAACAGCCTGATCAGGTTCATAGTGAGGCAAGAAACTGTTGCTCGGGTTGGGCTCATCCACATAAGCCGCAGCAGAACAGCATACCAGACTCAACAGCAAGAGCAACCAGTTCAAAAGCTTTGCACGTGCAAGTGTGGCAGAGCCCATGTCTGCCTCTGTGACAGTTTTATTACAGATACAGCATAGAGTGGGTGCATGAAGGTATGCAACACTCACTCCTGTTGCTTCACGCTGTTCATATCCACAGCTGCTTCTTCCTCAGGGCTGCTTCATTTGCCTTTTAGATGTCGTTTTAAAAGCCCTAATGTGCCTGTCCTGTTCCTTGTATTACAGACGGACCAGAGTTTCTATAAAGATACCGGTTCTGCAGGTTCCTTCAACCTAGATAAACCTCAGCAACAGCATCACCCTGTTAAGGAATAAAAGCCCTTTCTAACTATGTTATTTATCCAGCCATTCTGATTTCTTTTTCCCACTGTCAAAAAAAAATCAGGTAGCAAATACAGCTCAAGTGAATAGGATCAGGTGGGTGAGATGGTGGCACCCTCTGCATGCAGGAGAGCCTACTCCATTCCTTCCTCTTCTGCCCTCACTCCCTGTCTGTCTCCCCAGTGCAACTGGCACCTCAGATACCACCACACTTGGCACTGCTCACTGGTCCTTTCTCAGCTGGGAAGAGAACTGCTTGGCGTGTAAATAAATGTGCTCTGCAGGGCTTACGGTAGGGACATCTGGTGGAGGACCACGCAAATTGCCTTCTTGTTTAGAAACGTGCTCTCTCCCTTAAATTCATGAAAGTAATTTAGCACATAACAACAAAGAAAGAACGAGGTCTGAATTACATCACATGCCTAAAACTCTATCTTGAGTTGTTTTGTATTTGGCATTTGTTTTACTCATGCCAGCAAGGCATTTACTGGAAAATTACTTTATCCTCCCTGAACTCGACATTCACCCGTACAGAATATTCCTTTAAAAGGTCAGCCTCTTCTCTCCTCCACAAAAATTACCATGCTCAGCATTAGGTTAACAAAGTGTATGAACATAGTAGTGTTGATTAAAAGCTGCTTGCAGAAGAGTTGGGGTGGTTTTTTTTCAGTATACTGGTTCTGTTAACAGCAGTTCTTGAAGTCCCTTTCCAACAAGAAATCTGGCAGGTGAACTATTCAATTAGCATTATAAAACAATGATTTTTCAACTTGAAGGCCAAATGAAGTCAGCAGAACACCGAATCAGTGCCTATCCTGCTGAGATTTTCTTAACGCTAACCACTGCATTTGACTTAGCTACAGACACCAAGATGCCTTGAAAGTAAGTGATATGAACCCTGGAGAGTTAGCAGCCAGAGGACTAGAAAAGAAAGACTTCAAAGTCCCTGGAAGTCTACCAGCTGTGACAACGAGGACTTTGATTTACAACTGCAACGCACCAATAATACCAAGAGATTCAATGGGACTCGTGAATGACCAGCACCAGACAGGATCAGCAATATGCAGATGTCTGCAAGTATGAAAGGTTTCACAACTAGTAGGAATGCTTCCTCTCATTGCAGGAATGGTGGAGATGCCTGGGATCAGACCTGATACAGTGCTCCTTCTTTTCTCAACTCGTTTGGCATACCCGGTTGTAGCAGTCTCCCATGGCACTTTCTTGGTGCTCCCACAGGAAGAGGTTTAAAGATTTAAATCGTTTAAAGATCTTGGATTTGTCCCACTGGACTGCATAGGAAAATTAAACTTCAAGCTTTCTCTGGAGTTCCCTTTTTAATATTTTTCTAGAAAATGAGTATAAAAATATTCCAGAGGAAATACAGTGCAAATAACAAAGCATTCACATGTATGTCTCAACATCACAGCAAAATATAATAAATACAATAAAAATAATACAGAAATAATTTATGAAAGACAGTTCACATTTACAATTGTGTGCAGTGCCACTTAGTTTTACTGTGGAGCTGCAGTATTGTCACACTGCAGTCCTCACTGTTTTGGAGTGAGCTATTGCTGACAGTAGCTACAATCCACAGTGGTCAGCCAGTGTAGAAAAGGCCCTTTAACAGTCACGTCACCGTTCCTGAGCCTGCTTCCACTACCCCCCTGTGAAATTTCTGCTATCGATATACCAGGCTGAATAACCTTAGGCAAAAGTCCTTTAAGCTCCAATTTTCCAATGTCTCAGTAGTTTTCACTGGCATGTGGTAACGCATATACTTCCAGAACTTATTTGGAACAGCAGAAACAGAAGACTTCCAGGTAATGACTGGTAATATCCGAAGAGCTTTCTTCACTACCGGATGCAAAGTCTCTGGCTCTTGGAAAGCCTGGAACTTTATTAATACCAGTTTGATCTTTTTGTCTTCCAAGGCACAGTTCACCGCTGCCTGCAGTTCAAAGATGCTCGGCCCACTGATGTAGGCTGGGCTCAAAATAATTATTACTCGTCTACTTTGTTTAATAGCTGTAACAACTTCATCTGTGTATACTGGAGAAGAAATGGCAACAATCATTGCTGCATTCTATAATGGACTTCATACCTTATCAGTTCCTTTATAGACAGCTAAAACCCAGAAATAAAGAAACCAAAAATAGGGATGCTAAGAGATCACATAACCCCTATACATGTCTTTTCTATCAGAGGGTGCTGCTGTTGTTCTTATGCAACCTGGAGAACTGAATTTGCTGCTCAGGAGGTAGAGGACAGAGCTGACATGTAAACCCACTTTGTTGCTACTTAAACATCTCAAGGGGCACTTGGACTTGTCTTTGCCTCCCCGGGGACAGGTACTGAGGGCTTTCTAATTACTGACTAAAGTAGCTCAGGAAGTAATTACTGAAATATTTGTGGTCTTCTTTTCAGTGAATGGAGTCTGCTTGCAAAGAAATTCTTAGATGAGAAGCTTCATCTCAGCCTAATAGCTCCCAGAGATCACACTTAAACATATGTATGCCTGAGGCACAGGGGCCAGACATAAAGATCAAAACAACACGAGATTTGAGCAGAAATTCCTGTACCAAAATATACCATTTGCTGATCTGGCGCATAATATTTTATGGAACGTGAAAAACAATTTTATAAAGAACTGAAGATTTTTTACCATCCACAGGGACCTTACCTCCTCCTGGAAGAATATCTCTTTCAAGAATGCATAACTTGTATCCATATTTATTTTCCAGCATATCTGGAAGAAGCTCCAGGGCAAACTTCTCTTCACTAATTAGAGTTGAGTCACTTTCAGAAGAGTCCAGTTTTGCATAGGACACAAATGCATCAAATTCTTTGCCATCTAAAATAAATAAATAACACTATACATTAGCAAATCTGTCTGAAGTATTCAGCTTCTTTCTTAATGTTCAGTTTCCATATATACATTTAGTAGGACATAATCCATTTATACATATAAGTAGGACATAATCCAACAGCTGAGAACACATCTTATGGCTAATCTCCTAACTGGGTGGTCACAATTGGTCTGTACACTCCATGCACCCACATTGTGAATGGTACTGTGTGCATGTGGTACATGAGAGTCAGGGAGAAGGACAGAAGCCACCACAATGGAACCCAGCTGTGTCTTCAACTTCAATGCACAAATCTTGGCAGGTCTTTCTTTGTCCTACTGACATATGGGGTGATCTCTAAGGGGACTTTCCAGAGGTTCTTAAATCAATTTGTTACCGAATAGAGGGGAAATTTTCAGTGATTTCCCAAATCACTTTTGCCAGCTGCCTTAGGGCTCACAAAAATACTTTCAAAAAGGGCAGTTAATTGTCTCTCATTATGTATGTGTTTATAGATAACTAGATCCAGTTATTTCACACTCACGTATAATGCACATATGCACATGCAAACACAAAAGCAGGCCAAGACACCTCTATCTCAATCTGCGTCAAGATTCAAGCATTTTTAGAAAAATTTCCTTAGTTACATGTTCCAGATTTCTTTCAACTCATGTAAGAAAATTATATGTTAAGTTCTTTAAAGCAGTCCAGTCATTTCTGATGCATTTTCATACTGCGTACTATGTTGGAGACCATTTTAGCTGAGATGATGGAGTGATGCTACTGTGAAGATTTGAAATATCAGAAGCTGATCACTAATGTAAATGTCAAGATGGTCAACATAATTTTTAGAAAGGAAATATAAATATTTCCCAAATGTACACTTCTCAGTCGATGCCCTGTATCATCTTATTTTTCTTCTTTATTGTTCCAAGAAATTATAGTCTTCAAGTGAAAAATACAATAGGCTTTGGAGTTCTTCACTTAGTTCTGCAACGATATTTGATTCTTATCCACAGGTTCAGTTGAACACTTTTGGAGAATGAGGTTCAAATGTTGGGGATGCTCAATTATCCCCTGAAAAGGGACTGCCAAAATTCAACTACCTATGCTAACCTGGTTAAATAAGAGATCTTGTAAAAGGCTAACTGTGACATTTCAGTTGGTGTTAGATACTTCCTCCCCACTGCCTGGCTTTGTTTCCATCTAAATCCACTGGTCATCTTGCTAGCTTTAGCAGCATTTGTATTGTATTGACTCAAAGAGAGCAGCTTCAGTAAGAGAATTTAATTAAACAGTTAATTCCCACCGGATAAACCCACACGGAAAAAGGCAGTAGAAAGTATGAATAAAATTAATATTATGCAATGTTTCTTACCTCCCGTAGCTTCATTGTGGACCAGATAACTTCGGTACATCAGCACTATTTCAATCCAGTGCTGGTAAATAACAGCAGTGCACAAAAGTAATGCAAATAGAATAGAAATGGCACTGCACAGGACATGTAAGAGAAATACTGTAGAAAGAAAAGGGTCTATCATAACTCAGGCTTTCCAAAATAATATTGACACTCTAGATGAAAAATTCAGTTCAAAAATGGGGGCAAACCACCTCACAATCTTCTTTCTTACGCCACTGGCAGACCTTAGAGAAGTCAGGAAGCTATTTAGCTGCAAACTTTAACAGAGTTCCAGTCTACCATCAGGGAACTTTTTTAAATACACTCTCCTTGATGGTATTAAAAGGTAATCTGTGATAGAAAGCGCATAGAAAATGGTCTGTGGTACACTCAGCAAGGCTGAAAGTAGTCATCACTTGAGTTGGAGTCGTCACATCAGAGCACACACAGTGCCCTGCTGGAGACTTCCTGTGCCACTCCAAAGATGAATCTCCATTGTGAATTATGTTTCAATGGTTTAACACTAATTCTAGTTTCGGTCTTTGCTTGAAAGGCTTCCACATTCATACCAGTTATGGTAACTTCTCAGAAACATGCATGCTAAGGACTGGGAAAACAAACAAGAAATATCCTATGAAAATCAAGGAATAGTATTGCTTTCAGCAGATGCTCTGATTTGGTTTAGTAGACTGACTATTAATGTTGAGAAATGCTACTCTCCTCTTCTTCCAGTCACTCTTCAGCTTGCACTTGGCCCACTTTCCTGCAATAAGTCCCCATATAGCCCTGTCTTTCTAAGTTGTCATAATGTGCCTTTCTAGACATCTGGCAAATCAAACTTCTCTTATCCAGCTTCAAGAAATTTCTGCAGCTGGCTAAAGTGTTAATGCAAAATGAATTTGTAGCAGCAAATCAAAATGTGTCTTCAAGGGCAAAGAGTCATCCATTGATAGTTTTACCTCTCTGCTTTCTTTTCAGCTGGATCATAGCTGTGGCATTCCCCACTGAATTCTCAGCAAAGCACGTGAAGTTGCTTTCGAAGTCACTTTCAGTAACTTCTTTCAGTTTTGCAACATGAAGAAGCGTGTGCCCCTTTAAACCTTCTGGATAAACACTAAAGAGAGAAAAATATGTATTTGCATGATACCTTTGCTGCTCACGTACACCATCTTCAAATGTCCTAAACACAAAGAGGAGTTTGCAACTTCCTAACACTCATCTTGAACTTTTAACAATGATGTGATATTCTGGTTTGGAAGTTCCATTTGTTTTTTACATTGTAAGAAAATACTAATAACATCAATAGCATGCAGACTGAAGGGTTTATTCTTAATTCATTAACTCAACAAAATTCTTAAGCCCTTGCCTTTTTTTAAATATATAGCCCCATTTGACTTCTGTATGAGTAGTGGTCTTCTAAGATGTAAAACAAATTCTCAGGGTAGAAATGGAGGGAAATGAAACTTCAAAAGGAACCACAAGAGAGAATTAGATGGGCAAAAAGACTGAGCAGCAAAGCCTCTTGCACTGTGGTAAAAAGCCCAAGAACAAGACAGGCAAACAGAATAAAGTATAAGGAAGAGAAGTATGGGAAATGAAGAGGTATCAAAGAAATCCCTTTGGGGCTGAGTGAGGGTTGTACGGAACAGATGTGTGTCTTCAAGAACTCTAGAACCCAGGGTTTCTGTGTCTCAGCATTTCTCTTTGAAAGCCACAAGTACAGTCATCTCTGGTGGTCCTGAAGGCACCTCACATCTTGACACTGCAAAATGACAGTCTACCATTTCCCTACTTCTGCTAACGCAAGGTACATGAGCATGGACAAGAATTCAACCTGTACCAAAAGTCTGTTGGGAATATTCTAGTCATTGGGGTTTTTAAAAAATGAACAGAAATTTTATGCAAAAAAGCTAAAAACCTGGTAAGAAGAGCATTACAAAGTTAAATGTTCAAAAATTAGAAAAATTAAATTTCTAATCTGCCACATGACTATGAATATGTGCATGTGTGTGTGTAATATCATAATTTCTTTTTTCTCATATGACTCCTATTAATAAACGAATTTTAACAATGGCAGCAGGGCTTTAGCTTCTCATGGTGTACAGAAAATTTTCCCCATGAAGATGACTCAGGACTGTGTAGTGAGAGACACACTTGCTGGTGTTGTCTTCACTGTTTCTTGCCCAAGTTGGACACTGCAAAAGTGACTATATGGGTTGTCCCCAGGCCACAGAAAATCTTTCCCCTGCATGTGGCTTTTCTACAGGGTCTGGTTAATTCTTGTCAGGGGAGAATCCTGAAATTTGGTGCCCTGAGATTCAGTCCTCAGACTGCCTAACCCCAATGTCTGAGGCACCCAAACTCCTTTCAATGTCCACAGTACTGTTTTACTGATCTGATTGATTCCCCATTCAGAGGCAGCTTCAAAAGGCAGAACACGTGAGTTGCTGGCAAGGTACAACAGAGGGAACAGTTGAAAAGAGCTGATACAGACACAGGTAACCAAGCACCACTCAACACTGAAGCTCTTCGCAAGGTAAAGCTTTAGGAAGAAGGGTTAAAATTGTGCAAAAAGTTTGAGTTCTTCACTTTATGGTCATCATTATGTGCTTTTGTAAGTGAAGTGCATGTGCCTGTCACATGCTCATTTACATACACATTAATAAATTGAAGAACAGAGCCTTCTGAGTTTCTTTCAGTAAAACGTATTCAGTAAAGTTGTAGAAGGATTTTTATAGCTGCTGACTTTAGTAGTAATCAGACTACCGGGGTTTTTTCCTACCGTGTTTCCTGATTCAATTTCTCATTTGTATTTTCTCTGCTGTTTCTTTTCCATGTTACCCTCATCAGAGAAGCTCTTTCAAACCCAAACTGTACACGGCATTCCAATTCAAGTGGCTTTCCTGGAACAAATTAAAGCAGGAAAATCATGCATGTAGGTTACCAGAATATCTTTCTCTTAAAAAGCCTGGGATCTATATAACATATGATTCTTCCTTTAAAATCCACAAAGATACATACCAAGCAAAAAAAACACATTTTGTATAAAATTCTCATACTTCTAGAAGGCAAAGCTGTTTTGCTTTATCAAGATCTTTATTATCTATTAATATCTCATTTAAACATTTTCTTTCACTTTCAGATAAGGAATCAAAACTCACCAAGCTCTGCTTCGAGGATCATCACACCATTGGGATACAAGAAATTGGGTGGATGGATAGTGTTTTTTGCTGCAATTAACAGGAGTACTGTTAATAACTACAATACTATCATCAGCGCAGAAGAGCAGAGAAAATATCTTACAGAATTTTCTTTTTGAAAAGTTAGGTGGAATTCAGACACCAAAATCCAAAAGGGTGATCTACAGTTGTTGAAACCGCCCAGATAAGGGAGTTTTGACCACAAACCTTATATACCTACTTAAAGACCTGCTATCTCAGTTACTCTGAGACATTGTAGCTTGCATTTAAGGCTATTTAGAACTTAGAAACTAGGGGCTCCCCTTGCAAAATCCCCTGAAGGAGTTTCATGCCAATCCCCATTCAATTAAGCACACACACAGCACAGATACTGGCATTAAAATAACCTTTTCTTTTTTTTTTTCTTTTCATAACAAGGGCTGTCAAAGGGCACAGATAATGGCACCCACAGTTCATACAAGCTACTAAGCAGCTACCCAGCCTCCGGAAAAACAACCTGAAGGTGCTAAAACCCACAGCTCTGATATTCTAGGAAAGTCCCATCCTGCAGGAAATGGTGCCACATAACACTTCGGGTTTTCTTTTAAACCAAGCCACAGAAGAGAAATATATGCAAGATTCAGGTCAATTATGTGTGCATTTGACTCCTTTCAAATGTTTTTCTGGCTGTGCTGTGAAGTGAGGGAAAAGAACTGAGAAGCACAGTGCTTAGCTCAGGCTTAGTGTGATCAGAATAAAAGCAGATCTATTTCATAACGAATTGGAAAACATTTCAGGAATATAGCCAGAGAAAGGAGTGAAAGAGCATTGTAACTCAGAACACAGATGTCTCAAAAGATGGTGAGGTGTGGTTTCCAGACCCTGTTCTGGTGGGGAGTATATATTTTTCCCATGACTTCTTGGTACCAAATGCATGAAACATCTGCAAAAAAGGGAACAGCTATTTCAGGGGAGTGCCGTACTCCCCTAGACCATGGAATTTCAGAGGAGTGATGTCCTCACTAGACCATAGAACCAGGTTGCCTCCCCTGACACCTTTTTTTTGCTCCCTAAATCTTGTTCTCCCTTCTGCAGTAACACACTTTCAACAAGGATGCTGAGAATGGGTCCCACACTGTTATACAAAAACAGCTGTACTGGGCTCATCCAGCTCAGGATATAGAAAGTAGCTGTACTATAGAAAGTAGCTGTACTTTCCTCTAGGACCTGTGATTGAAATAAGTCTCAACCACCACTCAACCACAGGCATCTGGAGTAAAGAGTAACCACATCTCTCTTCTGGCAATATAAACAGTCTCTCTCTTTTGTGATCCTGAGTTTCAAGCATGCTCCCTTGTTGACATTATCCAACAGCTCTCAGGTAATACCTGCACTTCACCTGAAGGGTAGGAGAGGACAGTAAATATTATGGAAGAGGTTACCATGATTTGTAGGAGAATATAAAGTCATGCCATATCAAAGTGCCATAGCGTTCTGGATTAACACTCATTGGCACCAGCTGGAGTTTCATGAATTCTACTCCCAGATCAAAGAGATCTAAATCCTTTTGTAGACTTGGTCTCCACTGTTAGGAACTACAAGAAATCCAAGGGGGAATTAGATCTTGAAAACCATGGCATTTTATGCTATATGTTGTTACTGAACAGCTTACAAGGATGCCTGAGAGGGACTCTCCATCAGGGACTGTAGTAATAGAACACAGGGTAATGGGTTCAAACTTAAACAGAGGAGATTTAGATTGGATATAAGGAGGAAATTCTTTACTGTGAGAGTGGTGAGGCACTAGAACAGGCTACTCAGGGAAGTTGTGAATGCCCCATCCCTGGCAGTGTTATAGGCCAGGTTGGATGGGGCTTTGAGCAACGTGGTCTAGTGGAAGGTTCCCCTGCTCATGTCAGGGGGTTGGAACTAGATGATCATAAGGTCTTTTCCAACCCAAACCATTCTATGGTTCTATAACTGAAGGTTCTAGTCAAGATGTCCTCAGAATGCCTGGAAGAGGATTTTAATGATCATGTAGCAAATTCAGGTTATGGATTTTCAGAACAAGAGCCTGAACAAAAGACATTAATAGGGTAGGAAAGAATAGAGAAAACAGAATTTACTTAAGGTATTCTATTCTGAGTTATTCTATTACTCACTGATGACTTCTACTGTAACTGTTGTTCTCACTGTCCACTTGGTAGTGTTGTCATATAGAACATAATCACACACATATATTCCAGCATCTTTGTCATAGGTTGGATTCAAGTAGATTTCATTATGCTTAAGCTTTAGGCTTTTTCTGGTTTTCCTATGCTTTATCTGATGACCATCCTAAAAAAAAAAGAAGAAAAAAATAATATCAAGGAATTAGAAGTCTTTTGTTGTTGTTGTTGCTGTTATTAAATTATATTTTAGGATATTTGGATAGTGTTACCATGGCAGTAAATCTAAGCCAAACTCATTACATTGAATCACTAAAAAAAGATTTATTAGGAATCTGAGGACATTTGTCAGTGATACTAAAAAAATTTCTGGTCTATAATATGTGATTATCATTTAAAAATTATTTTAGATTTGTGATTCTTGAGAAAAATGTGAAATCATGAACCTAATCTAAATTAAACTATTACTAAAGAACAACAAAAAAATCACCTTTTTGATGGATTTTTTTTCTTTATAAATAAATTCTTTTGAAAATATTTTTATGTTCATGGATTTGGATTATCTGAGATTGACAACACTGTTCTATTCAAAAGATCAAAACTCACTAATTTTTGAAAAGCACTCCTATTTTTCAACTCAGTGTATTCATATTCTCTAAGACCACTAAGAATTTTCCATTAATCAAATTCCTGAAAAAAATCCACTGGAGAGAAAGCATTTCTAGGCTTCTCTTTCGTGGAATGATATTCTGGGTGTGGCAAATTTCATCAAAACTCTTACATGCCAACTTGATATATAACAATTCAAGATTCTACTTTGGGGTTTAACTTTTCAGGCTGCGTTGTCTGCCAAACAAGAATTCAGAAACCTATGGCACATGAGCATTAACTAAACCACTGAACTTTTTTGAATGCTCAAGACAGTAACTCTTACCTTGTACCATTTTACATCTGGCTTTTTTATATGGCTGTAGCATTTTGTTCCAGGACAAGTTATTGAATTCCCATTGCCAGCAAGAAGATAGAGCATGCTTGTGTCATAACCTGAACATTTTGCCACCTTTTTTGTATGAACCTCCAAAACAATTTTGAGACATGGGATTTTTTCCCTGAGTGATGCAGGAAAAAAGTTAAACATTTAATACACAAAATAAAGCAAAAGAAAACAATTATTCTTGTATAGATATAAAAGCCTTTTGTTCCATTACATACCATATTATACAGATGAACACTCCAGAATCGCTGTCTCTTACAGGTTTAAACCAAAGTACATCCCCTTGGAGAGCAGGATTAGAGCTTTCCTTGATAATCTTCAGTGGCTCTTTGTCTTTTTGCCAGAACCATTTCACCTTATGTTGTTTTGGAAGTGAGTTGTTATAAATGTGGGTAGCATCTCTATCTGGTAAAGCACATTGTAAAACAAATTCCTCACCACTAATTGCACGATACCATATTTGAGGATCGACATGGGAACATCCTGAAAACAGGACAATAATACATCAATACCACCTGAAAGATCACACAGTCATCATGTTTTAAAAATATAATTAGGAATACTACAAAAATACGACTTTCCTTTTTGTTAAATAATTTTATGTGACCAGATGCTGGACTAATAGAGAATTGATTTCCTTAAACATGAAATTTGACAGTGATTTCAAAAGTTCATCCAAAGGTTTCCAAAGGTTTATTAAGCCTTTTTTAAAAGCCTAATGTAAAAATAGCTTAAGATTTTTAGCAAATCGAAGATTTTCACATGGGTGCCAATCTGTTAAGCCTCAACTCTGTAGGAAAGCAGATGCAGCTTCTCTAGCCCTCCTCATCTTAATGGAGAAGGGACTAACATAAGCCTGAAGAAGCAGAGCCTGAGAACCATACTCCCTCTTTTGGGTAAGGTTGACTATCATTATTGTCATGCTGATTTCAAATCTTTCCCCTCGTATGTTTCAGCTACTGTCACTAAAATTAAACAGATTTTTGGATGCTGAAAGCTGTGGTCACATACCCAAATTCTCTGAAGGCTGACTGACTTTGCTGTGTAACCCCTCCAGCCTGTCAAGCTGTGGTAACCCTTGAGAATATGGTAGGATTTCACTTCAGCAAAAGTGACAGCATGAAATCTTCAGTTCCTCACCTGCCCACCTGGGAGACTCTCTGTTTTGGTTTCTCTCTGTGAACTGAATTGAATCAAGCTCCTTCAAATACATTGTGTGGGCTTGGACCAGCTGCTGGAGACTTCGAGGAGTTAGAGAAGCAATTCATTTGCTCCATTCGGTTCTCAGAAATTTTCCTTTACGTTTGCCATTTTCTTTTCATTTTTTAATCCTATTTACAGTAAATTGTATTACCAACACTTAAAAACTTTACAGAAAGGCTAGAAACAGCTGTTTGTCTTACATGAGTATAAACAGGTACAGGGAAAAGTCATGAAGGCATGTCAAAATGCAGATCAACTTTTCTCAGCTGTTAGAAAGTGCCACAAACCCCAAAACTCACCAAAGAAGCCTCTTACCTAAAAAGTTAATCTCTCTAACTTCTGCCCCATTGACAAACAATGCTAGGATCCAGCACAAAGTGAGCATGATTTTCTTCACCAATTCTGGTTGATATTCTGAGATATTTTCTGTAAGAATCATGTTGCTTTCTGTAAAAGAGAAAGACAAATTTTTTCTTTTCCAAGTAATACTCCAGTAACATAGATAGGCAGTTACATATCTTATTATGTAGCTCTATAAAACATACAGACAGTATTTTCTAGATATTGTGCCTTTTGAAATGGGGTTTGCAGCACTCTTCCTATTCATACTATTTCACACAAATGCAGGATAGATGATATTCAAGAATATGAGCATCCTTTTTAAATATATCTATCTTGCATAGAATTGCTTACAGAGGGATTTCCAAGCTTATGGCAATGCAGAGCTCCACATCTGGAATGGAAATGCAGGTCTTGCAGGAGATGTTGCTGTTAGAAGAGGAACCTGTCCTCTAAGATGATAGATAAGATACCAAATAACAAAATATGTCTTTAGCTAATGACAACTATCAGCAATAGACAGAGAAAGACATAACTGGCACTAAAATCCATGGAGATATGTTTTATCCTGAAGGCCAACAGGCTCAGAATATGTAAACTGGATTCCTTTGGGATTATCAAATCTAAAGATACTCTGCAGCTACAGCTGGCATTGAGTCCATGAGACTGGAGCAGAGCTATGCAGAAGGAAAACCCTAAAAGCATGTACTGTATAGACACCAGGTCTTTGGTCCTAACTCATTCACCCAAGAGACATGCTCCTATTAGGCTTTATTACCAGCTAAAATGGATATACCATAAGATGTCCATTAGGGTCTGCAGAGGAACCTAAAAAAACCCTCCTCCTCCATGACTTACCTGTATGTGCAGCATCAGACCTCCCTTCTGCACAATGAGTCCTGTGTTGCACTGCCTGAATGACCCTAGCAGAGACCTGCTCAACAAGGTAACATCCACACCACTATAAGCTATCAGCTCAGTGGCATACTATCTCTGAGCTGAGACCAGGGACACCCAGGGGATGTGGGAGCAGGACCCGAAATCACTCAGCTGCGCCCAGACCCCTACATTACAGCACCCTATACAAGATGAAACCCCAAACACTATTGCATTAAGTGTTTTGTCTTTCCTACTAGGAGGTTTCATCTGTGTACCACAGCCTTCTTGACCACAGGGCTAGAGGGAAGGCAGGCTGTCAATCATGCATATTCAACAGCTATGGCTTAATTTGCATATTTAGTAAGAACATACCCAGTGCCTGTGATTGACATGTCTGGAGTGCCTGATTCAGGAGTAAAGGCCATGTGCTTTGCTAATGTTAATGTTATGCAACTGAGACCTCAAGGAGCTTTTTCCTTTGCATGTTTGGCCACAGAGGGACTCTGCACTTGCACATCTGCCAAAGAGGCACTGAGTCAGCCCAGAGGAAAAAAAGAAAGGTCGGGCAAAGGCTAGTCCCTTGACTGTTGTCACCTCATGCAAATTAGACACCACTCATACAGGCAGGCAGCAAGAGAGCATCCAGCGCACATAGACGTAGCAAAAGACGTGAAAAGATCTCTCACTCTGTGCTTTTTCACGCAGCTGTTCTATGCAGAGAGGAGCACTTTAGTCATCATTCTCTTCAGCACATCTTTATTCCTTGCAAGTGAACGGAATGATCTATTTTTACACTCAGAGTTCACATAGAGTAGGTTAACTCACTTGTCTTAGTGCATCCTGGTGGTTTGTAACAGATTGGCTGCCGCCAACTGTCATCACCCCATTCATCTTTCTAAATCAGCCTGAAACTCCTGACCAATACATGTGTCTGAACAAAGAGACAGTTTCCCAGCAGCACTGGGCAGAGGCCCTCCTAAACTTTAGGATTTATCCACTGTAAAAGGATCAATGGAACCTTACTCTTGAATCTGAGTTTATGACAACTATAAAGACCTCTCTCAGGGCTTCATCTCTACCCCATTAATACTGTATAAAACAAAGGATGAGTTATATGACCCAACAGCCCACGTGGCAAAGACACTGTCATGGTCTAAACCCAATCATCAACATAAGTACCACTCAGCTGCTGCCTTACACTTCCCTTCCCCAGTGGGATGGGGAGCAGAATCAGAAGAAGGTAAGACCTGTGGCTTGAGGTAGAACAGTTTAATAATTGAAATAAAGTAAAATGCTGTAATTATAAAAATAATAATAATAGGAAAAAGAGAGAGAGAAACAAAACCCTATAAAGACAACTGATGCACAATACAACTGTTTCCCACCCGCTGACTGATGTCCAGCTCATCCCCAAACAGCAACCTGTGGCTCCTGATCAACTTCCCAGAGTTTATACACTGAGTATGGCATTTTGTGGTATGGAATACCCCTTTGGCTAGTTTGGGTCAGGTGTCCTGTCTTTGTTCCCTCCCAGCTTCTATTGCCCCTCGTCACTGGCAGAGTATGGGACACCAAAAAGTCCTTGATCAGGGTAAGTGCTACACAGCAACAACTAAAACATCGTTCTCCCACTAAATCCAAAACACATGAGCATACCAGCTAGTAGGAAAAAAAAATAACTCCACCCCAGACAAAACCAGGACAGACATACTGGTGTTGGTAGCAAGCAGGAGCCAAGGGCCTTGTGTGTAATTCAGTGCTGCAAGTGAGCTGATGCAGGCAGTCAGTATTGTCAAAAGTGGAAGGTCTCATTTATTTCTTTGTCCTTTCCACTGCCTTGATCCCAGACAAATGATCCAGGCCCTTTCCTATAACAGCTGCAATCCTTTCTGGTGATTCATTTAACCTGTTAAGCCATCAGAAGCTACCTGAGAGGTGCCTGATATGGCACAACATAGGCAGTGGAAGCGTTTACTTCCCAGCTGCCCATTTGTCTGGGGACACACAGGCTACCTGTAGCAAAACAAGTGACCATTCACAATGCATTTGATAATGCCAGTGATGTATAATCTGTCTGCTCTTCAGTTTATTGCCATGCTAACAATATTCTCTTCAAGCTCAACAGGTCAACACAAATGTGGAAGAAGTGTAAAAGGGATGGTTAGCTAATGAATGTTACAGGTTTGGTTAGCAATCTGTATAACTTTCAATGTTCTTCTGCTAGCCATGGGAAAATGTACCACTGCCAATATTTTCTTGCTGATGACACTTTTATTATAGAACCCTGTAACCTTTGAATTTTTATAGTGCTGAAGAAGTACAGTAGTGCATGAAATTAAGAAGTGTTGTCTTGCAAATATGTTTTGACAAGAAGACATATTCATAGCAGAAGCAGACAGCAATTACCAAAGGTGCGGTACTTGAAGCAGGATAATCTTTAACTGACCATCCAGTGCACTACACAGGGTCTGAAGATGAACCAGTAACTCAATATAATCGGTGACTCATTTTATCTCGGTTAGTATCTGCAAGAAAAAGAAAGCACTCTACTCTGGGAAACATATTACCAACAGTCTCTCCACCTTCTCCTGTCATGTACCCACCCTTACTACTGTATCCTTAGTGTAGGGAATTAGGATGCCATTTATTTGGAAACGCATATGCAAAGGAAACTAATGTGGCCTTAACACAACTTCCTGTGGTGAAAAAAAAGTACAGGAGAAGAATAAAAACTGTATTATTTTGCATATCTTCAAACTCTTAGCAGACTCTCACAAAAAAACAATTAATCTCTATGTCATAGCATTCTGTGTGTACTTACATAAAATATAAGCACAAGAAATCAAGATCAACTTCTTGAGAGCTGCACCAAGTTTCATGATATCTCTGAAGCCTAGTAAAGAGTGGCATGCCACAGTCTTACAATCTACTACTCCCGTTCTGATGAAAATCACTTCATTCAGCGTCAGAGCTATCAACTCCTGTGTCTTGTATTGGAATTACCACAGTAGAAAACCAAACGTAATCTGAATCTAGGAGTAAGATTAGTAATAATCACACAGAAGAAAGCTTTACCATACCTATAAAGAAAAAAAATTACCCTAGCCCTACTGAAGCTACTTACTAGACCTTACCCTTTTGTCTGACCAAGCAACTAAAACTGATTTACTTTAAAATGCACATTCAAAGGTAATAAATCAACTCACCTACGAAGTAGATGGGGTAGGGTAAAATCCGAAGATAAAAGCTTTAATTAAAATAAAAATATTATCTGAAAATCTTACCTGCACATCCTACACTATATGGTAAGAAATGTGGTTAGTTCTAGCTGTTCACTGTGTTGAGTCTGTTTCCTTTACAGGAATTTCCTTTACCTCACTGTCATCATCCCTTCCTTTCTCAGTTTAGTTCTGTTAGGTTCGAAATTTCCTGATGACTTTCTTGTAAAAAGAACGAGGGAAAATACTTTGCCCTTAGTTAAAAAATCTAAGCCTTTTGGGTTCTAAAAATCTTATATTTACATTGTGTGAAGAAATGCATTGGACTTTTTAATTTGTTCCGTTTAAGAGGACGAAGGGTAAAAGTGTTTTGGGGTTTATTTTTTTTTTTTTGCCTGAATGCTGTTACTAGGTGGTTAAAAACAAACAAACAAAAAAAAAGTGTAATATCTGATATCTACAAAAGAACCACAATTCTGTTCAATACTGAGTAATATCCACTGTAAGAGCCTAGTTCTCCTTACTCCGAGCCTCTCAGCTACTTTCCACACCCACTGAAAGTTGGCATTATAAGGAGGCTGTGCCACACTATTGCTTTCTATCTGTGCCCTCCCAGTTAAGCCTTGTTGGTTACCTCAGCCACAGCTTTGGCAGAAAGAGAAGTCCTGATCGATGTGGGTTATTTGTATCTTGCCCCCTTGGCCCCACTAAGCAGCAGGGCATTGAGCATATACTGTCCCACACAGTGCAACCCCCTCTTGCAGGCTTCCTGTATGGATGTGACTCCCCTAAAAAAGACAGGCTGTACAGTGACTCAAACTACATAAAAGCATCTGAGAGCACTTTGTCATCAACTCAGAACCCAGTTCTCCCTATTTCAATAGGGGTTGAAAAATATTGTAGTAACAATACAACAACAAAATACAACAAAAATAGGTTGTAAAATATACAGGTTCAGCAGTTTGCACCAGTCATTTAAGGAGCAGTAGGACTTCTTCCTTTTTGTGTGAAGTTCTCTCTCCTTACTGCACATTGGGTCTATTTCCATAAGAACCTAAACTATGGGTTTTTTGCTCTAGAACAGGAGATTTCAATCTTGCCTCTTCTTATGTACATATTCTTTTATGCAATGGCCAGTACTAATGCTTGATTCTGTTGGGTTCTGAGCATTTGGAGATACATGATTTGTATTCTCAGCTTCCAAAGTGTACTTAGCTCTCTGCCTTTTCCAGAACAAAGCCCACTAATGATTAAACTTGGTGTCTGTCTCCTAAAATACTTTGTGTTTTGCCCCAGTACCAAATATATATCTGGTTTATGAATTACAAAAGGCTCCAATGTATATCTGTACATTTCACTATAGAGTTCAGCTTTTTGAAGGTGTCCTTTCTGCCTAGAAAAAGAAGCACTGTATTTTCCTCTTCCCTTGAAGGAATTAGAAAGTGCAACGCAGATAAAGTCAAACTATTCTGCCTTTAAGCCACTGCTCAGACTATCAGACAGAAAAGATGGCTCTTTCCCAAAGACAAATTTTAAGGAACAAAATGTGTCTACTCATTAATTGTAAGTCCCCACTGTTGTACTGTCAAAGTAATGGGCTTATTGCATTCAAAAAAAGAAGTATAGCAGTCCAACTTTAAGAGCAGATTTTAGAAATACAACAGAAACACCCGTCACATAAAGTTTTGAAAACCATGCTGCCAAAAGACTGAGTGGTATGTCATGCTGGTTACTTCAACTGCATGAAAATCTTACCAAATAGTACCAAATATTTGGCTGAGCCTCTGCTCCAATTCACCCTTTCCCCTTTTGCAAAAGTCATGTATATGCTAAAAAGCAGCCTCACTTCCTGGGTTCATGTTTATCCTTTGCTGCTAGAGCAAGTCTATAAAGGAAAGGGTAAAGGATGGTTCCAGAGTACCATCTCTGCTTCCTTTCTCTCTCCTCCTTCTCTACTCACACACAGATATCATATTTGATATTTGATGCTATAGTTCCAGGAAATTGTGCCTCCCCACCCCTGTGGACATTCAGTCTTACCTTGTCCATCTCACTTTCACTCAAGCATTTTGCCACCCAAGGAACAGGGAGGGGGAATGCACCATCTCAGTGTGTGTGTAGTGTAGTCTTATATTGCTGGGAGGTTACATCTTTTAGTATTCTGGTACTCTTTTGCCTTGACACATTTACATGTCACCTCCTCCTCTGCCCAGCTATGGTTAACACCAGTGGGTAAGAAATTTTCCATTTCGATTATCTCTACACTGAGTCAGTGGTGTTGATTCTGCTGTCACAGCAGGTGTCTGAACAATATCTAAACACAAGCCTCTGTCCATTTTGTATTAGGTTATACAGTCTACTGATATCTGGATGTGACACATAGAATTCTAGACCATCCTTCACAAATTAGCTGTGTACCTTTTGCACACATCCAGCACTCCAACTGTGTTCTCAAGTACACTGAGAAGGTAACAAAGTCCCTCCACTACAGCTGCATGAATTAAGTATCAGTGTCAAAGAAATGCCTCCTCAGAAGCAGCTTTAGTTGAGTGCAAGACAATGAGGAGAATGGGCTGAACCCTGATGGTCTCCTAGAAAACTGACAGAAGATCTTCCAAAATGATTCTCTATTGATTTCTCCCCATTGATACTAGAAGGAAATATGGTTCCATTTTATCAGATTTATCCATTTAATCAAATTTATGTCAGATTAGTATATTCTGCCAGGCAACTAACAATAACGGAGGATTAGTATGGTTTTTGAATGATATTACTATGTATGTTTTAAAAAACAATACTAAATACAAATGTTCCAAAGGGTTAGGAGTATATGTACATACTGAAGAGCTTATTGTCATGTAAATCCCCTACATCCCTCAGCTAAAGGCAGCTCATGTTGTAATGTAGATATCAGTGTCCATGAGCAAAAAACTGTTATCTGTAGCTCACCCGCCTCCTCTCCCTACCAAAATGAGCATTTACAGTATTCTCAGTGAAACAGAAGAATGGAAACAGTCTTTACCATTCCTCCAAATCAGTCCCATTCGGCTTTTTCAGGCTACATACAACTCTGTAGCAAATACTGCTAGCAGGACCAAATCTACCTAACTCTTTCTAGCCTCCTTTTTTCTGTTTTCGTTTGATTTTTTCTGCTTGACATTGCTCAAAGCCTATATGCAAAGCTCTATAGGGCAGGAGCTGTTTGAATCTGCTTTCAAGCAAGGTCCTTAGGAAAATCCAAAATACAAAATGAAAAGCATCTAAATAATAATATGTGTCAAATAGAGATCCATTTATTAAGGGGACTCAAAATGTATGCACGTATAATTCATATCATTTTACATTACTGAAAAATGTGAAATCAAAATGTCCTGCATTGTATTTTGTGCCATGTGGCAAGTCCTAAGCAGAATGGAATTTCTGCTTCTTGTGCAGATTGTTAAGGAAACTCTTTGGGATAACATTTAGCATCTTGGCCACTGTAGCAATTTCTACATTCTTCTCAGATCCCAGACTTGGCCTCTTCTGAACACTGTCTTTCCAAAGCAAGTGTGCAGTTTGTGTTTTCAAGTAGTTAGCAAAATGCACAGTCTTCTGCCTCCAGAACTGTTATAGAACTCCATTAAACTCACAGCCCTCAGTCCGTGGCTCAGCCCCTTGCGAGCCTAGGTCACGATTATTACAGTGACCTTTGATGTTTTTCTTAGTAGGTTTCGCTGGCATCAGGTACCGAAGGTTCTTCCAAAATCTGGAATTCACAGGAAGAGATTTATCCTTTTTCCACTTCACAACCCCCTTTGATGGTAAAAGAGACAGTGATTCTGGCAAGAAACTGTAGTCACTTATTGGCATATACTCAATTAATATGATCTTAGTTTTTCTTTCAACTAGGGCTTTATGCAGTCCGCTTTCAAGTTCATATATGGCTCTGTCAGAAATGTAGTTCTGGCTCAGTATAATGATTAATCTTCGGCTTTTGTCAATGAATGAATGGATATCATCAACAACCGCTGCAAATTAAAGATAAACGTATTATTAAACTAAATTGAAAGGATAGGCACTGAATTGACTTATGCATTAACAGTCAAACATGTACCAAAATTGCTTCCCTTATAATGCTCCTATAGAGAAGACATGTAAGCATTCTGTCCCTATGGAAAGATGAATATGCATTATAGATTAAGAGCCTGTGAAAATGAGCTCAGGTGTGGCCAAAGCTCGTTCTCTGGAGCAGACAAAAGAACTCACATTCAGTCTCCAGCTATCCTAGACCACTGTTGGTAGTCAGATGGATACAAGGTGACAGCAGAATGTATTTTCTTCCAACAAGACATCTCTTTGCTCTTTTGTAACAGATACCATCGGAGTTATTCCACAGAAAGACACTACCAACCACCTTTCTCTAAATATTCAGTATAACCCTCAAGTTACTCCTCCCTCTCCTTCCTTTACATCACAGAATAGCCAAATCTATTGCCAGCAATCCAAGGTTGAGAAGACTAGCATGTGATGACAGAATGAGTTACAATTGTGTTTCAGATCCATGACTTTTGTCATGACAAGTGATGAATGAAATCAAATAGTGATACCCTTTAAACAACCAAGAACCAAACTGAATTCTCAGGCACAACTTCCTGTGCTTGCTTCATCACCATGGGACACAGTCTACAGAGACCAGAGATGCAGAAAATGTGCCCTGTAGGGAAAGGCAAAGCAAACTGTGGAAGTAACCTGAAGAGAAAATTGAGAGGAGAAAGTGGCTAATAGGAGTACTGCAACACACCAAAGGTCCTGTAAGTAGAAGGAAATACTCTGTTTTCTATATTCATAATGGATCAGACCAGAGAAAAGGAAGTAAGTTAAAACTATTGAAAGAATCAGATTGAACACTTCAGGAAACCTCTTTTTTTTTTTTTTTTAGTACTTAAGGGGAGAGAATAACTGCAAAAAACATTTACTGGGAGAGCTGTGGTACCTCTCAGGTTAAAAAACTATGTCAGGAATTGGTAGAAGGAGACAAGATGCTGCCTGAAGAAAGCTGGCTGACCTTCTGTGTTTTTAACGATTAAATCCTATTCCTCAATGAGATCTTTGGACTAAATTGAATCCCCTAGTATCTTTTTTCCAAGCATCTGCAAAAGGCTGTCCATCCATAGGTCATTTAGAGAAACAGAATTCCATGTTCACATTTCTATTTTGTTATGACACCCTTTGCATTCACAAAATGGTTTCAACCACCACACTGAAGACAGAGTAAAAAACATGCAAGTTATCTAATAACTAGTACCAGAGACAGCAGCTGCTCTGTGCAGTAAATGAGAGTCCATTTGTAGGCACCTGCTCTCAGCAAAAGCAGAGCAAGAGCACTACTACTGTGAAACATCTGACATCATCTGTATTCTCACCTTATCTTTCTACATGTTAGCTTCTTCATCTGTTTACCTTGGTATTGTGTAATTAAAGATATGCATGTGTGTGTGTCTAAGTGTACATGAGTTCATAAAAATATCTATAAAACATGTAAAATGTGTGCATGTGAACACTGCATGCACATAGTCTAGATTAAATATAAAACACACAACACATTTGAGATAATTCCTTCTAATTACACACTTTCACCTTTGTGAGAAAATGATGTGCCTATTTAATGACAAGAATATTCAGTGCACTTACCTCTTCCAGGGGATACATCCCTCTCAAATATACATAACTTGTACCCAAAGTTCTCTTCTAGTATCATGGGCAATATCTTCAAAGCAAATTCTCTCTCTTCTTCAGTAGGAGAAACACAGTCTTTCAGGTAAGACACAAATGCGTCATATTCTTTTCCATCTGGAAAGAAATCACCAATTGTTGTCTTGTTAGGAACCATTAGAAACATGGATCTGATCCACCACTCTGGTTTTCAAAGTAATTGTCTCAGTACCAAATCATCTAGAAACTACTTTGATACCCTGAACAGTCTTGAAACAAACAGACAAAAAAATCTGAATCAATTTAAATTTAATACAAAAGATTCTAATTGCATTGGGCAAACATTTGAAAATAACATACCCCTCCTACATTAAGGTAGTTTTTTAAAAAATCAGATTAATTTAACTAATTAAAGTCACAAGTGTGATGAAAAAATTAAGGGAAGCAAAACTGTGCCTGTAACCTGGCAAGAATGTTATTTAAGTGACATTGAAGACACACACATTTATTTTACTCTTTGTGCAAAACTACCAAGTAGTTCTGTAGAATGGGTACTGGCAAAAGAGAATAAATCAATTTATTATTTTAATTATGAAGGTATACAATGTCTGGCCATGCTTTCAGCAGTAATATACAAACATGAAATCCAGGAACAGTTCAAAGGCCAGGTCTGCCCTGCTGAGTGATATCTAATTCAGCTCTGCCATGGAAAACTATCTGAATTGATACAGAGGTGCACACAGCTTTGCAACTTAAACAGTACTTTGCTTCCCTTCCTAGATACTTTAATACATATATTTCATAAGACAGAGCACAAACTAAAGTCCATGAAATCCTACACATGCAAAAGCTCTAGGAGTAGGAAATCCATTGCCTAGTATCAGACAACCAGTTCCTCCAGGGTGGCATAATGCAGGCTCTCGTAGATCCTCCCGGTAAACCAGCATAAACAGTGATAGCTAACATCAGCAGACACATAAATAATACTGGCAGACATCCCAACCACTACAGTATATTCAAGCTGATTTAGAGAATAAGGAGGGCTAAGAAAAGCAAGTATATGTATACAGCAATATTTTTTCACACCAATTTCAGAAAAATTATGCACAGAACTTGGTGACTCTTGGACTTGCTCCTTAACTGAAGGTCACAGCAATGCTGCATGGTAGATTACTCATAGTGTGCCCTCCTGCTCTCAAGTGCTCTTAGTGACAAACATTGTGATGTTATACATATAAACACTGCAGTGGCCTCTACAGTCGAGGAAGCGTTTTAACCAATTTAAAACAAATTTATGCCAATCTGCCTGTCTGACAACTCTAGAGTGCTGATCCTCTTTACAGATAGATAGTTGCAAACTTCTCCACCTTCATCAACTTTTGTGATGAATATGGCAGAACAGAGCACATTTGAACTGCATTTAACCACATCCCTTCCACTACCTGCTCCAGGAGCAGCTTCTTCACTGTGTTTATTTGCTGCTACTGCCTCAGATGTATAACAAACTTATTTTAGCACCTGACCATCAAGTTCTCTTTTACATATTCTTTGCTGCTTCTAGGCACAAAACTCCTGGGTTTATTTTGTCTGTTCCTCAGATGATTGTTTTAGAGAACCTACCAGAAACTATGTTCTAATCAATACACTTACTCCAGTGTCAACATTAGCCAGCTCATACCTCTAGCAGTGTCATCTCTTCCGCACACGTTCCTGTAAAATAGAACTAAGTCGACTCTAAACATCACACAGACAAACACTGCGGCTACAGCAGCACATGGAAATAGTACAGCAAGGACCATTCCTGTTGTAAAAACGTGCACAGGCAGATCTCGGGTGTTCCCTGTAAAACAGATACCCAGGAAATTACAGCCTTAACAAAAGGCATTATATGACAAGATTACAAGATTACTCTATTTGGTACTGATGGCATCTTAAAATCACACCCAGAAAATCTCAATGTTGGCATGAATACTTTCCTGTTAATACTTCAAGCACATATACATGCCATTTGTCCTGAGATGGAGAACTACAGAACATGGACTACTCTAAAAACTGGATGAACAACCTTGCATGCATTCACATGCACACCACACACATAAATGAACTGTATGTGGGATCAAGACTGACACTACAATAAAGCACCCCAAATTGGTGGTTACCTCCTTTTATGATGAGGTTTTTCAGGTTATTACTTCCTGTTATTCCCTACCTTTCACCCGCGTCTCTGTCTATCAATAACAGTCCGTATGATCCCTTTAATCCCTTAGACCAAGGTAGATAATTTTTTTTTCCCCTTCTGTCTCTAGTATCTTTCACTATTTTTTTCGCCCATAATTATAATTCTGATACCTTTGCCTTTTAAGTTCAAAATACAGATTTTTTACCCTTAAATATGTGAAGTCTTTGTGAAGGCACTGTGAAGTCATGCTCCTGTAGTCAGACTTTCATTTGGTTTATAAAATGCAACGTCTTTTGACTAGTGTATTTCCACATATTTGCTCCCAGTACAGCTTGGAAAGGTCTGAGAGAGATGGAAGGGAAGGGGAATTCCCATTTGCCACAAATCTCCAGGCTGTCTGGACTATAAATGTGAAGTAGTACTATATGGTAGATGTCAGCTTTCCATAGCTAGAAGGATAGAGTCCCTGACAAGAGAGAAACTATGGTCCAGAACATTTCAGGCATTATCAGGAATATAAAAGATTGACCTTTCAGGAGGGGGAGGGAAGGGGGAGGGGGAATTTTAGAGCTGCTTAATAGGCAAAGTGATCCAAATAACACACTTTGGGCTGCACCAAACTTTGGTTAGTTAACCCCCACGATCCCACTAATCTAATAATTAGGAAGGGACAGTGAACTTTCTGTCATGGGATCTAACAAAGTGCCACCCAGGGATCTGTCAGCTGGAGCATAGCTCAGCCTCCTTGTCTGTGTCCACAGCACCAGAGTCGAACTATGGATCCCTCATGCAGCTGTTCTAGGAGACATAGCAGCAACTCCTGCTGCCCCTGTCTCAGAGCAGGAGGAATCACCCAGGGGGCTGTTAGGTCCAGCACTAGATAGGCCAGGCCCTTCATAAGCACACCGACACTTGGAAAGATGTTATGAAACCAGTACCCTGCCGTCAGGACTGAGAAGGCTGGCATAGTTAGTAATTACTTATGAGAAGTATTATTCACAGATTATACTGTACCTTTCTTCAGTTTCACTATTTTTGTTTGTGTTGTTTCATCAGCTTGCAACATGCAGGTGAAATTATGACGCATGTCCTCCTCTGTTACTTTTTTAATCTGTAGTAGCCTTGTGACATAGAACTTGTTTCCCAGCCTGCGACAAGGAATGGTGTTAGCAACACTATCTGTAGAGAAGCCTACAACCAGCCCAGAGGCAGATTTTGAGGAAAAGGTTCTAAAGTAACCTCCGACTGAGGTCTTACTGACTTTGCAGTTCCACAAAGCACAGGGCATTGTCACAAACAAAAATGCAGTATCCTCAGGAAACCTACTGTAATTTTTTGAATTCTTCTTCACATACTGAAGGGTCTGTCTCAGGGATACCTGTGCATTTTTCTGGAAACTCTTGATTAATTAACCAGTAGAGGCTGGTGTCTTCTGGCATATAATAACCCAAGAACCCTGTGCAATTGAGTATCTCTTCTTTACCTAAACAAAACACAACGTGAAAACATCTAGTCAGACGGAGCATTCACATTCACAGTGCAGTGAAATGACAGCTTTCCAGGCAATGTATCCCATAAGCAGTGTTCTGTTCTGGACTTCATAGCCCTTTGCAGAATGTTTTATAGATGTTCTAAAATATAATTACAGCCTTATAAAATCCTGGATCCTGCCCAACACTGTGTGAAGACTGAAGACCATGTTATCTAACCTACTTCCAGCCAAAAGCACAGTTAAGGTCTTGGCTTTTGACAATATGATCTATTCTTTGAAGCAGTGACAGATCTTTATGCTCACATTACCAGGACTGTCAGCCCTCACACTACCCATTTCCCTGCAGAATAACATCTCCTCAACTAAGATAGGTAGTAAGGGAATTACTCATTATTGGTGTTCACTGAACAAACTGTACGTCTTTCACATGTTACTCTGTGGGGTTAGCTATCTACAAAAGAAATTCATGGAGAGATGATTTATCATCAGCACCACTTTCTCTTACTGGTCACAGCAGAAACATCAGCTTCTACCTCTATAAAAGAGCACATTTAGTGTACTTGTATATCAATCATGGAATACATTCGGCAAAACAAAAACATAACCAAATGTAAGGATGGATCAGATCTAGGAGAATCAAACAGTTCTTGATTTTATTACACTTAACCAGGCCATCAACCATAAGGAGATCAGGAAAAAAGCATATATGTGCAGTAGTTATCACAAAGATTCTTGTACTGATTTCATACCTATTTCTGTTTCAATTTCTTCATGGCGTCCAACTATCTCCAAAGTTACAGTCTCTGGTGCATCTAAAATACAAAGTATTGCATTGAAGTAATAGCTTATTTACATTCTACCACAGTGAAAATTACATATTTCTAAAACTAATTGCATACATTCCATTTAATTCAAAGAATACTATCTGGACTCTGGCATTATTGTGTAGTTTAAAACACAGCATGTCCTGTTGAATTTTTCTCGAATGCATGTATTTTATACAGTGCACAACTTACAGTGGTTTGAAATGCTCTTCCCCAAAACTCTTAGGAAGTTTGTATGACTGACTTACAGCAGCTAATTTTGAAATAAAATAAAAAAAAAAAAAGCAGGGAAAACATACTAAATAAATTTTCCAACTGGTGCTGTCACACAAAGTTCTGCCTTTTTATTTTTGAAATTATTGTGAATATTTCAAACCAGATTTGATCACCGAGGTATTTATTTATCAAATAAGAAATGTAATTAAAAATCTCCATAGTAGAAAGAACCAAAAAGCATGCTTCCAAATTTTAGAAAACTTTTTTACCTTCTTCTACTACCAGCTTAATTGTATTTGTGCTGTGGTATATCTTTCCTTCATGGCTGATTAAAATTTTACAGGTATATATCCCTGAGTGCTGTACTGTTAAGGTTTCAAAATCCAGTTCCCGCTCTGTTTCGTTTTCATAGTTCTTACAGTCCTGCACCAATAAAGACAGAAAATATTATTCTGTAGTAAACATATATTCAAAACCTTAAAGAAGTTAAAAATTGTTTTTGAAACTATGTCATCACCACTCTTTCACTATCTCAATGACATTTATCTGACCCAAAGGAGGTGGGGGCCCAGTTTTCAGACATGTTGACTTAAATGCAACACTTGAACATTTAACCCATTAGAAGTTCAGATCTCTGCAATTCTAAGTAAGCGTCTGGGTATAAAAATTGGGAATTTAAATGCACTCATCTATTTTCTTCAGAATGATTCCTTGGCTCTGCAGGTGTCACCTGCTTGTGGCCAAAAGCTGTCTAGACTTAGAAGGATCTTTCAGGTTAAAGTAAAATGTCTCAGGGAAAGTGAGCATCTCAGAGGATGTCAAGAGCTGGACTCAGACTTGTTAACCTCCCTATCCCCCAAAATAAACTGGTTCCTTGAGTTGGGTTTTGGGGGGGTTTATTGTTTCATAGAACATGCGAAGTGAAATACCTATGAAAACTGAGCAATATTTTGTTCTCTTACACAAAAGGCATCTGTATATCCATTCTATCTCAGCTTAGGGTTGAGAGAAAACAAATGCCTGTACTTAAGCAGCCAAAGTCTCTTCCTGAAACTTATTCAACATGGAGTGTACCAGGTCTGTTACTCCAGCCAGGACACCTGAGAGGAATGAGGAGCACTGCATAAGGCAAAGTATAGGGGCAGGGTGTTTCATTCAATGGTTGAACACAGTACCCAACAGTTACTGGTGCTTGCACAACTATCACCTATGCTCTGTCAATACTGGTAGAGAGAAGTTCAGTGATATGCCTAAAATGAACAGAAATGGATCTGTTACACCTTTTTTTAAAAAGTGTTCAGAAACAGCAAAATTGAAAAGTTTGCAATTACTTTACAGGCACATGTCAACTGTAAAACAAGTATCTTGGCACCTCATTTAGTGTCAGTATAATATCTGTATCAGCATAGTAGCAGCTGGATAAACCAGCTGCTAGCTAAATCAGCAGACAGACATGGGCATCAGATCTTTTACCATTCCAAACTACGAGTTTATTAAAAATTTCCAATTACAGGTACATTTTTCTAACAAATCTGAAAGCAGAGAAAAATTTGCTTTTGTACCTATTTCTGAATGTTCTTTTTTCCCTAATAATCCGTGAATTTAAAGCTTTCCAAGGTTTATAGATGCTTCTAAAAATTTGTTTGTAATTGACTTTTCCTGCAATCAGATGTTTTGTTTCTATAGCCAATTATTTGAATGACAGTTGCAGTAATTACCTTGTACCATGTTATGCTGTTATTTTCACTGACAGACAAATCACTGCATTTCAGTGAATGACCAGTTCCAGCATTTTTAATTTCTGTAGTTAAATGATTTTTGTTGAAACAGCTGCTTTTGTTTCTTTCAAGTACATTCAAAGTCCACTTCTGAACTGTGAGATTTTGTTTTCCATTGCTATGAAAAAAAATTTAGCAAAATCAGTTTTAGGATCTTAGTGAATTACACAGCAAAACACAAATAAGTTCTTTAATACATCTGTTAGGTGGAAAGTACATCTACAGTGACCTAATTATTTATATTCCTCTTTATTACTTTTCCACTCCCAAATATGTGTTTCCCATAACAAAGGAAGTTGTCTAAACCAAATCATCTATCACAAAACATTTGACAATACAGCTACATCTATGAAATATGACAATGCATGTTACACTGACCAGAAAAAAAGATGCAAGAATCTGTGTCATCATGTATAGTTACAAGTGAGCATAGAAGAGGTTTAGGACCTTGAATCAGCTAGTGATTTTGCAGGCTTACTCTCCTGTGCAGTGCTAAGATTTAAAACAGTAATAAGATGGGCAACTCCGCTACTGCTCACAAAGCATCATTACTCATTTTTTGATAGCGTGCAGATAGTCACCAATATTTTGGAAATATTTCTAAACTATGCAAGTTTCATGAATGACAGAATCATTTATGGATTCAAGCATGCCTGCAAAACAAGGCACTTTGGAAAGGTCTCATTGTCTTTCAGCCTGCACAGATCAGAGATCTGCAGATCAGGTGAATATGCTCCAAAAATGCCTCTTTTGAATATCTAGGAGCTGAACATTGTCATTCAGATATCTACAGTGTTCTATTCACATATTCCTCTAAAGAATCAGAACATAGCTGTGAGTTATTTCATTACTGAATAAGTCCAAATACATAACTACCAAGCAAAAAGAAGCTGGAGGACTTCTGGCTTAAGTTTGGCAAAGTTGGCATAACTTTTGCAAAGTTAGGACTTAAGAGAAAGTCATATGCTGCTGTAAGTTTATGAGTAAGATTTCACAGTTCATGCATAACTCTCCCATTTTTTACTGAACAAGTACAAGTTCTGACAAAGCAAAAGGAGCACAGAGCACTTCCCTCCAGTTTAAGTCATCACTTCATAAATTTGCTTGAATCTTTCTGTCTCCAAGAAAAGAAAAAGGAATCATTCCCAGGGGAACTGAAACTAGTAAAGAAGAATGAGAAGCGCTAAGGGAGCAAAGCAGTTGAAATTGAGAAGCAAGCCTGACAAGTGTATCAGTTTAAACACATGCCTTTTACTGTTACAAAATTCAGAGGAACTATTATGACATCATTTACATGATTAATTTAGACCAAGTTTGGGATTGTTTATGTTTTTCTCCTTTTTAAGCTCCCCAATCAGACATACTTACTTATTTTGCTCACTGTCTTCACATTGTAGCTCTTTTTCAGCCTACCCAGGTTCTCGTTGTTCTCCTTACTCACTTGAGATATTCATTACTCATAATAGCAACTGACAGTATAAATCAAAATGTAGTGATTTGTTTTCTCAGTCAGTTAACTGAGATGTCATAAACACGAAAAACCTTATCAAAACTGTTTCATCAATGCTGCTCTTGCATGGGTATTCACGGGTGGGGAGGGGGGGGGGTGAAGTCCTTCTCACCTATTCTTCAACATCACATTTACACATTTAAATTAGAGCTACTAATCATACTCAGCAGTGGGACAATAGCCACCCTTTTTGAGTGCAGTTTACCTGACCTATTTTATATGTTTTGTTTAGGACAAGATAATCTGTGCCCCAGAAAGGACACTCTCTCCCTCATGATAAAGGGTACCTACCTACCTAGCTCTAGGTGTAGACATAAAAGTTAGCTCCAATTAAGTCCACTGAGTCTGTGTGTTTCTTTAGGCATCACACTAATATCTGAATAGGATTTAGTCCTTTAGTTTTTCATGATGTTCTAATGAAGCTAACCATCAAATAATTGAGGCCCACCCTTATTTCTCTTCTGACTCACTATGTTCTACAGCAGTAAGATACCAAATCCAAGCATTTCAGCTGTTCTTTGAATGTCTCCAAGTATGAAGAAGTTTGCACAGAAACTAGAGTTCAGCTATACCAGTCTTTGTTTATTACTTTACTATGCAATTAAATCACTTGGCAGGCCTCGTAGCATGAGATCCACTCTGCAGAATTAGGAAACACAAATCTGGTGGAGAAGACAAGGAAACGTTTCCTTTTACTTGCCAGTGGACGGAAGGGTTTCCTATCACTCATTTTGCTTAGGTAATTAATCACAACCCGGCAGAAATGTTACCTGCCTTATCAAAAGGTTTACAGAACCTTTAAAAGGCTACAACTGCCTACAGCTATTTGTAAATATTATAGGTCTGCCTGAATGGTGATTGTACAGGTAATGTATCTCCTTTGTATGGGTGCCACTAACAATACAAAGCAAGACAAAGAAATCATCTTCTTCGTAGACAAGTACAAAGGCAAGATATTCACCCACTGGCTTGTGCACCTACCTGTGAATGACAGAGTAATTCCCAGAGTCACTGAGTTCAACTGGCCAAAACTCCAGAAAATTCATTTGGGAAACAATTCTGTGTGACTCCTTTATCAGTTCCTGCTTTCCAGCATTATCTTTGTACCAGTTTATTGTGTATGCTCCTTCCTGAAAATGGTCTCGCACTGACTCAAGATAACAAAGGAAAAAATATTCCCCTTCTAGCACATCAATGGAAGCACGAAGGGGACACAGCTTCCCTTTAGAGAGAGGGGGGAAGAAAAATATATTAGAAAGCCAAGCACTTCTTTCATGAAATTACATTAGCCTGACTTCAAAGTCAGCTGTGTTACTGCTGGACTTTTATAAAGCGACTTTCTTTCAGCAGAGTGGTTTTGCAGCATTTATTTATTCCAGCAGTTCTTACTGGGAAACTTGGTTTTCCAAGTCTTCATTCTATGTCACACAAGCAAAACCAGAAGGAGAGGGAGGGTAAAAAAAAAAAAAAAAGACATTTCACTAAGTTTCTTTCACATGGATCCAACAGTTTCAGAATCAAATGGGCACAACCAGAAGAATCTGGACTCACTCTACAGTCAGGCAGCTGCCACAAATGGAAGGGGAAAGGAGAAATTCTTCACATATGGTTTCGTTTGACAGTTACAGCTAATATTCAGAAGTGGTCAACTGCCACAAAAGCAGAGATTCTTTTAATTGCCATTTGCAGGTTTTTATTTTCTTAATTAAAACTAAATCATTATATAGCTAGATTTCTTTAAAGCTTCAGGTATATTTGAGGAAGTTGCTTTGGAATGAGCTTATGTGTGTAAAATTTAGTCTCAAAGTCTACTTTTCCAAACAAATTTCCCAAATGTATCTTGGCATACGGAAGCCATATAAATACAGAAAAGGGACTATGGTCTGGCACAACAGTCAAAATAAAATAAGCCTTCTGTCTCTGTTTGCCCTGAGGTTCTCAGAGATTATTACTGTTTAGCCACTATTGCAGCCACACTTCTGAATGGCACAAAAAGACTCATTCTCTTCCTTGCTGTGGCTTTTTAGAAAGCCATGGTCCCACACAACATCATCAGGTGTCTCCAGGTAGATTCTCTGATCTTTTAATTTCATAATTTGGGGGTTTTGGGACCAAATTTCCCAATTCTGGAGCTGGGCTGAAATTGCAAAATCTGTAAGGTTTTGTTCTTCACTGCAAAATATAATATTTACCTCACTCTAAGCAACTGTCAAGAAGATGTCACATATTCAGCAACTATTCTGAAGGTTCTACTGTTGAAATGAAGATTGATACTTACCAGTGGCAGATTCAAAAATAAGCATTAAAAAAAAAATCGGAGTCATTTTCTTATTTCTCACTTCTTCTCCAGAGAAATGAAACTGAATTGTTCTTGTTTGTTCTGAAAGACTAGGGAAAACAGATCCACAATTTATCACAGGTACAGTGAAACAGAATCCTTTGGGCATCTGAGCAGGATAACTATTGCCTGGTACTGAAGAGGCCTTTCCAAAAACACATTTCCAAAGTTACACATTTTTATCACAAGAGATATTTTCATACATCAGGTAATCACAAAATTATAGAATCAGAATAGTTAGGGTTGGAAACGACCTGAAGATCATCTAGTTCCAACCCCCAATGTATCTAGATTTCAAATTCAGAAGCACTGCAGGGCTTTCTTCCTCCATTTTCTTGTTCACTAGATGTACTTCACATTTCTGATTAAACTGACAATCTTGCAGAAGCACTCAAATTTAGATCCCAAGCCAGAAGACACCTACAGGATAGGACAATGCTTTTTTCTTCACTGAGCATAAACTTTGCAAGACTGTACCCTGTAGAAACAGCTAGTAGAAACTTTCCTTGTTTTCAGTGATAACAACAAAATGCTGACAGATCAGACATCTTGATGGTTAATTCTGAAACTGTTGGAAAACAATGGGATCTAAAATGCCTCACAATTTTGTCTATGGAATCAAGAAGTACCAGCTTAAAAAGCTAACATTTACACTGATGCGGTGGAAATGAAGAAGCTCAGATTCTGTTGCTTCCTACGTAGTCAACTGTGCTTTTAAAGGTAAATGGAAAACACTACTAAATAATACCAGCATGGAGTATCTGCTCTGAGATTCCTCAGAACAGCAGGTTAGCTCACAAGCCAAGGCAGAGCCAGTTTGAAGATTCTGCCTCAGTCTTGCTTACAAAATGAACACATTGATACGCTCCGTTCAACCTCTGCATCTGAGACAACCTTGCTTAGTCCCTGACCCAGACATGCATGGACATACAAGACACACACAAAATGTATTTCACAGAGAACTGTCAAAAGAAATCTCATTAGCCATCAGTTTCTTTGGTTTTAATACCTAAACCTCTTGTAATTTGAGAAATACTTACTGTTCTAAGACAGCACCCTGAGATTCACTCAGAAGCTTCCTGTGATCTAAAGCAGATGGATAACAGAGGCTACTGCATTTCCAGCAATATTCCAGAATGACACCAAGCTGTGTAGCTGTTCTCTCTCTCTTACCATTCTTTCCAGTTCTTTACAAGTATGCCATCATCCCATAAATCATTGTAAGGAGATGAAAGAAGTGTTTCACATCCCTTTTTTCAAAATGACTGGTAGACAGACCCAGATTTAGAAAGCAGCTAGAAGAAGTTGGATGCAGAATACTGCAACAAACAACTTTAAAGGGTCATGCAGAACACCCATCAGATCTGCTTTCAGTTCCCTTCTACACAAGGAGATTCAAAATGCTACACTTTAAAAGGAAATCAGGGCCTCTCTCTGTTTTCATTTCTTGAAATTGCTTTTTATTTTTCACCCCATCACATTCAGAAGAAATACAGTTGACCATGAAACTACGATCCACTACCTAAAGGTAATATCATTTATTACCAGATTTTTAATTCTAAGTCCCATTCTTTGTTGGCACATCACATCAGCACACCTGAAGTTTTGCTAAATGCAGAGCAGAACCCTCCATTCTTTTAACGGGGATAAAAGAACACAGCAAATGCAAACTGCTTACTAATAACCAGCCATCAGATTAGTGGCTGCTATTAAGGAGCAAAGTACAGGTGCTTAATCTTATGCTCACATTGCTGTTGAACCTGATCAATTTGCCTGAAATTGCTCTACCCTAGGATAACAGTATTTACATTTGAGCCATATGGTTTTCAGTACTCTTCAATGAAACACTAGGAGGGGAAAAAAAGGGGGGTGGGGGTGTGAGGAGAGAAGAAGATATATGCTTTTGGTGAAAGTTAGCTAATGTAAAGAGATTCTTCAAGAAACCAAATAAGATTATTAGTTTTCAGAAAGCAATTGAGCGTTATTTTAAAGTAAAGGCAAAGATTCTCTGCCTGGTGAAGAAATACAGAAATACACAATGGGAAAAATGCTGAGACAATAGTGGGGAATGAGTTTCAGTGGAGGAAAGCATAAATCTTACCTCTTTAAGAATGCCTTCCTGTGGAATTTAATTTGTTTTCAAACATCACCACACAGTGCCATAAATTGCATAGGATTCATAAAGAACACAAAAGGATCTAGCAATTACTGCAATTTATTGGCAAAATTAATCTATCTTAATTCCAAACAGCATAACTGAAGCCATTTACTTACTATGCAAGTCTTGCCAGGTGGAAAGCAGATGAAGAGGTGGTTTTTCAAACTCCGAAGACTTACAATGTGTACTTATAACTCTTCTGAACCTCTTTCATTGCTAAAACAGAGAACACTCTCTCTCAATAAATGAGTCAATACATAGACAGCTCAGTCTGAAAAACCTCCTGAAAGAGTGGAATTTCTCACTTTGTGAACTGTTGACTGCTGGGAGGAAAACAGAAAAGGTAGATGTGAGAAATTAAGTTTTGCTAACATTAGCAGAAAGGTAATTGCAAATTACAAATATTAACTTTTCTAAATGAAGTATTTGAGGGCTGATATACAAATGTTTTAGACATCATCTTTTGCTGCTACCATTTACAATAGCACTTCAGAAGCCTGTCAAGCTCAAAAGCCACCTAGATGTCAGGGAAAGGGCTGAGGGCAGCCCAGGGAGGGGAAGTTTGCAGTGCCAGTGAGCGGCTGCGCTCTGAAATAAGCCTTTTTCAGAGCTAAATTATTTATGACATTTCTGTAATAAGGAAGAAGTGTATCATGGGCCTGGGAGAAAGTTGGAAAGAGGTGCCAGGGCAATGTGGCATCGCAGCACCACAGGCAGGGGAAGCAAATCAGAGAAGGCAGGGTTGGGGACAGGCAGGGTTGGGGACATGCAGGGTTGGGGATGTGCAGGGTTGAGTGACAGGCAATGTTGAGAGAGGGACAGGGTTGCAAAACAGGCAAGGTTGATGACAGGCGGTGTTGAGGACTGACAGGGTTGAGGATGGGCAAGGTTAAGAGCCAAGCAGTGTTGAGGACAGGCAGGGTTTGGGACATGCAAGGCTGGGGACAGGCAGGGTTGAGGACAAGCAAGGGTGGGGACATGCAGGGTTGAGGACAGGCAGGGTTGGGGACATGTAAGGTTGGGGACAGGCAGGGTTTGGAATAGGCAGGCTTGAGGACAGCTAGGGTTGGGGACCAGCAGGGTTGGGGACGAACAATGTTGAAGACAGGCAGGGTTAGGGACATGCAGGGTTGAGGACAGGCAGGCTTGGGGACAAGCAGCTGTTCCCGAGGGCTCTGACAGAGGGGGGCAGAGGCGTGGGTCTTGCGGGGCAGGGAGAGGAACGGAAACACACGCACAGACACCCACAGAGATGCCCTGACCAGAGGCAGGCGACCGGCTCCTCCGAGACAGGGAAGAAGCAGCAGCCCGTGCCTTCCCCCACCCGCTTTGTGCCTTCTCCTCCCCTGCCCTGGCGCTCTGCGCTGCGTCGACCCTTCGTGCGGCGGGCTGCGGGGCCAGCGGAAGAAGGCAGGTTAAAGTAATACCGGTCTTACCGAGGGTGCCGGTGTGTCTGCCGGTCGTGGTGTGCTCACAGGGGTGCCCCCCGCAAGCAACGGGAGGAAGGATCAGCTCCTTTCTTTAGGAGACAGTGTCTCCCTCTCACAGCCTTCCGGCGAAAGCAAAGGCGTAGGGTGGGTGATGTCTTCGTTTATCTTTGGTTGAAAAGCCTCTTCCTCCGCTTTTTCTGCTTAGTGCCCACAGCAGGGCTCTTTTACAAGTGTGAGGGAGGTAGGATGGAGGTTTAGGAACCTATATATTAAGCTAAATATAGCACCTTTTCTCTCTGCTACAGCTTCCCCATCCCCCTCACCCCTCCTCACTGGATGTTTTGAGGATGTGCAAAGAAAAACACCGTATTCCGCAAGGCTGATATTCTGCAAAGACCTCAAAAGAAAATAATAATAGTAGTAATAACAACAACAAGACCGATAATAAAAGAAATAAACAACCCTCCAAAACACTACAAAATACAAGCTGCAGGAAATTTCAGTCCTACTTTTTCTGTGCTAGTATTCCCTTTGGGGGAAGATTAATGCAAGCTTTCAGGACATGAAATATTTTGTAGCTCCATTACTGCAAAAGGAGGTGGGGTTTTTATTCACCTTTTTTATTCACTTGTAAATAAGTGCTCATGCCTGTAGCTGACCCTGCTTTTCAGCCAGATGTTGATATACTTCCATCAGGTATTTTTGACAGCTGTTATTTCCTATTTAAGTACTGTACCTGAGTAGATGCGTGCCTGCAGCTGCTTAGTCACGTGAATGGTTTATTCAACATGTACTGTGCAACAATTCAGTATACTTCTAAATAAAATGGTAAAATGTCATCAGCTTTTTACCTTGACAGGCTAAGTCTTGATAGTGGCAGTTTGGAAACATCTTCTTTTTTTATTACTCACACTTTTACAACAATATTTTCCATGAGCCGTTCTTGCTTCATTCATCTGCTTTCATATCCCTTTGAAATACTCTCAATTTTCTGAAATTTCATCTGCATTGTAGAAAGTGCTCTGTTCAACTGGTCCTTTCAGCTATTGCCATAGCTAGCTCTGTAATACGTGAATATATATGAAAGGAGGATAAAGTTTACACCTTTTAGTCCTCAGATTGACACAGTTTTAATGGAGAAGTCCTATCCTCGTAATAGAAAAGTAACTCGACCAAAAATAACTACTGCTGAAATTTTCATTGTGAAAATGCCATGATGAAAGTGAAAGTTTGCACTAAGATTGGAAAACAGATTTTTGTATGAAGCTCTGACCACCCGACCTATCAACTAGGGAAGACCAGTTAATTCTCACAATTTTTCACATCCTCCTTTCCATCCAACATACGTTTCACAGCAGTGCTAACTGAAAACCTAAACTGTGAAACTATTTCTGTCAAAAAGAGCAACATATGCAACTCCTGTAACCACAGCCTAAGCCAGTTTGTTTCTAGCTGGTGGTAGCCCTTTTTCAGCTACTTCTGTCATCTCTGTATGCTAATTATATTAATTCTTAGCAGAGGTTAAATTACGTGCCATAGGTTTCTCAGGATAATCTGATGGCCAGAAGTAGGTTACGGACTGTTACCTTGTCTGTGAGAGACTTGTATGTTTCTTCAGAAGTTTTAAAATATGCAAGTTGTGTATTTTCAGATTTTCCTCCACACTGTAGCACTGTAGAATAATTCAGGTTATTCAGGTTGGAAGTCATCAGGTCCAGCCCCTGCTTAGGATATATACTTCTGAGACTGAAACACCAAGGATGTAGATTCCACAGCCTCTCTGGGCACATGTTTCAGCATTTGACTATGCATATGGTGAATTTTTTTTCCTCCTAATATGTAATGTAAATTTCCCATGTTCTAATTTGTGCCAGCTGTTCTTTTGTCCCATCTCTCTGTTGCTCCTTTGAGAAGAGCTTGGCTCCATACATTCCTTCTGTCTTTCCATTAGATTCTTGTAGACAGAAACAGGACATCCTGTCCTCTCCCTCTATGTCCTGTGCTCTTGATGGTCTTTCCCTGGACTCACTCCGGTATGCCAGGGCCTCACTTGTTCCAGGGAGCCCAAAACTCAACATAGTGATCACTCCAGAGGTGATCTTGCAAATGCTGCATATAGGAGAATAATTACTTTCCTTAACTACACTATCACTAGTAAGGTGCAAGGTGAAGTTGGTCACCTTTCTCACAAGGACACTGCTGAACCATACTCACTTTTGTGTAAGCCAGGACATTGTTTCTTTCTGCAAAGGTACTTTGTGTTGGGTTGATCTCTAGCCAATTCAATTGTTGTTGAATGTCTTTATTCCATCTCAGATGCAGCACTTTGCATGTGCCATGGGTTGAACCTTGTGAATTTCCTATCAGTCCATTTCTTAAGCCTGTTGTCCAAAACACCAGTCCTGTGCTCCAGTGTGTCAACTATCCCTATCCAGTTTAGTTTTCTCTCTGAAAATCTGTTGATTGTGCAGTCTGTCCATCACTAAGGTCATTAGTAACCATGCTAAACAGTAGTGGTACCAATAGCAGTCCCTGCAGGATGCCACTAGTAATTTGCTGTGAGTTGAAGTTTGTATGCTGATAAAAATGTGTTGTTCTCACATGGATTTCGGTCCCACTGTTTCTCTATTTGTCTTTGTCCACTTATTTATATCTCACCAACATAGACTATGTCAAAGGCCTTTTCAAGGTGTGCAGCACCCAGTGTTCTCCCATTGTCCACATCATAGCTGCATATGCATTAATATTCCTTTTGTAAATCCAATCACCTTCTTTTCCTTCATGTACTTTGAAATAGCAGTCTTTTATATCTTCATAATCTTTGCAGGAGATCTATAAAGACTGGAAACAGTTTTAAAGAATAAATTGCTATACAACAAATTCTATCATGTGTATAAAGTTAAGAAACACACTTTAATCACGCTTTAAAATCATGCTTTAAAAGTCGGAAAAGGTTTCGGGAGATTACAACATTATGCACACCCTGAAAATGTCACTGTGTTTAGCTCTAATGCTGTCAGACCAGTTTCTAGTTAGTCAGAATCTCTGACTACCTGTGCTACCACTAGATGGCACGATGACTCTGTTCTATTAGCAAGTGGGCGGAAATCTCTCCTAAGGTACTAAACCTAGGGAAGCACAGGATAGAATTAAAGGGCATTAAATCTCTAAGTTCTAATTCAGCAACAAAAGTACTTTTTTCTGTGCAGTTTAAGCTTTAAGCATCCAATTTTATTCTTCTGTGAGCTTTCTATAGTGTAAGAAGAGATTTTTTGCACAAGGCAGACTGTACTGTTTATTTCACTAAGGCAGATTGCCTGCTGTAAAAATCACCAATTTTCTTTGAAAACATGTTTTTGAAAATTTAGATTTATTTTAAGTCAAATATCACAGCATCACAGAATGCCTGAAGTTGGAAGGCACCTCTGGTCCAACTCCTCTTGTCATGGGAGGGAGTGGTTTAGGTCTCCGAAAGAATCACTGTCAAAGGTATAAGCCAAAACAAGCTTTAATGTAAATTTGCAGAAGCACAATGAAGTTTGATGGCAGGTTTACTCTGTTACTTACTGCATGGGTAATACATATAAAGGAAAGTCAAATTAGAATCAACTGTGATTTATACAGAGGCCAGAATGTAAAGGGGTAAAGGAGGAAAATGTAAGGGGCACTCTTAGTTGAGTCACAAAATGCAGACTGAATGACCCTTGCTTCCTAAACTCCTTCTCAGAGAGGAGCCCACATGCAGCTGGTTTCAATTTTAGGCTAGGACTCAGTCAACAGTTTATGTCTAAAGGACTTAGCAGCACTTAGTCATAGCAGCACTTAAATATTAGATTAACCTATCACCTATAAACATAGCAATAATAACAATATTGTACATTTAAGATAATAACAAGTATGCCATATTTGTTAGAGGGTGCTCAAGTCAATACACATACATAATTACGTATAGGCAGACGTATAAAGGTAACACACACACACAAGGATACATATACGTATATATATAGAAGTATACCTAGAAAAAATTTCCTAGAGAGTTAGTGAAATACTCACATCTAATACCTTTTTGGTGTTTCTCAACAGGTGGGGGTTGAGCTTCAACTAGTGGGGATATCAGTCCAGGTCCCATCATCAGCCAACAGTCCCCTTTTCATGAACTTGAGGGTCTGTGCACCCTGGGAGTGTCCCACTCGAAGCAAGACCCTGGTGCCAGGATGATCTGGATGCCTTCTGCCATCCAAAAGTGCTCAAAGAGTCTTACTTAGCACTGCTGTTTATAGGATTGTGAGATGGTTGGCTCTAGTTACCAGTAAATCCACTTGGAGCATTCCGATAAGGAATGTTCCAAGGCTATCAGGGGAATGATTACCCACACTCTCACCTCCCACTCAGGCGTTCCTGGTATGGGTTGTGCTGCCCTCACCTTAGCCTTGAAAGTGTTCCTGATACGATTAAGGGATGCTTCATTGCCAAGATCTTACGCAACGGCCGAGGCCTGACATGAGTTATTGAAATTGTAGAATAGGCCCAAGCAGGCTGGGAAGGGTGGGAGGAATGCACCATCACAGCCCTCTCAAGCAGGGCCACCTACAGCCAGTTGTCTAGAACTGTGTTCAGGCGACTTTTGAATATCTCCAAGGATGCAGACACCATAGCTTACCTAGGCAACCTGTGCCAGTGCTGGGTCACCCTCACTGTGAAGTTGTGTACTCTGATGACCAGAGGGCACCTTCTGTTTTTCAGTTTGTGCCCACTGTCTCTGGACCTGCCACTGGGCATCACTGAGAAGAGCATGGCTATGTCTGCTTTCCACCCTCCCTTCAGATGAGAGTCCTCTGCAGACTGAAGAGTCACAGTTCTCTGACCTTTTCTTCATAGAAGAGATGCTCCAGTGTTTTCACCAACTTCATGGCCCTTTGTTGGAGTGTCTCTCTTCTGCTAAGGGCCCCAGAACTGAAGAATTGAAGAACTGAATTTTCAGGAAGTAACAGCTTCAAGCTGTGCCAGAAGAGGTTTAGACCAGCTATTAGGAAAAATTTCTTCCCTGAAAGGGTAGTCAGTCATTGAAACAGTCTTCCCAGGGAAGTGGTGGAATCACCATCCCTGGAAGTGTTCAAAAAATGTGTAGACAAGGCCCTTAGTGACATGGTTTAGCGGTGGGCTTGGCAGTCCTGGGGTAGAGGCTGGACTTGATGATCTTAAAGGTCTTTTCCAACCTAGCTGATTCTATGACTCTACAATTTTATTACTAGACACAGGACTCCAGGTGTGGTATAAACAGTGCTGATGATGTAATGATATTGTAAAAGTATTCCACAGTTCTGTTTGTGCTTTCTCTTTAACAGTACAAATGTGCTAACAGCTGTAAAAGACATTGATTTTAATGCTGCTCTCAGGTATTCTTACTAACCACCAAAGAATAAAAAAAGAAGTGACTCCTGCAGCAATTTTTTTGTTATTATTACAGTCAAACATTCACCCCTGGTTTCTGTAAAGGTTCTTTGCCATTCTCTGGATTCTCCCCTTTTATTCCTGTCAAGGCCATACTGTTCACTGCTGGTAAAGTACAGTTTCTGATAACAAAATGCAACATTACATGTTTTATAGTTGTAGTGAAGTAAGCAATGTGTGCATGAACACTTGAAAATAAAACTTATGAAAATCTGTGTAGTTTGAAGTAGATCTTTAAATTTAATGTTGAAAAATAAATCTATAGGTATATTGCATACACATTTCTCATACTCCAAATAGTTATTCTTAGTCTAAAGATCCATGTTCAATAAAAACTTGCAATAAAAGGAAAGGACTTGCCTGTTCCGTAAGCCTGGACTTGGTAACACTACGTGTTCTGCATCTGATTTTTACTTTTAAAGTCCGTTCTGTAACAAGACTGAAGCTCAAAACAAAGCATTCTCTAACAGTTAGAAAAATCCTGATTTGAAGAAGCTAGAAGGATTAAGGTTTGCAAGGATATCTGTACTAGAGGACATTTTGTTCATACTCCCCTGAAGTGGAAGGAAGTTTGACTCTGACCTTTACATCTCAGGGTATTCCCTATCAGAAGAAAGTATAACTAGGCATAAGGTCAAAGCAGCAGGAAAAAAAAAAGGTGGATGTTATTTCTATCTGGAGACAATAACAACAGTAACAGCACTGTTGCACCTGAAAGATTTAAAATTTCCGCTTTGCGTGAGATTAATTTTGATATATGAATATAAAAATATATAAAATGTGTGTAAATATATATCAGTGTATTTCCCTTAACACTGCATTTTTTAAAATGCTGTATTCACATCAGTCTCAAAAGAGCCTTTAAGAGGCGTTACTGAGGTATCAATACTAAGGAAAAATATAATTTCATGGTATGAGTATTACTATTGAATTAAAAAGGAATGTGGTGGAAAAAAATAACAAAAGCATAACATCATATTTTCTAGTTGCATAATGCACATTTTACTTTCTAGTCAAATAATACAGAAGGCCTTTATGTTTGATCCTGCATTAGAAAGGCAAAGCAAATCTGCAAGGTATTACTAATTTTCAGTTGTATGTACAACTAGATATAGAAAGAGTATAAGTACATTTGCTTTCCTGTGACATGCAAAATGCTGCACACAGACTAGAATGATTTATTTACAGACCTCCCATACCTATAACAAACTTCCCTCAGTTTCCCAGACCTATTCCCTCAGTTTACCTTATCATTACTCAATTGAAGGACTGAAAACTGTTCAAAAATACAGCCAGACTTCCAGACTGTGAAAACACATACCTACTGAAAGGAAAAAAGCTGCAGGCATGTGGTCCCTCGTGGATTTTCATAGGTTGTTCACCTGGCATTAGCTGAGTATGAGGACTTGCATATCAGTGGCATATGGTACCTCACCTGTTTCCAGAACTTAGAATTGGATGACTGTGGGTGCACACTGTGTGGCTCTTTCCATTTGACTGTACCTTGCTGCTTAATAATAAACCTAAGAGACTCCTGAAGTTTCTTGGAAGTCCCAATTGTCTCCATTTCCAGCAGGATCACTTTTGTATCATTTAGAATGAGGGCATTGTATAAAGCAAGGTGTTGATCATAAGCATGTTCTTTATAATTAATCAGCTGCCGTGTTAGAAGAATGATCAGACGTCTGCTCTTCTGTATCCTCTTCTCAATTGCACTGGCTGTATCTAACAATGTACAAGAAAATGATAAGACCCTGAAATTTCTTTTACAAGCTCTTTTGTGTTTAGGCACTTCATTTTTGTTACTTTTTAAGGACAAATAATTTCTGTCTCACTTCAATCTAGTACAGGTTATTCATTAGAAGAAGAGCTTAAAAAGCAAAAATACAAACAAAACAACAGAAAGTAGGTCATGTTGGTGAACAGAAGCTGAACTTCCTGTTACTCTAACACCCTTGTACAGGTTGAAAAAGCCTGAGTGGTAACAGCAAGGTTAATTCCTCAACTTAGTTTGTGGTTTTCTCCTCTTCCGTGTCTTGTAGACCTACTCACAGTTTGGCTGTGGCTTTGCCCAGATAATGGTTATGCCATTACACTACCCAAAGAGCAGGTGTGTGCTTAAGAGTTACACTGGAGGTCACATTTCCTGTGTGACCGAAGAAGATGATAAACAATCTGTGCCCCTGCCCTGTAGCTTGGTTTTCCTAGACCACAGGCAAGCACAGAGTGCCACTGTGTCACCCTGCCTGAAAGAGCAGGCAGACAGCTGCTGAGATGAGCAGCAAGCTCAGGAACATAAAGGGACCTTCTATACCCCTAAAAGGGACTAGAACCACAATTTACTCAGGCTTGACAAGTCATTCATTCAGTGTGTTACTTGATTTGAAATCTTACCTTCTCCAGGATATATATCTCTCCCATAAATGCACAGTTTATATCCACATTTATTTTCTAGAATATCAGGCATGATTTGGTAAACAAAATATTCCACAAAATTAGCTTCATTGGTATGGTTTCTGGGGAAGATAACATATGCATCATAAATCTTCCCATCTGTAAGGCAAAACAATAAAAAAGCCTATTGTGTTAGCATGAATTAGAGCTGTCTATTGCAAAAGCTGGAAGAAAAGTAAAAATCTCAATATTCAAAATAGATCTAGGTAGAAATTCCTGCTAATCTGAATGATGTGTATCATCAAGTGCATGTTTGGAAATTAGCGACAGCGCACATTTGGTGTTTTCCTTCATTAGTTGTTATGTCCTGCTTGTTTGTAACTTTGGAGAAACTGACCTTTGTATTAAGGCTTTATCCCAGAGTATACAAAGTAAAAATGTGATTGATTGATTGATTGATTGATTGATTGATGTGAATGAGCATGAAATAAAGATGAAACTCAACATGTGTTATTCCTGAGTTACAATAGGCTGTTGACAGCCTTTGTCTTTCAGGACAAGACACTCCACTTAAATTCTTTCACCTTGAAATTATTCTTCATTCCCATGACATATCATACTTCTGAGTGAACAGCTCCATTACTCAGGAGGTAGTCTTACAGTCAGAAGCAAGTGCAAAGTCAAATCTTTCTTCCACTCATTTATTGATTTCTCAAACTGTGTTTCCTCTTTAAAGAAATCAGCTGTGGATATCTACCATCCAAACATCTTCAGGATGTAGGAATAAGCTTCAGAGTTAAAAAATGTAAATCTAAGTGTCTGCATGAAAGCTAGATGTCAAAATTCCTGCTACAATAAGTGGAGAGTCCATTGTAGTTACTGAATTCTAGAGTGATTCAGATTGCTCTCATTTAAATGCCAGAGGTCCAGCTGAGTTGCCTAAACATAGACATCTAGTGCCATTTGAGACTTCCTCTGGTACCCTGCCTGATCTCCAGACCCTGCTTCAGAAGTCTGCAACTTCTAGCATATCTGAGTTATGTGTCCAGTTTTTTGGCCATCCCAAATGACTCCAGATGCCCATGTTTAGACCACTGACACATGGTCCCAGTACCTGGTTAGCTCTGTTGGATTTATTGTTGAGGAGCTGGATTTGGTCACCTAAAAACTTTACCATAGTGTCATTAGGCACTGCCTGCCCTTCAGCTGCCATTGTAGAGGGGTTTGGGTCTCTCAAGTCCTACGGACGTTCCAACAGCACTAGCTGCTTACAGTTAGATAGCTGAACCCAGACCCAGGTCTCTGGGTTTCATGCCTATGATGGGAACTTGGGATGTATTCCTCCCAAAAGTGTCTTCCACAATATTGGTACCTTTTACTTTGGTTTATAAAAGCTGTGTTGCACTAATACATGCCTAAAACACTTTCACCAGGAGGCTGGTTCTTTTGCTTTAGAGAGCACGTAATAAGTTAATAACACTGTAAATTGGATTTTCACTGCCATTCTATGTTTCATGGCATGTTTCGTGTTTGTTCAAAAAATATAAAATTAGGACTGTGTCTTTTATGTACATCACTGCAGAATCCAGGAAACCAGGGAATGTAAAGCCCTACCAGGATTAGATATGTCCCCTCTTATCTAAATGATTACAGAAGGCTTGAGGAAGCAAGGGATCAAGCTTAGGTGCCATATGAGTTAGTAAGCAACTATCAAATCCATTTCCATATGATTTGCCTTTTTCCTCTTTTTAAACTTTCTTGCTCAATTCTTGCTTACCATCCTTGACTGAGTAGGGCTGAAATATCTCCCGATACAGTAGGACGATATCAACTCGGAAGGACTGATAAAGTATCACGGAGACTGCTATTGCAACCAGCAGAACTAGAGATCCTATGATCAAGAGGATGCTAGAAAGGCCCACTGCAAAGAAGAGGAATCTTGTTAAGATTAGTAGACAACTTAACCCATGGGTTGGAGCCTCAGCCTCTCGTATCCTTACTTCTGTTGCAGCTTTATGTAGCTTACAAGAGAGACAACATAGCTTTTTCCTTCCCCAGCTGGCATAGCAAACACAGAGACACATAAACTAGAAGAATATTAAGCAGTATATAATTCTTTCTTGTGTTGAATCCAGATCTACCTATGTTAAATATCACAGCTGAAAATTATGTTAAGTATTTTGTAACGCTGTAAAACTTAATAACACGACCAGCAACAATGTTCAAGCTTCTTATAAGGCATCTAAGCCTACACATGACGATTCTAAGTGTCCACGAAAGGACAAGTGGAGGCTTCTGACATAGTCGCACAAACAGGGTAATGAGAAACTTATGCAAATAATGAAACCTGCAAGATAAGAATAAAGTACACAAAACAAGCAGGAAAACAGAACATATCCTGGTCACAAAGATAAACTATGTTGGAGGCAGATGATGTTCTCCCCTGCTTTCTCCTTTGAAGAGAGTCAAGGAGCATAAAATAGCAATGACAACTAACGAAATTTGGGAAAGAAAGGAGCCACCCACTTCAGTTTCAGCTTCCCTCATGGAAGAGCTCTTGAATTAGACCACTTGTACCTCAGAGATTAATACTTGTCAAGGATAGATTCACACTAGATATAAAGAAGAAAATTTTTACAGTGAGGGTGATGAAACACCAGAACAGATTGCTCAGAGAGGTTCTAGATGCACCATCCCAGGAAACATTTAAGGTCGGGTTGGAAGGGGCTTTGAAGAACCTGGCATAGTTGTTCATTGCAGAGGCTGTTGGACCTAGATGACCTTTAGGAGTCCCTTCTGACTCAAACCGTTCTGTGATTCTATGATTCTGTAAGGGTGGCAATCATCAGCTCTGTGCTATCGTATGCACACAGCTGGTCTAGGACAAGATTGCAGTTATCACTCTTCTAGGGGACAGCTGTGTTTCTATCACTACCCAGACAGCTGCATCTCTGTGACAGCCCATTTTTCCCCTTGTTCTGTGATTCACAGAGTCAAAGTCAATCTAGATATGTGTATCCTCCAGATGGTATCTAGTTCTGCTGTAGTAAGAGTCAATGGGAGGTAGAAGTAGTCCTTTTGTACTCCCTCTAAACCAGAAAGACAGAAGCTTAATCCACAGGCTCTTACAGCCAAAAAAAGCTGAAGAAGGTACTTCTGGCCTATGTCCTGGATGTATTGAATCCACCCAAGATTCAGTATTGAAAACTATGAATTGCAGATGGCCAAGTGTGAAATTAAAATATCAAAGGCTTTATACAGCAATTACACAATAAAAGATTCATTATTCCCCTGGAGGGAAGATTAATGGCAATTGTCTCATATCAGAAATCTGCTCCTAAGTAAATGAAAGATACATAGATTTACTCCACTTGGTATAATGTGTAGACTCAGAGCAGTTCCATGTACATTTTTTTGTCTGACAACTCGATCCATTAAAAGCTTTTCATTTGCAGTCAGCCTTCTTTACCTAATTATTCCTGCTCAGCATGACAACTCCTCATCCTGTAGTGCAATATCATAGCTGCTTTGGGGACTTTTCTGTGATTAAGATCAGTGGAATTATTTGAATTAAAAATATAGCCCCAGAGCATTGGACACCACAGCAATGAATATGAAAACACCCAGATTGTGCACACGTATGCATAAAGGGCCCACCTGTCTTTTGATTTTACTATGCTATAGCAAGCATAATTGTTAGATGCAGTGCCCTGGCTTGGGATATCACTAGAAGAATGTATCCCTTCAGTGTTACAATGAGATTTGAGGTATCTGCAAATTCAGATTTATCTTAGCTGAGGAAAAAAATATTCCTTTGAATGCTGACCACATACAAATTCAAAGCAGAAACAACCTAAAAATACTAGTGCCTAAGAAATCCCACTGAAAAGGTATGTAAATAAGGAGTTTACAAGTACATTTTCCCTTTCTTCTGGTAGGATGCAAGATAAATTTTACATTATTTTCACACTTTTCTTGTTTCTTTCTTTTCCATTTAAAGGGAAAAAAAAAAGAAACATCAGGCATGTGATGAAGTATACGACCAGAACTAGACGTGGGGAAACCCCCTTCCAATAAGATTGAAGTGGGCAAGAAATCAACCAGTTTCTTTCACAGTGAAGCTAGGCCATTTTGTAGTTTTAATGGTGTCACACGATGCCCATGAAGGAACATTGTCCTTGTGGAGCCCTTCAAATCTTATTATTCTATCTGTTTTCCTGGCCGATAAGCACACACAGATACAAAAGGAGGAAACCACTTTCATTATCTGGTGAGGCCGACCCAAGCATCAGAGATTGACCCTATTTCTTATTGCTTCATTTGCTGACAGTGTGCTTGCATGACATTACAAATACTATTGGGTATTTGTATTGAGTAAGTATCTATAAAACTGCTTGAGAAGAAACAGGTTCCAATAACAACTTCTGTAATTATGAACCTAAAACAGTTTGCATGTTTTTGCAATGATAGACCAAGGCTGGAAAAGAAGTGATAAATTTCCTGTGCTTATACAGCTTGTAAAGCGCCGGACAATAGCCCCACAGGGGTCTTCCTGGAAGAAAAGTAAGGCTGACTCAGACTCTCATTTCTCTGGAATAAATCAGCTATCTTCAGCACAACGGGGGCAAGGGTCAGAAGCCACTTTTGGAGGCCCTGAACAAGGTTGAACAGATCTTGTTGTTCCTTTTGACTTTGTTGTGTCATTTAGTGGCAGACAGTTCATGAGCAGACTGTCTTCTGATGCCATTTATTTATATTCAAGAGCACTGGGAATACAGAACTATCAGCTGACAAGAAACAATATTGGACAGGCCAGAGAAAACAGGTCAGAAAGTGACATTTGAAGGATTTCCTGACAAACTTCGGAAGAACAGCAGTATTTTGTAACTTCTCTGGTTTCTAAGGTGGATGCACTTACAGACAGTAAGGGCAGAGATTTGGGTCAGGAATTGCTGTCCACATCCATCTGCCAAAGATGAGTCAAAAGGTTAGGTTTGGCATTAAATGTCTTTGAGGAACAACAGAGCTGGTGTTCTGAGTTGACCATTATCTCTGCTCTGAATGACTGAAATTTCTGGCATTCTCAAGAGAACAATGTCCACACCAGAAAGACTGGTGGTCCTCTGGGCATTTTACACTTCCCTGTGAATGAGAACTGAGGAATGTTCAGGGAGAAATAAGATGAGGCTTGTGGGTCAGACACATGAAAAGCTGTCTCTAGTTATTTAACCAGTCTTGAATCAAGGTGAAGAGCTATATGCCAGTGGTAGTTTATATATTAATAAAAAAGGGAAGGAAAATATTCAGACAGCCCATGTATTCCCCAGACTGCTTAAAGGGGATGCTGAATGGATGTTTCTCTTCTGACCCAGCTCTGCTAGAAGGAGTTGATTCTTCCAGTGTTTCTCCAATTACTTGTCATTGCCTCTCTCTCAGGAGCTAACAGCTTCCCTCCTTCTGCCAGCAGGTCTACTTTTGTGAGCTTTGATGACCCATGGTTATCGATGAGCTGACCTAGCATGAACAGTGTGGCCAATTAGTCTTCTTGGCCTTAAGAGGTGGCATCTTCCATCATGAGAGATACCAAGCAGCTGTGGGGGACAACTGGGAGCAGCCTGCCAGGCAGAATCACTGTCTCTTGCCAGGTGTTCAGCAAGACTACCTGCATCTTTGGTATGAAAGGTGGAAGAAAAGGGAATTAAAAGTTGTCTCAAATTACCCAGCCTTACAGTGACCAGAGACATACCACACGATATACAGATGATCTCAGAGCATAGAAGAGTGCATGTCTTGTGACACTGAGGAAATGTGAAATCTGGGACGATCACTGCCTCTGGAATGAAAAAGGGTGATACAGGACTGAAAGATTTGAAGGAAATGAGACAGCCTATATTTTCTGTAAAGAGGTATTATGAGACATGAAGAAGGCTTTTATAAACAAGTGTTGGTGAAGGAGTCAGAAGACAGCAAAGGGCAAGAAGCAACCTCTGAATGAAGCAACAGCAGCTGAGAGACACAAGGACATTAGCACCTCGTAATGGAGGCAAAAGGCATAGCTGCAGAGACCATCAAAATTCATAGCCAAATCCTCATTAAATTCTTCTCTTAAAGAAGGAATTTTTCTGATTTCTCTGTGTCTGAAAGTCATAGTGTGCATATCCTGGATACCACCAAATCACACCAAAAGGAGCTGACTGAATTGCATTACACCTGATAACTGAGGTACTTACTTCTAAAGAGTTGATCACCTTCTCTTAGAGGGTTTTTTTTTTTTTTTACTATTTAAAAAGTAAAAAGGTACATGGGGCAGACACTTTCTTCACAGTACAGTACTTTTCTTCACACACACATGTGCACAAGTGGACATGACACAACTGGAAAATACAGTTTTTTTTCCCTGCAAAATGCCAAGCAGCTTTGCTGATAACATCCATTCCTGGAAGTATTAATGGAGTTTTTTTTTCCCACAGAGAAAAAAACAACCAGCTCTCACCACTCTTGACTGCAAAAGAAACTCCTCCTTTTCTCATCAGTCCTCTCTGGCATATTTTTTCTTCTTATGTGGATTACAATTGTTATTAAAGCAATTGTTAGGGTTAATTATAATTATATTGTTAACAGTGAACTAGGACTTAAAGTATTTGATTGTGACTCAGAAAAATAGATTTAATTCCTGGTTCCCACAGAAAATTTCCATGTGATGAGCCAAATAATTCAGCAGCTTTTTGGCTTCTGAAGACAGAGACTATTGCTGTAAGACTGAATAGTTACTAAAGCAGAGCAGCTCTAATCCAATTACTTACAGCATCTCTGCTTCCTCTCTTAATCTGTCACCTTTGCTGCTAGATACTGTTTATCTAGTTCATTAAATGCCCAGGGCCCCCAGAATGGACCAATCTGAGTAGTAAGTTTCACACCTATTAATCTCTTATTTCTGATCATAGGTCTGTGCTAGGCATATACAAATAATGATAACGTAACACATACTGAATGCCTGAAAATAGAATCAGAATACAGAGCGGGAACTTGTGTAAAGAGAACATTAACAGGTTAGTAGCTAGCAGACACAATTTGTGCTGTGGGAAACACTAAGGAACAATCACATTTAAAAATAAAAATGAAAACTAACCAACACATTTTTCCCATTAAAAAACAAACAAACAGAACACAAAACAGACGGGGAGTACACACTTTTATTGCACATTTACAAGATGAGAGGCACAAGCAAACCCTACAGCATTTTTATTATAATCAGAGGCAAGCTGTCACTGTTTCAGCATAAATATTACTTAGCTGTGCAAGGAGTCAGTGAAGAAAACTAAAGCAGAGCACAACCATTTCTGGATGCAGCATTGCTTACACCAACAGCACTGAGGAGCAGAAGCAGGCATCTTAACAGCAGCAACGAGAAGGGGACAGATATCCACACAAAACAGGCAGCAGTGAAGGGAAGGTCGCACCCATGAGCTTTCATGGACATTTACTGAAGACCTATGGATAAAAAACAAAGTAAGACTTGTCTATAGCAGAAAACAGATTCAACGAGTTATAGAATCATAGAACACCTAGGGTTGGAAAGGACCTTGGAATCTAGTTCCAACCACCCTGCCATGAGCAGGGACACCTCACACTAAACCATGTCACCCAAGGCTCTGTCCAACCTGATCTTGGGCACTGCCAGGGATGGAGCATTCACAGTTTCCCTGGGCAACCCATTCCAATGCCTTACCACCCTGACAGTAAAGAATTTCCTCCTTATATCCAAACTAAACTTCCCCTGTGTAAGTTTTAACCCATTACCCCTTGTCCTGTCACTACAGTCCCTAATGAAGAGTCCATCCCCAGCATCCCTATAGCCCCCCTTCAGATACTGGAAGGCTGCTATGAGGTCTCCACGCAGCCTTCTCTTCTCCAGGCTGAACAGCCCCAACTTTCTCAGCCGATATTCATACGGGAGGTGCTCCAGTCCCCTGATCATCCTGGTGGCCCTCCTCTGGACTTGTTCCAACAGTTCCATGTCCTTTTTATGTTGAGGACACCAGGACTGTACACAGTGCTCCAAATGAGGTCTCACAAGAGCAAAGGGGCAGGCTCTTTCGACCTGCTGGTCTCACTCCTTTGATGCAGCCCAGGATACGGTTGGCTTTCTGGGCTGCGAGCACACACTGCCAGGTCATGTTAAGTTTCTTATTGACCAACCCCCCAAGTCCTTTTCCGCAGGGCTGCTCTGCCCAACCTGTAGCTGTGCCTGGGATTGCTCTGACCCAGGTGTAGGACCTTGCACTTGTCATGGTTAAACTTCATGAGGTTGGCATCAGCCCACCTCACAAGTGTGTCAAGGTCCCTCTGGATGGCATTCCTTCCCTCCAGCGTATCAACCGAACCACACAGCTTGGTGTCATCGGCAAACCTGCTGAGGGCGCACTCAATCCCACTGTCCATGTCAGCGACAAAGACGTTAAACAAGACCAGTCCCAACACCAATCCCCCAGGGACACCACTCGTTACTGGTCTCCAGCTGGACATTGAGCCATTGACCACAACTCTTTGTGTGTGGCCATCCAGCCAGTTCTTTATCCACTGAGTGGTCCATCCATCAAATTGATGTCTCTCCAATTTAGAGACAAGGATGTTGTGTGGGACAGTGTCTAACGCTTTGCACAAGTCCAGGTAGATGATGTCAGCTGCTCTACCCTTGTCCATCACTTGATGAATACAGAAAATATGCTCATTTCTTCACCTAGTTTGTAATATGAGGTCAATAAAGGATTTTTATTGCCTGAATTATAGTGTGCAAGAACTGTTAGTCAGTTTCCTTCTCTACCATTGCAAGTATGCTCCCACGCTGAGATACCTCAGTGCAGAGCTGATGTGCTTCCAACTTTCTTAGTGATGCTACATTTGCACTCAGTAATATCCAACCAAAACATTTCCTGCCACATTCCTCTGTGGGGAATTGGTGCTATCCTGCTTGATAATACCCTCACATCCCTTCTGATTTAGGCAAGGAAATATGGTTATGCTTTGAAGCCATAATCCTTTAGGAAGTTATGAATAGTCAAAAGTAGTGCACGACATGAAACTGTGCACGCCCTGTGATGACAATACACTTGATTATATTCTTCCCACCATTCTCTTATAGAAAACTAATAACTGTGAAAGACCTTCGTGTTTCTTTTCAAGATCCTTGGTGGTTCAGCATATCCAAAGGGTTAAGAGAGAAAACTACTGAGTGAAATTTAGTGTGCTTTCACCCACACAATAGCATTTTCTGACGTAAGAATGTGGTGTTCAGTGTTGCTGTCAACAGTGCTTAGGGCTCTGGCTATCCCTAGTAAAAGAAACAAAACAAAGCAAGAACCAAACAAAAGCAACAAAATCCCATAGGAGATAAAGACTATCCCAGTCACACCATTTACTGCTGTAGAATGTCCTTCTCTGGCAGGAATTACTAGAACCATGAATTTAAAAACAAAACCAAGAGAAAGCCTTCAAAGTTACCTACACCTCTGTGTGGCATGCAATGAGCAGTGGTGGTCAGAGGGTGAAGATAAAGCCAGACCTCACAGAAGTTATCACATAGCTTACTATTCACTCAAAAAATAAGGCACCACAGTGGATGTTGGATGGGAGGGAAGGCAAGCAAACTGGCAAACTGACAGCTGTCTCTTGTTTTTAGTTATTTTCTGTTTTCTGCTACAGTTCCACACTAGAAACAACAGTTTGATTCTCAAAAGATGAATCTCTGCTCCTCACAATGTATCATAACACTGATTACCAAAAGACATATGAGTTCTCCACCCAGCTATCTGCAGGGGCTCCTCTAGAGGCCAAGTATTTTGTAGAGCAGACTCCAGTGTGCTTGATATCTAAGTGCATTTGCCTGCCTTCAAGGCAAGGGGAATTTGTCACTGAACAGAAATATACTAGAAACAGGATATTCTTCTCACAGGGCTGATACGGTGATGCTCTGCATATTTAATGTCTTGCTGACACCACCTGAGTAATGCCCCTGACCCCCCAACACTCCCCACCAGCAGAATTTACTCCAAGGGCTTTTGTGACCTAATGAAACCATGAGAATTTTGCCCCTGGCTTGAGTATGCAGGGAGGAAGCAGGCGGGGTTTTCTTCCTATTAACAGAAACTTTCTTACTAACTGGAACAAATAATTAAATAAATTCACTAACGTATTTAAAACAGAGTGCAAAGTGTAAGAAAACAAAATAAAAGAATCCTACCTTCATATTGTGCTTTGAGTCGCAATGTCACTGTGGCTCTAACGTTGTGCATTTCATTCAGCGCTACACATGTGAAATTTGCCTGCAGATCCTCCTTTTTTATTTCAGTAATATGCAAAGTGGCCTCTTTGTAATATACTTGCTCATGTCCTTCAAAACTACTAGAAAGAAAATGAACTGGTAGTGTTGGCTTTGATGGTTAGGCACAGTTTGCATAGAATCATAGAAGAAAGATTATTCTGTGTTACGTGTACTTACGAATTAGATTTTTCATGGAATCTTGAAACATGTAAGTCTTTCAAAGGGGTGTTAGCCACATCCCATGTGACAACAGCCAGTGGCTGTTTCTTAATTCCCAGGCAGGCCCGACATTTCAGAGACAAAGCAGCACCTGAGCAAGATACAGAGAAATGTATAAATTCCTTGAAAAACAAGTGTAATCTTCCTCATAACATCTTTTTCTACAAATCTTCATATCACCTGTAAGTTTTGTCTTAACAATTTTGACGATTTTTTGAATGACTGCTTACAAAATGATGCATAAAACAGACTCAGAAAGAAATGGTGAAATTAGGTTTTTAACAAATTATCTAAGACAACACCAAGGATTACAAAAGGAATTATTTATATTTGTTACAATGAAGACAACTTAGAGTTGTGACATTTAACCCATGTGATAAACTGTTGAGGAATATGGATAGTAAATGCTGGTTTACACACAAATTTACATGGAAATAACATAACTAAATTTAAGTATATATCATATTGCATAAGTCTTCTGTGCAGGCTTATCTTGAATTTTTGTCAAGATGGATGAAAGTAAAGTAAACCAGTCCAAGCAAGGCTAAAACAGGAAATTACTTATTAAGGATCTGTCATTGGGAAATATTTATTCCAAAGTAAGAGTCACTCTTGCACTGGAAGAAGGTATAATTAAAAGACTTTAAATTATTTCCATGTAAATCTGCATCTAAGCAGGGCTTAGATAACATTTAAAATCTTATGACTTACATCCTCAATTGGTATTAGGCAACATGGAGAAACATCTTCATTTTTGGAAATAGGAGAACATAGAACCAGTACAGCAAATGGCTTTTCAATGTAAAGAGAATTTCCTCCATGCAAACAGAGCCAGATTACTTATTGGCCCAGAGGGATGGGCAAAGCCCATAGAGCACTAGAGTCTGAGCATCTTATTAGAGAAAGCTGGTCCTTGAAGCACAGATCATCAAATTCTGAGAGACAAGCAACTGGAAAGAGGAAAAAAGAACAGCAATACAATTCAACATGGCAAGTCTCTGAGCCATGGTACATGGCACCTCTGACAGGGCCGCAGGCCCCTGCAGTACTGTTACCAGAGAAGTCTTGCTGTAAGACAGAAACAGTGGAGTAGTAATCGCTATCCCTTCTCTCAGTGCCCCTTGTTCACCTCACCTGCCCTGGGAGACAGGCATCCTGGGATACCTGTTCATGTTTCAGATGAGCTCAGTCACTTTCTGGAGTGGTCCACCTTTCTCTATCAACTATACAAAAACCCCAGACAGCTCTCATTCCTACCATAAGCACCTTGTTCTGATGCTGCAAGTTATGCAGGGTGAATATGAATCACTAAGAACATCTACAGTCCTAAGTAAAAGGGTGTCAAGGATCAAGCTCTGCATCATGGGCTCTCCAACCGGAGAAACCAGGACACCTTTGAAGTAGGTGGAAGCTGTCACTCCTTCAGCTGAGATGTGCTAATTGACAGTGTGAGTAATCCTAGTCTGTCCCAGTGAGGGTAGAATGATTTATTTAAATCCCCTAAATTGCTGCTTAATGCCTAAATAACCCAACAGTTGTATCTGACTTCACATCACTGTGCCTGGGGTGAATTAAATCTGGTAAATGTTATGGAAAATCTCCACCATTAATTGTTCTTGAAAATCCCCATGCTTTTAGGCAATCACCAAATGTTAATTTAAAAATAATTTAAAGTTTGTACTTACCAAGCTCCACTTCTATTACATCTTTGTCCTTTGGAAATAAAATTCTAGGAGATAGAGGGAAGTGTTTTGCTTTAGAAATTAAGGAGGGAAAAAAAGCACATATTAGTTGTGAAAACTTATTTTGTAAGAGAATTATAATAACTTGTATAGTTAACGTTTTAAGATCCCAAAGCAGAATTGCAAACTAACACTACAACAGCATTTCATGTCTGTTGGGATCACCTGGTTTTATTCCTCTGACCAAATATTTCAAAGGAGTCTGTATGTGTTAATAGTTTGAGTATTTTCTCCCAATTTATTTCATTTTTGTCTTTGTACATAAAGAGCAAGGAAAAGTTTCAGTTTCTCAAGCGCTGCTTTAGCTGCTGAGTGGGAAAAAAAGAAAATGCAGTTATGGGTTTGTGTTTTCTCGGTTGCTTATTTCAGTTTTTAAAAGAGATAAAGTTTCTTTCCAACACTTGAGAAATTACTCATATCCATGATATGAAACAGTTAAAATGCACTTTTATTCAGTATCTGAACTGGAGACCCTATAGCCCACAGCTGCTCGCCCATGTTCCCGTCTTCCCCATCTCTGTAACTTGACAGCTGAGCACATCTTGTTCCCAAGACTCTCCCTGCTGTCTGTGCACCACTGCTGCATTCAGCTGCTTTCCATTACATTGGGCATCCCTTATCATTACCTTCTAAAAGGATACTGCTTTTTATTTAACATATTTATTTTCTGTTCCAAGTAATAATTGTTACGGACAGGTCCAAACTACATCCATCTGCTTGAAACAGGCATTCAGCTCTTTCAGATTTTTTTCCTTGATGAGTGTTTTTTCTTTTCTTGCCCTTTATACTGTCTTATGTATTCCACTCCAAACATATTGCTTGTTATCCTTTCCCTCATTAAGCTTTTCCATCTCAAGGCACCTATATGACACTGATAACCCTATTTCCCTCAAAAAATATGCAAGAACTCATTTAACCCTCTGCTTCCCAGGCTGTCAGAAAAGCAATTATCTTCACCCATCCTAACTGTTTCTAATTTTCATTAGCTGGATCTGGTAAGAAAAGAAGTCAGGAGAAAGCCAGTAACTTCCTAGCTAGCTGCCAGCATTCGGAGGCAGAAGATCCTCTGGGTCAGTGTGGATCTACGAAGCAACAGGAATTTACATCATAAACCAGTATTATCAAAACATAACAGCTCCACTCATCAGATACTAATTTTCAGGGTTGATAAAAACTCAAAGAAGGTATTACTGAGTAATTTGAATTTAGCAAAAACTGGAAGAGACATGACAAACTCAGCTCAGATTTCATGTTGCAATTCTTTCTTTCTGCAGTTACTTCAAAAGAAAGATAGATTAACTTTAAAATGAAGTAATCTGCCTGGAGGTAACAGAGGCTTTTATAAATTTGGATGACTTTATGCCAAATAAAACCCAGAAATTTTCATTATAACCCAGACACAACAATATTGATGACAAGTTAGAGACATTTTGGTGAAAGTACATCCAAAGAAAAATTGGGTGTTAGGCAGGGAAGTCTCATGTAGACCAACAGGATGTTACAGGTTAGAGAGGAAGGAAAGGCATGACACCTCCTAAACTACTGTACTAGGTCTCAGCTCAAATCTATCTTCTGTCCAGCCCAGAATAATCAAAGCAAACTCCTCTACTGAGATCTGGACACAGCAGGAAGAACTGGAATCAAGGTCCCTACTTTCCAAATCTGCATTCTGCTCACAGGCTGTGTGCCTACCCACAGAAAAAAAGGTCTAATGTCAATCTACAAATAAATATTATCTACTAAAAAAGCAAACAAAGCAAACAATCCAAACTCAAGGGCCATCCCCAACCCTCCCAAAAACACGTTTCTGACTATTTTTCTACTGATCTGATTGAAGAACTGAAGGCACATTTTAAAGTTTTGCGAGTTGATGCAATCTGGAACTGCTGATTGCTGCATGCTCTTCCCCTGACCACCATCTAAATACAAAGCCTCCCTGAGGAGGCTGCATTCTAGAGGCACCTCAAAGGCTACACATTTAGCCATGCTGGCAGCATTCAAAATAACAATGACATAGTTAATCACTGAGCTCCACTCATTTTCTGTCTCTACATATATCTTGCTCATTTTGTCTCATTCAAGATAAACCTAAAACTTTTTTCAGCCTCACGATCAAATAAATGCTAGATAATCAAGATGGACCAGAAGGTATTGAGTTGTAGGCTATCAACACAGTGGTGCAGTGATCACCAGATGATCCTAACTAGCTACAAATTCTTCTCCCTTTGAACAAATAGAAAGCAGAGCTTTGTGGGTTCCCTCTGAGGAGACGCTTTATTCAGAAATGAGTGCTACCAGCCAGGTCTTCCAACCACAGTATGTAACCAGAATCATCAGAGACTTTTAGCAGAAAAGCTGAATATGACCAGGTCTGAATTAATCCCCATCTTTCTCCACTTGGAACTCCATTCAAAAAATTCACCTAAAAAAGCTGATCTGAAGTTTTTTTGGGAAGATAAAACAACAGAAAAATTTTAATGTACAAAAAAAAAGCTTCTCAGTCTTTTTTATCTTAGCAAGCTACAAAATGACTGCCTTACCGCCACTTATGAAAATCCTCGTTGCTGATACATTGAACACATTTCCTTTATGAGTGTAGCTAAATCGACAAGTATAATAACCATCATCCTCCTTTCTTGGGTCCTTAATATAAATGTATTTTTCTCCCTTGAAGTATCTCTGCCCATGAAGAGGTTTACAGTCCTGGAAAATAAATATTTCTGTATTTGGATGCAAATAGCTTCTCACAGTAACCTGATCTACAACTGGCACTGTCAGGGTTTTATTTACCTTATACCACTGGATGATAGTAGCACTTTTATAACTGTCAATTGTAGGACAAACAATTTTTCCTCTTCCAGTGTCATTTGGATAACGAATCCGACTTGGGAAACATATTCCTTGCTTGTATGGATGCACCTGCACACTCATGTTGAATGACCTTGTGCGATTATTTGAACTTTAAAAGTGGAATAAAGTTATGTCAATGGCAGTATTTTTATAAGGAACATATTAAATGTTTTTAACAAATGTAAATCTTGTTTTATAAACTATGGATGATTACTGTAGTTCCGTCACAGATTGATTTTAATGACCGGTGATAAAAATAGCAATTACAGGATGAAGAGCCGCATGAATTGCTGTATACCATGAAAAAATTGCATCATTTCCATAATAATAACGATGTATTGCTAAAAAAAAAAGTATGTTTCTTTCTAGTCTTATGCCTTTCACTCTTCAAAGTTGTACTTACAAAAGTATAACACAAGTGTAGTTTCCAGAATCCTCTCTAGAAGTTGGCAGAAACCAAAGAAATCGTTCTAAGGAAAATATTCGTGATCCCTCTCCTTCTGCAGGAATCATTTCATTTGTATCCGTGTGATACCAGGTGACTTTCACAGATGAACTCCATCGAGGGCATTTTATAACTAAAGCCTCACCTTCCATTGCATCAACTGCAAATGAACAAAAGATAAATATCTCAGAAGAACTAACCCTAGCCCCACTGAGCAGAGAGGAGCTTGGCATTCTTGGATCAACAGGCCAGTCATGTCACTCTACCTTCCTTGGGCTTTCAAAGGTGATATACAGCAAACATTCCCACTAGGTGATATTTGAAGAAAAAATTTATTTATCTTGAGTTATGGGGTAATTTGTTTGCATTTGTTTGTTTAGCAATTAATGTTCAGGACTCAAACAAGCAAACAAGCAAATAAAATCCTGGATTCAAACCAAACATACAGTGAAAATCGTGAGGTTTTAACTGAAAAATAGTTATTTCTTGAAATGCACTTTGTACACAAATCTTTACTTGAAATCCAGGAATTCAAACACAAAGGAAAAATACTGTCTTTAATGCTTTACTATTAAGTTAGCTTTCCTTACTTCAATGTGATAAATATTTATACAACAGAGAAGAGCTCTTGTCCTGCCTTTTTAATACAAAAAAAGAAAAGGGAAATCAATAAACTTCTTTTTTAGTTTTTATGAAAGAAAAAAAAGTAGGAAGAGGAAGCCCATAAATAAACTCATAAAAAAAAGCCCCCCAAAAACCCCACACAAAATCCAGAAGAGTTTCTCTCTGAAGTTCACGAAAATATGAAAACATTGAAACTAATGTAACAGACTGAAAGGAAGCATCTGATGGGAAGGTGAAAAGATGCCAGAAGGGAATAAGAGACAAATAAGAAGCTTAGGAAAACAAACCACACATGCTCACATATAAGAAAAAAGAAGAACTAGTTGCAAGACATTTTATTTACTTTTTTTTTTAACTGAGTACATTTCTACTTTTGAATTCTGTAACTGATCCAGAGAAACTTGAATCAAACAATTTTCACAGATATTGAAATCCCTGGGTACCTGAATAACTGAAAGTTATATTACATTTTGGAGAAGAGAAAAGGAAATATATAAGCAAGGATGAAGACTGGACAAAGATGGAGATTGACAAAGGGACTACAGAAGAGAGAGGAGTGTGGCAATGAAAGTAGGTAACCAAATACCTAATCAAAATTGAGAATATCTGTCAAAAATAATGCTTTGTGGGAGTATTGCCACTGCCTGGTTTTAGACATATAGGCAGACAAATTAGGTAGCGAGTCTCTCTACATTGTGAGCACTTGGCTTCTGCTCTGGTTCTTCCTAAAGAAGTGGTCCATCCCCACTGGCGTTACATGTCATCTCGCTTATTAATTCAGTCATCTAAATTAGCCACATCAGGTATGAGTACCCCCATTGTAACAGCATTCCACCCATGAGCCTTTCAAAGACAGTGGGATGTATCAGGTGTGTCAAGGAAGGCAGCATTGCACAAATAAAGGAGGAACACATTGGAAATACAGCTTTCTTCAGGTTAAAATAAAGGAGGAAACGGAGCACACAAAAAATGAGAGACCTCACCCAAAATCAATCACATCAGGGAAAATTATCTTGGCAAATTCTTCAGCAGAATTTGGCCTTTTAATAAACGCAATTCATATTGTAAACTTGAGAATTTGGGGAAATACTTAGAGATCATATCTTACAATATTTTTCAGACAAATAAGCAGCTCAGCTGAAAATCAGAACTATGTGAGCGCAATGTAACGCTCACTAGTCGGCACCGGTCAGCATTATACAGATGAGTCAGAAAGAGCTTGCTGGTTTGAATATCCCCCACGTGCAGGGAAATGTTACCTTGTACTTGTGGATTAACACCCCCAAACCAAGGACATTGAAAAGCATTTTTAACAAGCTTTTTAACACCGTTACGTCCCTGGTTCAGCAGGGTGCTTACACATATATGTAACTTAAGTTCAGAGCAATTTAAGCATGCTTTTGGAGATTTTGCCAAGCTGGGACCTGGAACACCAGCTGCTCTCAAATCTTTTCCAAAAGGCATCTTTGCAGAGATGCCAAAAAGCAGAAGTAGAACCCAGATTTAATGTCAAAGAAATGGACAGCACTTGGCAGATTGTAGTATAAAGAGAAAATGCACAAAGCCAACTTTTAAGTTGTGACTTGTGGCTTGAGGTGAACTAGTTAACTAAAAAAAAAAAAAAAAAAAAAACCAACAAAAACACACAAAAAAACAAAACAAACAAACAAACAAACAAAAAACACAAACAAAAATTTGGGAATGGCCTACACATTTATTCAGAATAAACCTCATCAGAAAGTATTTTTAAATGTGACTTACATGTTTCAGATGTCATGGAAACCAAGAAGAAGGTAGACAGGAAGGTCAAATGTACATACACCATCATATTTCTAAACCAAAAAGAAAAACACTGATATCTCAGAATATGCTCTGACTGCATCAGTTATGCTATTGCCATGGCACTGATGTACATCTACTAACAGATAATGGTATTGTGCAGTGATAAAGTGTATCATGTGATGAATCTATACAGACTGAGTGTGTAGCAGGGGTTTTGCAGCTTTGAGATAATGATCTTCTTTCTATCACCAATGCATTGGCTGATGTTGCATTCAAACTACTGTTATGACTTAGTTTAATGAGGGTAGAGGAATTACTCTGCCATGGTGGGCCTCTGGCAGGAGACTCTTTTTGCTTAGTTGCTTTTTTTTAAGGAAGCTAATTGTACATTGGCATTCTCTTCTCAGTCAAGTGCATAAAAATTATAGCATGATTTAGAAAGTGTTCGATCCTGGCTTTGAAAATACATATCCTGGCTTTGAATTAAGCTTACATCCAATCAACCGCCTGGGGCACAACACCTTTTTGGCTATCTATGAAAGTGAAGGTATCTTCAGTGACAGCTTCTCTAGGTAAGCGTTCAGCAGTAAGAACAAAACCAGGTGAGTGCCATCAGCAATGCTAACCTGAAGGGGAACTCAAAAAATGGAGTGGAAAGGCAGGTAACAGGACATATACGGCTATCATGTAACAGCAGTAGGGAAGTTCTCATGGCTCAGTGATGCTTTCATTTGTGTCTAACTGGTATTAGCCTGCTGTAATTCACACCTTGCAGTGTAGCTCAGGCACTCACCAGCAAACTCCTTTATTAAAGAAACTGGTTATTTGTCTATGGACATTAAATTGATGCAACCTAGGTGTATTTCAGGAGACAGCAGACATACAATCCAGCTATAGTATGGAGCTGTAAGTATTCCACTTACCATTAAATAAACCCTTTGCTTGAATTCTGTCCTTTACCTCAGATCACAGAGTGGTGCGTTCTAATATCACGGAGGAGAAAGTTGTCTCATGGTACTACAGATGGAAGATAAATTTTCAAGAGAAATCAAGTTAGAAATTCATTATAATTTATCTTGCAGACAGCAAACATGAGGAGGAGTGAAAAATACACAAGAAACCTACAGGCAAGGTAAGTACTGTCATCACACTTGCTGCAAAGCATTTATATTGCAGTGCCTAAAATTTCCAGGCTAAACAAAGTTTGAAAGGCCGTATCAAGACCTACATTTTTGTGAAGTCTGAAATTCAGAACAAACTCAATTTTGAGCTTTCAGAAATGTAATTGGGTTTGTACTGATACAGAAAGTTTCTTCTTTTAGAAGGTTTAATAGCATCCAGAAGCGTATTCTTAAACAACTTAGTGTTGGAAGAGAAAAACATGAGAATTTCAATGTAGGTATTTATGTATATATAACATCATTCCAGCATTAATGTCACAGCAAGGCTGATGCCTTTTACAGGAAGTGAATGACCAGTCAGGAGGCTGCAGAAACAATGTGCATGAGGTGCTGCTTGCTTTCATTAGACCTGGGAAAAGCACCACATACAAGAGATTGCAGCCTATTGACTTCTTTAATTTTAAGGAAATCTTAAGCCAGTTTAACAGATTTTTGGAAGGTACTTTTCACCTAAACAAATACCGGGAGTTTTGCTCTAGACGACATGAATGAGCTCGTCCAGAAGAGGGTTCAGGGGGTGACAGGGACAGGATAAGCCCTCAGCAAAGAAAGATATAGAGCAAAACAGCACACAACAAAATTCACAGTATCAAGGCAGCAGATCACTTGTCTTTGTTCATTCTTTAGAGTGGAAGGCTTGTTCCTAGAACTTTTTTCTGACACTACCAGGGAGCAACTAGATTGGCAGGTAAGAATACAGAACCAAGTTTCACATATCCCACTTATTTGAGGCCTGGATCCAGTTCAGGATCTAAACAGAACTGTATTTGCCAGCAATTCTATTGACTTAATTCACCATCTAAAGTCTATTTTAATCACAGTTGAAAAATTATACGGGGGTTCATGGCTCCATGTTCTCCTGAGAAAGAAAAGAGAAGTGCAAATGCCTTGCACGTATTTGGAAACCAGTTTGCTGTTCAGCTGATGTGAGCAACATTTTGCAGATACATGGTGTCCTGGTCTCTTGAGCAGCTCATCGAAAGCAAGTGATGAAAGTTTCTCTGGCACACTCTACTGAGCACCTCGCTTCCACTATTCATGAGATACCTACCTGTTCTGTTTCTGTCTCTCTGGGTGAAATCTAAACACTTCCATCTAGCTCTAATCTTTCTGGGAACTGATTTTCCTTGGCATGGTTTCACTGAGCCTCATTATATAGATTTGCTCTAAACTATCACCACTTCATTCTCTGCACTAATTTCCCCTCTGCTTTACTATTTTTCACTACCTATTGCTGTACCTAGTCTTATTGGTTCAACTCACCTTTGGTTAGCCTATGCCCCATTTGGTTTTTTCACTGAAATTACCTTTTCACTTGCAGCTCACAAGAGCCATTATTGATCATGCGAAATAATCTGCCACCTCCATATTCTTGTGACTTTGCTAATCAGCATTGGTTTACACAGAGGAGATCTTTTTTTCCTAAAAGGTCCCGCTGATCAGCCAGATGGACAGTTTTGCAAGCTGACTTTCAACTATTTGGCATCCAAATACTTTTGGAAAGGCTCATTTTTTCCAGAGAAGGACTGACTGACATGTCCGGGACTGCAGCAGGGTATAGACCAAACTATAGGATGCAGCAAGGGAAGGTGAATCCTTTCAAAAGATATTTATACTGGCTACCAGCACAATGTGCTATTAGATGCTGACTGCCTAGAGCGTCCAAAACACATGTATGTGTATTTACATAAGCAAACATAATACGCAAAACATTAACTGCAGCAGGGCTACTTCATACAACTGAGATGAGATACTTCTAATCAACTGAGGCTCCACAGTGAAGTCTCCAAACAAACCCTAAGAATCAGATAAGTGAAGAACTCTAAGCTGAATAATAAATAAAATTTAATTAGAGTAATTAAATAGACATAAAAATATTCAGAATATTCCTGCTATGCTGGCAGCCTTTTGTCTTCAAGTGATTAGTTCTCTTTCACAAACTTATTTGCCCCTAACAAGGTATATACCAGCAGTTATGCCAACTCTCCTACTATTTTTAGTGCTATTTTGTTTAAGCAAGCAGATGCTTCAACAAGATGACAAAAAGTAAAACGATTGATTTTTAAAGGAAAACAAGTTTCATAGACTAGATTTGGAGGTGGTCTGAAATGAGGTTCTTTCTCATTTGATATTTTATTTATAGGTGTTTAACAAAAAGTTGCAAGGAGCTGTGCTTTCTCCATTTCTGAGATACAGCTTTGTCCAGGAATGGAGACAGCCAATACTTGCCCTCATCAACTCTTCTAAGAAGGGCCAGAATGATCCAGGAGTAAGAAATTTTTATTTGCCTGTCTGAGTACTTGCCAGGTTTTTTATTTAGCTTTCTGCCTTCAAGAGACCTTACACATACTGGGCTACCAGCCTGCACCAAATCAGTGCAAAATAGTTGTCATAAAGGACAAATTCTCCCCATCTAACTTTGATGACGGCTTGATTGATTTTATCACAGTATCCCAGTATCACAGTATGCTAGAGATTGGAAGGGACCTCAAAAGATCATCTAGTCCAATCCCGCTGCCAGAGCAGGAACACCTAGATAAGGTTACACAGGAATGTGTCCAGGTGGGTTTTGAATGTCTCCAGAGAAGGAGACTCCACAACCTCCCTGGGCAGCCTGTTCCAGTGTTCCGTCACCCTCACTGAGAAGAAGTTCCTTCTCAAGTTTGAGTGGAACCTCTTGTGTTCCAGTATGTACCCATTGCCCCTTGTCCTACCATTGTTTGCCACTGAGAAGAGCCTGGCTCCATCCTCGTGACACTCCCCCTTTATATATTTATATACACTAATAAGGTCACCCCTTAATCTCCTCTTCTCCAAACTATAGAGACCCAGCTCCCTCAGTCTTTCCTCATAAGCGAGATGCTCCACTCCCTTAATCATCTTAGTTGCCCTGCGCTGGACTCTCTCCAGCGTTTTTAAGTTGCCGTGTACTGGCAGCAGTTTGGGTAAACTTTGGGGATTGCGTGTATGAATACGTGCAATATATGGGGTCTAATTAAAGAGGAATGTTCCCTGAAAATATGAGAGTTCAGGCAATCAAAAGAACAACATGATTCTGTTTTCAAATTCCAAAGCCAGCAGCAAACTGCCAAATTACCTCCATAAAAAGTGTGGCAGAGGCTGGAGTTCTAGACAGCAAATAGCAAGAGAAGGACTGGTTCACTAGAGCCTTACTGCTTGTGCCATTACTTTATGCAAAGCAAAATTAAAACATCCACGCATCCGCTCATCCGTCGTACTTAGCTCAGATAATCAGGGTATTGTGAATCACAAGACAAAGGCATTAAAACACCTCACATCCCACAGTCACAAGGAAGAAGTTCCTGTATCTTTAAACCCTGAGAGACAAAGGCCATAATTTCTGGAAATAGTTATGAGTTTTATTTATGCTTTTGCAAGTTTATTTGGAACTTATGTTTTAATACATTTATCTGAAGTAGAACACGGATAACAGATTTTTGGATCCTCACTATGCCATAAATTTAGATTGCTACTATCCAGGGGAAAAAAGATAAGGAGACATTTTCCATATATACCTCTTTCTTACTATAGCTCAGAATAACTGCATGTTATGAGCTTTCCTCTGTGGGGAAAATTTCAGTATGATGCGGAAAAATCCATAGATCCAAATATATAGATTTGGAATAATACCTGATTATGTCAAAACCTAGCCCCTAACGATCCAATATCTAAGGAAGAAGAAAGAACTGGGTACCCCCTATACGGCTTAACTCCTTGCTTTTCCCAAAGCAGCTGTGTTAGTAACGTACTTGTAATTTTCTTTCCGAAATCGTATTTGGCAACAAACTGTTTATAGTACTGCTTATGTAAGTAAGCAAACATTATAAAAGTACTATACCTTGCATATTAGCAAAACTTGGAAATGTTAGTGCAATTTCTACTTTAAAAAGCTTAACAGACTTAGAATTCATTCATTCACCTCCTAAAAGTTGTTTTCATTATCAAACCTGAAAACCCATTGTGACTGAAAATAGGCTATCAAAATAGAAACAGTAATGCTGAACGTATTCCAGAAGCAGCACTCACAGTTGTTAACGCCTACACTAGTTACAGCTGTAAGTGTAAAATTTAGGAATATCAATGTTAAAGTATGGAAAGGACAGAATTAATATACACATTATTCTTACAAAGTATTTTGAAACAAGAAAGTACATAAATATACTAAACCCTGAAAAATCCATTGCACTGTTCTCTGTATTTGAATAATTAGTAAAAACATCTGCCAGAAAACTGATAGCAAAGCCACTTCTAAATGCATTTCATTATAAGGTAAATCTTTATGTCGACCCCAAAATTATTTGTCTAGCACATAAGCATAGCCACTATTTTAATCTATTTTTTTTCCTGAGGTAAAGAAGCATTTAAGTGAACTGAAATAAACTTTCTTATAAAACACTTCAGTTATTTATGGTTAAATGGTAATATAGAAATTAGACCTACCATCTGGAAAATAAGAAAGCAGAAAAGTGGCTTGCTCTCTGTGGCTGGGTCCTTTGCACTGATTTCTCTGCTGTAGCTTGTACCAAATATTACTGGGAACTCTTTCTAACTGGCTTGTGCAATTCCTATCTGTAGGAGCAAGATATAAAGCTTCATTTTGAGACACCTCCCACTGAGTAGAGCAGAACATGCAAATTACTGTTGTAAACTTAAGTGCCTATCAGAGATGATATCTCATAGTTCCAATTAATCAGTTATCTTTTACCAGTAGCACAGGTTTTCCATTTATCACAACTTATTCCACTTTAGCATCATTATAAAGCAATAAATCTGCTGGCTGGTTACTGGCTTTCTCATATGGCTGGGGAGAACAAAGAAAGGACACGTAGCCGGCAGAGGGTGCTTTGAAACAGATTTTGTCTGAAAACAGTGACAGCTTTGCCTGGTCTAGTTGGGCAGCAGTTCCAGGAGAACAGCTCTAAACTCCCCTGGAGCAGCAGGAACAGGTTTTAATGAAGGAATCTGCTTCACTGAAGCTTTCAAAAGAAGGCTGCTGAGAAACCAGCTGTCTGCACCAGCAGGTAAATTAATTCTCTGAGGGAAAGAAGGCTGGAGGGGCAGAGGAGTTCCACAGAAAATAAAGAACAACTCTGGGAGAGCAAGGAGTGAACATAACACAGTGTACAGTGACCCACACAAGCAGGTATTCAGGAGACCATATGGGCCACTGAGTGTCAGAAAGACATTTTTAGGGAGCACTGTTCAAGACTTCTATGCAGCCTTCTAAGCATCAGCACTAAACCTGGACCCATCAGATCAAAGGTCCCATCTTGTGCAACAGCCAGTCTAAGCAGGCAATTTCAGTACCAAATCAGCCAAATTCCAGAGGACAAATGAGCCTGTATATCTTAGCAGAATAACCCCTAAAGACGTTTTGGGAATCAACTGTTCATTCTCCCTTTAACCGAAACAGATTTTGTATTCTGATCATTCTAACTCTTCTTTTTCCCTGGCAGAGTTATGAATATCATTTATTATTTCCAGTATTCATGGAACTCTGCTGTCAGCATGCAGTAACTCCAACAATACACAAAGATGTAGCAATTATATGCCAATATGCAAAAATCTTACTGATGTCACACCCATACTTTCTGCAGTTTTTGGTACAGCTTTTCCTCTGAAATGGTCTGGAGGCTGCACTTTACACAACACAGAAAATGCAAACTCAAACCATACAAAAATGAAATCTCACAATACTTTAGTCAACCCATCGGGGTCAGCTCAGATCCCTCCCTCGAAAAGCTCACAAACCACTGAAGTTTTGTCTCAGGTAAGAAGTCTGGAGCAAGGGTCTACATTGACTGGTAGATTGATCATCATCTCACAGTGACATGTCCCTTACTTTAGGGAGAGGTTAAATATATTCAGGTCAAACTAACTCCCATTGCCTGGACACAGAATAAGTTCTTCTGTCATAAAGCCCACTGAAACGTAAATCAGAGACAGTCATTGTACTGCCACATAAGTCAGAAGAGCCCTTCATCCTGTAGTCTGCTCCCCATGCCAAGGTTGTTTCCAGACCATAATGCAGGTGGGAAGCTGAGCTCCTGGCTAAAGGGGATAGTCTCCAGCTGAGCAAAAGCCATCTGCAGCTTTCTTAAGAAACTACAGTCAATGTAGAATGCTTCTTAACTTTTGGCCCAGCTTCTAAAAAATTTCTATTTGGTAAGTGTACAGAAAAATGTGCTAATGGAAATACGTCAAGAAATGCCTTTGATGAATTAGATGCTGCTCCCTTGGCAGCCTGCATGCATAACACTTCAGCAAACAGGAGAAACATGTTCTTCAAGCAAAGAAGTCAAGTATTAATGGGTTTAAACAGAAGTATGGAATAGTTAGACAAGACAGCAGGTAAAATCTTTTAACAGGAAAGGTAGTGAAGCACGAGAAGAGTTTTCTGGAACCTCAGTGGAGCTGCCACTAAGAGTTAGACCTTCAAGAAAAATCTGGTATTGGCATCAAGAGGCTGTAGTTAGCCCCTCAGGTCCTTACCGGCATGAGGAGTCAATGGCCCAGAGACTCAGCTGCCTGTGTTGATGTGTCTGTGATGGCTGGTTTTGGTGCCGCATGGCTGTATGAACTTAACTCAGTTGTGCTGGCAAAATGATTTCTGAACTGTGAAAAGTATGCAAGTTAAAGCCATACAAAAAGGTATAGATACAAAACCTGAAACCCCAGATTAAATGAAGTTACTGATATCAAGAGTTAGGAGTTCAAGCACTGAAGAGTAAAACTGATGACACAAAAAAAAAGATAAAATCCTGAGATGAAAAGCAGAGATAGGAAAACAGCAGCTCATCAACATCAGGGTTCAGTCTAGTCCAAGAAACAGTGCTTAGCCTAGCAGAGTACTAGTCCTGGCTGTCTAATACCTGCCTTTATTAGCCAGGAAATATTTGCTGTGTACATTTTTCTGCACCCTGGTTGCAGACTGTCACTGCACACTATAGGGGACACCTGAACAGAAGCAATCCTGGCAGGAAAGGTTTCACTATCTACATTTGTTGAGGCCAACACTAGTGGAGCACTAGTGGAGTTAGCAGACAGTGGGATGGTGGGGGAAGCTGTTGTTGGGTGTGCCCACACACATGGTAGGTCTAATGTTTGTTATCTGGTGGGGATCCACCCTACTGAGGTTGCAGTGCCCTTCCTGTTCCCCTGTGTTGTGATGCCTTACTTGTGACCAGCATAGGCACCTCTTGCATTGTGCAAAATAAAAATCAGAAAAGTTTTTCAAGGGTTATAATGGGGATGGACTCCTATTCCCTCAAGGTAAGAGTTGCCCCTGATTTTTAACATTGATTACGCAGTCCTATTACCACCCACATTGTGATAAAGACAAATGGGCTGGTCCCTAAACAGCTCCCTTAGTTCTTTTTATTGAGAAGTTCAAGACAGTCATCACAAGAAGAAACTGTTGAGGGGTACATGCCTAACCAGAGAGTTTACTGGGTTAATGTAGCAAGATCTGAGGGGGTGGCTACTGTAAGAAGAAGGAGTTGCCCCTGTGTTGGATTTAGCCAGTTTCAGCTGGCTCCAAGGCAGACTGCTGTCCAAAGTGGAGCCCATCGGTGACATTGGTAGCATCTCTGTGAGAGAGACTAAAAGCTGCTGCACAGCAACTGTGACAGACAACTGAGAATAAGAGATAAACAGCCCTGCAGACACCAGGTCAGTGCAGAAGGAGGAGAATTGGTGCTCCAAGCACCAGAGCAGAGATTCCCCTGCAGCCAGTGATGCAGACCACAATGAGGCAGGCTGTGCTCCTGGAGGGAGGTAGAAGAGTTGGGAGTGAAGTTGAGCCTGGGGAAAAGGGAAGGGTGGGGTGTTGGGTCTGGGATTTGCCCTTGACTGTAACTGGTGAGTGATTCCCCTTACCTCAACCCATGCACTTTTCATAGTATTTCTTTCCCAGATCCTGTTAGGAGAGGGAGTGATAGAGCAGCTTGTTGGGCCCCTGGCAGCCAGACAAAGTCAATTGGCATGGCAGACTCCCACACACGTGTAAATGAAAACATGCATGTGGACAGAAAAAGATAAACAAGAATTTTTATGTATTACAAAACTATCAATATTTTCATTATACTCACCTTTCTCTTTCATTCCACCAAGGCAGAGATATTAAGTCTCTTATCAGGTTTTCAGCTCCACTATAGTTGCCAGCTAGCACGCTAAAGTTCAGAGGAAGCAAAATGGAGATGAGAACATCCCGAAGGAAGAAATCGGCTAATTATAACAGTAATAATATATGCTCTTTTTAGTGTGGCTGTCATGTATTTTCCTTTGTGTCGCACATTGATATGTTACTTGGAAAGCTATTTGATCACCAGCAGTTTATAGAAGATCTTAACAATGATAGTTATGCTTGTCAGGCCAAAGAGAATATTCAAACAAAAATCTTAATGTCATCACCAAAGCTGATGCAGCGTAAAATCAGATTCTCTTTCTAAAGAGGTTCTCAATTTCTCTGCTCCATGCCATGCCCCAAAAGGAAAGCAGCTGCACTACCATCCCACAGAGGTTGGACACAGCCACCCAGAAGCAAACTAACAGCAGCTGCTCTGAATGTCACTGGGCAGACAGCAGGATCCCTGTGGGGAGACCACAAAGCCCACCAGAGAGGGGATTGGTGCAGTGCATCTGTTGCTCTTATGGAAATAAATACTCTGCTGACTCCCCAGGACCTTCCATTCCCACAGGTGATCCTGTCCTCAGATGCCAGAATGCCTTACAATACAGAGATGAGAATGAGTCTGAGCATGCAAGTGTCTTTGGGAAAGAAACCTATCCAAAGTTTATGCACAAACAAAAAGCTGAATAAACCAGTCCTCATGTGTCCAGCTTCAGGGCACAGATAAGATATATCTAAGTGTAGTGTTCCAGATGTTAAGTGGAAGATCGTTAGATCCAAGAGGTCACTACGTGGTGCAACAGCATACACTAATTGCAAAAGTCCCTGCCCCTTACAGTCAACCCTCCACTCATAGTGCACAGAAAGCTAGCCTCCTCCTGTGCAGCACCCGCTCTATTTCCCATTACTGTGGAAACAGAAGATTATTCAGCACATCATAGTTATTCCTGTCTGACCACTTCCCTGAGAATTATGAGTTTCTTCTATAGGATTTCTTAGGAAGGAGCTTCCACAAATACATGACATTCTGGAAATCATAGCTCAGATGTGAAAGACACAGTTTTTGTTAATTTACAAAACTAAAATGAATTGGGATTCTCCGAAAGTTCATTGAAGATAGTTAGTTGACAAAGGATGTTGTTTATAATGACTTCTTACTAAATAGTCTTGTTTGTTCCTCAATGGATATGAATTACTGGAAGTTAATCTCCTACTGATTAAAGAGGGTCATGACACAGTGACAGCATGCAGGAGCACAGCTTTAGCTGCAAAAAATATTTGTATTTTTGATAATATCACTATTTAAGAAAAAAACTTGAGGTTTTCTGTACTGGGTTTTTAGAATAACATTTTTTATTATAATTATCTCATTGTATTTACTGTCAGATCTGGCTGCAACTTGGAGTTTGCATTCCCTGAAAGTTTAAAATATTTGGGGAAAAAATCAAGTCTTGTCACAAAAACTAGAATTCTGAACTTCTCCTATGAATGTCACTCCACTTGTTTTTTCTAGAATAATAAAAAATATAATACTTTTATTAGTTTTTCTATAGCTGAATCCGACAGATGCCCCAAGGAGTCTCCTGCTAGAGTTCAGAATTCCTTACAGTGCCTAATCCTCAGACTTCAGAGCAGGGAAGGCTATGAGCATGAAAGCCTTTTCTGGCCCTGGCTACCAGCAGCTAGTTACATGGAAACTAGGACAGAGGATGTCAGTAATTGGGGTGTTTATTGTAGAATTATATGTATCCAGTTTGGCCACCTGCAAGTGCGATTTGGAGAATAGACACAGTTGCTTAAGTGTAAGCTGCAGAGATACCAAATGGCACGCAAAGTTCCTACCAGCAGTTATTACATGATGCTTCGGGCATGTTTCTTTCACCATGGAAATATAAACTCAACACAACCTTTTTCCTCTCTTCTCATTAACCAAGACTCTTCTGTGGAAAACCTTGCAGCCCTCCATATGATTTCCAGGAACCAAGCTTCTTTTCCCATCAGTCTGAAATGAGCTATTTGGTCTCATACCCCTGCATAACACAGTATTGGTGTATCGATTGCTCACCCTTCTATTGTCCCTCAGGTCAAAGTCCTCATTTTTGTAGAATTCTACATGGAAAACAAACCTCTATATGACAGTCGCCTATTGCAAACTCAGGCAGGTCTTCACCAGGGCCACTTCACATCTGAGAGGGTTTTGTGTCCAAATATTTGGCATGACAGGCACCATTAAGAAGCAGCAGCTGCAGGGAAGACACAGAGAAGTCCTACCTCATCTGCTTTCCCTGCAGGATGTGGCCAGTATAAGAGCAACCCACAATTACACAGGAATGATGGAGTCACTTCAAATTAGGCAAACATTCTTTAAAGGCATTTCTTCTTTGGAATTCGGATGACTTTTGGCAGGCAGCTCTCTGACGTAGTGGAGCACAAGTTTCCCCAGTGCCCCCATGAAAAGGTTAACCCACAGCTAATCAATGCCTACACTAGAAATGTAAGTCCTCAGCATGGATTCAGCCAGAAGTTGAGGTCAGTTCATATGTGGGTTTTTTACCCAAAAGCATTTGATTAGGAATGTCTCTGTTCTACCTCATTTCCATGGCCAACAGCAGAGCTGGCACATTCTGCTAGCAGCTCCTGAGGACCTGAATGCTTTCAAGAGCTTCAGATTTCAAGTACTCCTGCCTGATTGCTCTCAGAGTCCATGATCATAGGCCAAACTGTTCCTTGACCTGTGCTCTGCAGATAACAGCCTGCAGAAGCAAGAGTGTGCTATGTATTGTATATCATGAGCAAGTACATCTCCCTGCCCCCTAACCACATCACAGCCTTGCACACTGGAGCCCAACAGTTGGACTGCCTGTGGCTCCCAGATACACCAGTCCAGGACTGAGGCTCTAGGAAAGGACCCAAATGTTGAAAGTTTCATAGATCACATGAAACTAATTGAAAAGCAAAGGCCACTCTGTCAGACAGGTCTGCAACAGAATGGTTGCTATTGGACAGTGGCTACCTTTTTGTGGGTAATCCCATGAGATCAGCTGTCCTCTAGCTTTCATTAGTTATTGTTAGCCATTGATCTACACAAAGCACTGTTATTGGAGAAATAATCTTACAAACACATAGAAAGCAATCAGCTTTCTCTACCTAGGAAAAATATCTCAGGGTCATTTTTTATTTTCTCCTAAACCAGCCTAATGTTCAGCAGCTGCCAAGGGGGCAAATAGATTGTGAGAAGTTATTAGCAAAAGAACAGAGAACAAAACAGGAAATGTTATTCTACTGATGCGACGTTCTTATCTTGAGCTCTGGGTACAATTCTGCTCACCAGTGACAAAAAGGATACATTAGCATGAAAAACGTTACTGAAAAGAGCAGAAAGGATATCAGAGGTACAGAGAGCTTTTGCTACAAGGATAAACCAAATTGACTGGCACTCTGCAGCTGAGGAAAGGGAGGACTTTAAGCACTAGGAAAAATTACACAGGGAACAATTTTTCAGTACCTGTTATGATAAAAGAAACAAGGAAATTAAATTATCAGGCACATTGTTAAAGCAAGGAACAGTAATTTTTTGCATAAATAAAACCATAAACTAATTGCCACATGAAGGGATCAAAAGTGAATGCAGAGTTGGGTTCAAAAGGCATGGCACAAATTTAAGGAGAGATACGTTGATCACCATTTTTGAAGCTGTTGGAAAAGCTGCTTTAAAATAACAATGTCCATCCCACATGATTGATACAGGCAGGGTTCATCATCCTCTGTTTTGCCTGGTTTTGATGGCTCTTGCTTTTGGTTAGCAACAGGATAAAAACCTGGGGATGTGGCAGGGGTGAGGTTGTGCAAGCTGGTATGACAGTTCTTTTCTTTTTTACATTAATAGGGAAACACAGAAAGCACAAAAGTGGAGGAAACTCTTATTTGAGTTTAAATTTTGTCAGTCATTTCATTTCATCTCACAAATATTATGATTAATAATTCCGCTAAATGTCGAAAGAGCAACTTTCTTTCCCTGAAAAAAGGAATTCCTGCAGAGCCTGGAGATCTGTTCACATAAGGCATCTAGTTGTGATTTTTGAAAAGGTTCATTCCTTTTTTTCCTTTTGTTCTTCTTTGAAGCAGAAAAATCTGCTGGGGGAAAAAATATTCTTTGTGGCTCAGAAATAGAGAGAAAAACAGGTATATGGAAAAATGCTTCTCCAGAAGCAATGAAACTGATGGATTTTGAGAATAAATGTAAGGTGTCAAATTTCATATTTCTAGGCAGAGAAACCCATTGTTTTATGCCAAGAGATGGTTTCCTGTTCTCTAAATCCCAGTTACAGTGATGCGTCAAAGCCCTTTTGGGAAACAGACTTCCTGGTACTGTCTCTTCTATGGTGTTTCTTACTAGCCACTGAAATACCATAGCACTGAGCTCTGTTGAAACCTTACCTAGTTCAGTCACCTGAGCATCCTGCTCAGCAGCACATGAACTACAGTTCTGGAGCCATACTACAGCAGTCATGCATTTCCAGCAAAATACTGCCTGAATTGGGATTTAGAAAATAGAATTGACCCACACCTCAGGCAAAAATACCATACACATAAAGTCCAGCACAGCCTGAATTCATCGAGATCTCTTCTGTGCTTAAGCAGGCACTCTACACACTCAGAACACCATCCGCTGGAAAGGACAAGGAATTATTTCCAATATAAAATCATTTACAGCTTGGACTAAGGACAATCTGCAAAGCCCAGAGAAGACTATTGTTCAGAGCACTCATCCAGCAACCAGAAAACACAACTTATAAGATCTCTAGAGGATTCTACAGCATGGGAAGAGCCCTCCACCCTGCCTACTGAAACTGAGATGCTAAGTCTTGGGGTTTATAAATCATGGGGAAGCCAGAGAACACCCAAGAGTGAATTTGACTCTAGCCAAATGTCCATGGGATGGACGTTAAAAAGAAATTTGTACTCTGAGGCTCTTAACTCCTCTGAAGTGGAGGGCTCCCTGACATTTGCTTTCAACAAATGAAACTGTACTAGCAGGTGTAGATTAGCTAGGTGTAGATTTAGCTAGTTTTTTTTCAGTGATGTCCAGTGACAGGACAAGGGGCAAGGGGTGTAAACTGGAGCATAGGAGGTTCCATGTTAACATCAGGAAAAACTTCTTTACTTTGAGAGTGACAGAGCACTGGAACAGGTTGCCCAGGGGGGTTGTGGAGTCTCCCACATTGGAGATATTCAAGGCCCGCCTGGACAAGTTCCTGTGTGATGTACTCTAGGTTACCTTGCTCTTGCAGGGGGGTTGGACTAGATGATCTCTTGAGGTCCCTTCCAACCCTTGGGATTCTGTGATTGCCCCAAGTACCTCAGAAGCAGCAGAAAGTGTTCTAGGCAGAGCTGAAGGAACACATTCTCCTATAGGACAAGAGAGATCAGCAGTTTCCTGCTAACTGCTTTAACCACAAGGTCAGTGGGAGAATGAAGAGCTGAGCGGGGGCACACTATACATTCAGATTTTTTGTATCATCAGAGCCATTTCTGCTCCATTAGCATCTATTCTCAGAAGACAGCCAGCTTACACTGTGACTGGGGGTGTAAGTAAGCATTTCTTATCAGTTATCTCTACAATAAGGGTCAAGAGTAGCAAATCTGGGGAGTAGAGCTCCCTCTGAAGGTCTTGGAGATCCCAACTTTCTGCCACTAACCGGATTAGACCACCCCTTTCCCTCTGGGGGTGTGTGTGTCTGAATTCCAGCAAAGACAGTGCCCATAGGAACCGACATTTCTAGCTCTGCAAGGTACCACAGAAGAAATACAACATCCATACAACTTAATCTATCTTCATTTTCTGACACAGAGCGCAGCTTTCTGAATGACAGCGCATGTGTGAAGCACTGTTTCCACAGACTTTCCCCCTGCTGCTATCACAAAGCTTATTGATACTGTAAAGTCAGCAGAAAGTTTCTGTCAGGTTGGTTTTCTGCCCCAGCAAAACCTCAGCTGTAAGATCTGACCTTTGGGTAACCACAATTAAATTTTAAGAGCTCAGCAGAAATGACAGTCTATCATACAAAATAAACCCATAAAATCAGTTTAATCTCTCTCCACATCACTAGCAAAAGCACTCTTTTTCTATGAATTCATATGCTAAGGGTTGGAAAGACACAGTTTAAAAGTAGTCATAAATAGAAGAGCAATTCTGTGTGATAAGAAATATATCTGTAGAACAACTGCTACATTATGTACTTCTTGAAAAATAGCTGGGCGATGCTAAAGTCCTTGAGTTCTTATTAAAAATACTCAGTTCAACTTGTGAGGTCTTTCTCGAGTAGTTTATTATGAAGTTTCAGAAAATACTGAATTACACAACAAGAATGATTTTGGTGAGAAAATCTGAATCAAAAAAAAAAGAAAAATTAGTTTTCTGTAAACACTTCTAATCTAGATGGAAACTACATGCGTTTAGCAAAAGAAATAGAAAATTAACAAGAGTGTAACATGTTTTCTAGCATATCCATCACAACAGAAGATGAGCATAATAGCACATGCCTCAACTCTGTTTTCAAGAAACAGCATGAGGAAAGCAGAGGAACATCTCTAGTTTTCAGAAGCAGCAGCTTTCAAATGAACAACTAAGTATTGTAGCAAATGTTACTATAACCTCTTCCAGCCAACATGAAAAGGCATGAGATTATGTGCAAAAAAAACACCCTGAGACTGTACATTTCAGGGGGCATACCCTTCAGTTATGTTTCCTTTCAGTCAGTCAGCTTCCCACCTGTAGCCATTTGTTCCATCAACTTCACCTTTAACTCTTTCCTGGAAATTCCATTTGCCAGTAAATATTTCCAACGTTCCAGCTAAAGTGAAAATGAGTAATTCTGATTATCTATACCTTTTTTTTTTCTTTTCCTTGTCGTTGCCTTTTTGAGCTGGAGAATAGAAAACCTAGAATGGAACCTATTTAAATAACATCTGTGCGTCATTGTTAGGGGACATCTCCACCTACCATCGTAGCTAAAAAGGTGGAATTTAAGGAGGTTGTAAGTAGTATTTGCCATATCTATTCTGAGGCTCACATTGACTCTAGAAGTTCAATTCCAAATATACTGTTACAACAGTGATTAAGTGTAGTCTGTGCATCTCTCTGCACCATGCCAACAGAAAAGTCTGTGAGGTTCCAGGTACAGGGATCTTTTTCTGCTGAAGTCAGCTGAATTTACTGTGTACCAGTGTGCTCAATTGTATTTGATTAGTACTACCACCTATTTCTTCTGGTTTGGTCATTTGAGTTAAACAACGTTTGGAAAGAAGGAGCTAACTTCTTATGACTGAAATTCTGGGCAAATTAATGAGAAGAAAGAAGAATCCATCAGTTTCAGTCAAAATGCAATATCCAATAGGAAGCAGTAAAATTATCAACTGCATTAAGACGAAATAAATTTTTATGTTCTAAAGACTAAGACAATATGATAGTGATGACTAAAGTAGAACCTGCTCTAGCAAAATGTTTGCAGGTGGTTTTTACACACAGGGTCCCTTCATGTGGTGCATTAAAGCTTGAAAAGGCAAAAAAAAAAAAAATTACTGTGACAAACAATGGAAATACTAGATCTTGAACCAACAAACAGCTAGTTGAGATTACTGAAATCATGGCAAAATGACAAATTCTCAGCAGGATAAAATGCAACTGTGGAGCCTATTGAGGCAACAGAATGGACAATGACAACAAACTTTGTTGACATGAAGGAAAAGGCAATGACAAACAAAAGAAGCAGGCCATGATGTACTTTGAAGAGTCTACAATTCAGACAGAATGATTCCTTCCAAGATTTGCCATTTATGGAATTAAACCATCAGTAAAAGACATGAAAAAAGATGTGAAAGAATGCTTGTCATCAGCAGTGGCTACAAACTGATGGAATAGCTCCATCCTTGTATTGCTGTTATTGTTAATATAATAGAAACATGACAACAGCTCTGCTGGTTCAGACCATCAAGATCAGTATTTCTGTTGTAAGGACTAATAAGAAAAATAAAGAGTAAAATCATATCCAACATAAAACATAACTCCATAGCAGTAATATCTGAGCCTCCAATTGCTCTCAGCACCAGTCATTTCTTGAGCCTGTTATGTTTTGTCTTTTTATTCACCTCCTATTAAATCCCTCTTCCAAGTCTGGTATCCCCAGGAACCCATGTGGACTTCCTGTTTCTGCAGTGTCTTCAGACAAGGAGAAACACAGGGCTGCTATTTCTTTCCTGAAGATCCATCATCTCTTTAATCTGCTGCATAGCCAGGACTGAGATTGTGCTGAAGCTTGGGAAAGGAATGGGTTGAAACATGAGAAAAAATGTGTTAGTTGCTGAAAATACCTGTCATCAGAAGTTGGTGTGTCAGATCGTGCTGCTTACTATGGGATATAACCTTTTTCACTCAACTCCTTCACCAAAGCAACTGAAACTCACAGGGCAAAAAAAAATCCTTAAAACCCAAATGTGTGGCCAGAGAAGAGAGACATTATCTCAATGTGTTCCTGACATGTGTACTGTAATCTACAGAGGGGGCTCCAAGGGACCATACTTGAGTGCTGGAGACAGTATAGCCACAAGAACACAGACCATCAAACAGCTTGGATAACCCTACCAAGGCTGTGCTATAGGAGCAGTGCTTCTCAAACCATCCTAATCATCCACCCTTGTTTTCCCTGCTTCTCCTGTGTTCCTGGATGGCAGACAGTCCAGAAAACAGATTGGCCTAAGAAAGAACCAGGAAAAGCACATTTTTTCAGCTGGTTTGTTTCTTGGGCAGGATTCGCAGACTGTGCTGGCAAGGTAGAAAAGGCAGCCACAGAGAGGGTGAGGGCAGGGCACAGTGAGCAAGATGGTCCAAACTAGTGAGGACAGGGAATAAGCACCTGTGAGACCATGTCAGAACAATAGCAAACAAGTGTCACAACTCTCATGATATCCAGCAGCAATGTATGGCTGCACCAGCATGGTCCTGGTAGACATTTCTCTGGTAACTTCATGCTGCATGTGTGTTTGCTAACCAAGAACCAACGAAGAACACTGTTTCCTTTAAGAGAAAGATTAACTGTTTTAATACCTCCTAGGGTCCAGAGTTGCCTTAATAAAGAAAGGCAGCTTTATCGTTTATCTGGAGAATGGATGTGGTTAATTGTGTTATGCAATAACAACAGAGCAACTCAGCATTATTATATCTGAACACAAATAAGCTCCTTTTGTGTAGTTTTCAAGGCTTACAGAACAGTGTTTAGGTTCTTCAGTGTCCCCCAGGATACTTCATCCCAGTGACTTTCCTTGCCACCAATAGCAAGGAAAATAAAAATCCTCTTTTTCACTCTCAAGAGAGAAAGTCAACAGCCTGCCTGAGTCTAAATACTTGCATAGTAAGCATTATAAAAGCATCTTATTGTAAATACACTGCATCTGACACCTATTGCTACAGGCAGTGGAAAAATGCCATAAAATACTAGAATGACACAGGCCAAACAAGCTACACAAAACCCAGCAGGTTTCACATGGGGGGTTGTTTGTTGCTACAGAGAGGAAAAGGAAGAAAAATACTGAAGAAACTTCAGGGTTCAGACACCAGAATGTTATCCTGATCCCAGGGTTCCAGCTGAACTCAGATTTCACATCTTCAGTGCTGGAGATAAAATCCATGTAGTCTGAGTTAGCCATTGCCCAGCAGCTGCAGATGTGACCAGCTCCATGCTGGCATTTGTAGGCAAACAGGCAGATGGGAGACCAAAGCACACCGAGAGCAGAGTACCCCAAGATTTCCAGGAAAGTTTCTACGACAATGTCACTTCTGCTCAACCACCACTGTGTTTTGAAAGTTACAACACTAAAATAGCCCAGCTACTGGGGACAAAACCCATTATCACAAGGTATCTGTACAACCAGTGCTGCAGCTTGGTAAGAGAAGAGAAACGTGATGTAGGAGCATCTCTGGCTCTGTGCTGGAGGGCAATGAGGTGAGAAGGTAGCAGCAGCCTACCTGGCTGCCTTGGCAACTGGAGAGCCAGCCCGGTGGCTTTGGGCAGCGGTTGAGATATCAACTGGATTTTCAGCAGCTCCTTTCACAGCTATAGAAGACAGAATGCCTGGCTCAATCAGCTGCTGGCCTCATTCTGCAGAGGATTTATCATGCTCTTCTCCATTGTTTGTTGTTGTTCTTTTCTATTTTCCCAGCAGCCCTCATAAGTAAACTGGGTCCTTTGGCTGTAAGACAGCTCTTGGCCCAAGAAATTGGTCAGCTGGAGCTGCTGCAGCCTGCGCATCTCCTTCCAGACCTTACAAGCCCCCAGTCGGAGGAACATGTAGACTCACAGCCTCTGTAACCAAACTTGATCACAACTCAAAAGCCTCATTTCCCTCCCCAGTTCATCTAGGATCATTTGCAGGTAGGTACGTCCCACACTCTGTTATGAAATACCAGTGCAGGTTTTCAGTGTAAGTCAAAAATAACAGTTCCCTTCAAAATTGCTCTGTACTTGCTGCCTGAAAACACTTCACTGACAACAAACCAGGAGCTTTTAGGGGAAGGAAAAACCTGCTCTGTATCTAAGGCAAAGGAATTTCCACAGCACTGGGCCTTGTGAAGGAAACATTGTGATCCAGGAGGTGGCTTCACTCAGGAAATCAAAAGAAGATCATCAAGTTGGTTGGAGTTATCTTCAAAGAGAAAAGCCAGAGCAGTAAAATATGCCCATAGTAAGTACATTTGTGGTTAGAAGTACATTTCAAGATAAAATGTCACTTTACTGCTTCACATGTCCCACAAGTAGCTCAAACACTACGTATGATCTTAATCAGGAAGCATGTAGGGTGCTGCTGGCTTTATTCCTCCTCACCTCTTCCCTTCTCCCCCAGGAGATCCATGAAGACTTTAATAAATCCTGTCAGGTCTAGGTCAAATTCGCTAAACACTTTGTAAAGGATTACAAGGATTTTTTGGATTTTTTTTTTTCCAGTGAGCCTCGTACTCAGTTGGGATGGTTTGTAGCTGCTAAAGAAGTCATAGGGTTATTTTTAAAAATGGCATATTTTCTGCTGCAAAACATGCACTTGGATATAACGTCTATCACGATATGGCCAAGAATTCTATTTCCTGTGAAAGACCATCCATACTATCCACAAGGACCCTACTCCATAAATAGAAATAGCCCTGTATTATGCACATCCTTGGGAGAAATGTATATAGTGACCCCCTTCGAAGCACTCTAGCCCAATTCCAGCTAGGACTTGTTGTAACTCACAAGTGCAGGCACATAAATATGGTGATGTTTTTTTGTGGGAAGCAGCTGTATGCCACTGAGTATAAGGTGAGCAAGGCAGCCACTTTTGGTGGGTTTCAAGGAAGAGAGAGGTGTACTGAAGAAGAAGAGAAACAAGTCCATGGCCTGACTGTGCTACACCTCTCAGCCTCTCCAAGGATACCAATGACTGCTCACAACCTCCTCACAGCTGGAGCAGAATATTTCAGCTTTGGCAGCACTGTTCATTTAGAATCATAGAATCACAGAATGGTTGGAAGGGACCTTAAGATCATCCAGTTCCAACCTCCCTGTCATGGGCACACTAGACCAGGTTGCTCAAGGCCCCATCCAACCTGGCTTGGACACTGCCTACACACAAAGGCATGCCTAGGGCAGCTCTTGGACCTTTCAGTTGTCAGATGACATTCATGTATCCTACTGCATATACTACCATAATGCTTTAAGTATTACCATCTGAGTGCACACTACAAAATCCAGCTACTACTGGGAGCTCCTTGATTTGACGATAGCAATACAAATCACTCTGCCCCAGCAATCCTGTGCTTTCTGCACAGTCTGGAACTCAGAATAATTTTGCCTGAGCCATGGAAGGATTTTTTATTTGACTGTATTTACTATTAATGTTAATATTACTATTAATATTGTTATTAATACTATTAAGACGGGCATTAATCCAAGTACAAAATTTGGCTCCACTGAGATTTTTGTAAAGGCTTTAGGTAACCTTTGAAACACCCAATCACTTTCATTTTGCAAACTCTCTTTAACTTACAAACCACATGGCTTTAGATTAATTAAAAAGAAAAACTTACTATACACACACACACACACACACACACACACACACATGAGTAGGAAAAATAGGGTTTGCAAGGTCCCTTGGGACTGGGCACACCACCCAAAGCAAGGATCGGACACTGATCATTTCATTTAGCAGAGACACTGCTTGTGAAATTGGACTCACAAATTGTCAGAGCCAGGGAAAATGGCCAGTGCTTCCTGCTCCCAGGAACACTGTGATATTCAGTCTGAGATGTTTTTCATGACACACCTGACTGCTCCTCTCTGAGGGCAGCTCTTCTTCAAGGACCCCAAGGCTACTGAATCTTGCCTGCTGTCCATCTGCAGACTGAGCTCCTACAAACACTTCAGCATCCCAGACTCTGAGATTTTCTCACCATGTGACCATTGGATCCATTTGTCACCAGCTCAGTGGGATAGATAGTTAAATTAGGCACAAATTCTCCATACTTCACCACACTAAGTGAGCTGTGGGACTCTCAGTTGGCTCAGGAGTACATGGTCCTCCAGCTGTCACACATGGCTGATCTCCTGGAATGCAGATCCCAGATGAAGTGGTATCCGTTCATAGTCTTTTCCTTGGAATAAGCAATGGGAAGTGCTGTTCAACATAAAGCAGCCAGATCTAACTGACATATGCTGGAGACTGATAGAAACACAACTCTATGGAGGACCACTCCTTCCCCTGTCCCAATTAATTCTGAGGCAGTGAATCAACAGATGTACAGTCTCAAAGGCCAAAATTCTCGTTTTCCATTACATTCCCTGTTAGTTCCCCAAAGGATGGGGAAAGCACTAAAAGTAATAATTACAGTATAATTCAGAACAGCAGTCATCACAATATCTACTTTTTTGAGCTCGCTCTTGGTGGCTGGGGATTTTTTTGTGTTGTGGCTTGGCATTATTAGCAACAGAACTTCGTTAGGATCTTATGTAAACAGAGTGGCCTTTCATAATAGGGGAGAGCTCCAGCATCAGGCATCACTAGGTGGAGGCCTTGCACAGCTCAGCTCCAGTACAGCTCATTGCTCCGGGGTTTGGGAATCCCCACAGCCCCTTCCTATGGCAAATGTTATTCCCTCACCAACCCTCACTCTGGGACCCCTGATCTCTTCCCATCCGCAGCTGTCTGCTCTCTTGTACATGATCTTTTCCTCAATGGTAAGCCAGTTCATCTCCTAATTTAGGTACCCAGCTAACTTTATGGTCCAACCCTCCAAAAATGTTAAACACACCAAAGTTAGTAACTTTTTAAAAGTGACAGCAGACAGTCCTGGCACATCCTTGGCTCATTTACACACATACATGAACCAAGCCATTCAGATCTAGGCTACAGAGACATATTTTTATGAAAAACTTGGCTTTTCTTGCAGAAGTCAGCGTGTGGTCTATTCTCTTCAGTCTCAGAGGAGAATCAAGTCCCATTTACTCTAAAAATACAGGAACTGGAGCCAGCTACCAAAGCAGAACCAGATGTCACGACCCAGAAGAGAGCGTACACAGATGGTAGAGGGACATATGGCACACAAGTTCTTTCCCACTGTGAGTGTCTCTGTCAAGACAGCTCTTTAGCTTTTTCACTGTTTGTTCCTGGATGCAATATGTAGAGAAGTTAACTGCCAATTATTTTTTTTCCTGTTTTAAAGGGACAGATGAATCTGAATTTTTTTGTAACTCCCAAATACCCTGCTTATTCACTGCTTCAGAAGTGGGAGAATTTATAGCCTCCTGTACTTGCCTGTAACTTTTTACTCCTACAAAGATGCATTTGTCCTACCACTTCCCCTGAGCTCTGTTTGAGATGATGCAGCTGTGCCACACCTTACTCAGAAGGTACAGACCTAGTTGATACAGTCTGAGTGTGCTTCCCTAGGAGCGAGAGGTAAGAGTAGATAGCTCATATTTCTTTCCAAATTCATCTTCTTGGCCAAGTCACTTACTTCCATGGCATAGAAGAAATAGTTAACTATGTATATTTGAAAAATAGAAATCAAACAAACAACATGGGGTTAGAAACAATGTGCTCAAAGAAATCAAAAATACCTTCTTAAGGACTTGAATGTGACCTTTCCTATCTTTCAGGGAACCTGTATCTATTCACAGTACGTAAAGTGAGCAAAAAAAGTGTAAAAGATCAAAACCAACATTAGAGATCAAAGGAGACATGAGGCAGCAGTGGGGTGTGTTTCCATGGACAATGCAGGAAAAGGAAGCACTCCCCTGATACGTATTGCTGGCGAGATAAGTGAGGGACACAGATTTCGGTAATTGCCAACAGAAATAAAGTCCATCAAGGTAACTACTTAGTGAAGTAAAAAGAACCAAACTAATGAGACAATGCTAAAATTCCCCTTCTACTACACCCACTGTCGTGCTCAAATTAAGGTCAAGATCAAATGAGTGGCTGGGGGCAAAAATGAACCAGAAAGAGTATTTACATATCTAAATCACCCAATCTGTAGGAACAATTAAAACCCAACTTTTCTGGAGCAGAAAATTCACCTTAATGACTTGGTGAACTTTCTGCCTTTCCTCAGGGTGAAATACCAATCTCTGATAGTCACCATCACTGCCAAGCTGAGCTCTAGCTCCAGCTGTAATGCCACAGCTACCAAGGTGGTCTCTCAGAGACAGTCTACACATGAGTTGTACTTTTTAACTATGCCCACTGATGGCCAGCGGACATCAGACTCCTTTTTCCAAATCAATTTCAACATGGAAAGCACTCCTAGAGTGTGCTGAGGACACAAGTGGTTTGTACTACTTTCTAGCTCATTTTTAGTGACTTAAGTTCAGTTTGTCTCAACAAATGCATCAGGTCCTGGCTAATATTATCCCATCTTAAAAGAGAACAAGCACACACATCAAGTGGTGTACTTCACCTTTAGTCCAGGAATAATGATCTTAGGGACGAGTGGAAGAAACTGTTACTGTTCCTGTACTTGTGTGGTGTAGCATCCATTGAGTAAACCAGAGATCTGGGGAGTTCTCTGGAATAAAGCTGATAGCCACTGATTTTACTTAGTTGTATTCTGAAGCTGTACAATGTAATACATCCTTAAGTATTTCTAGGGAAAAAACATCTCTCCTTAGCCCAGATTTTATAAGCATTAACTGTACTCTGCCTGCTTCACCTTCAAGCTAACTGCAGATATGGAACGAGGTACAGTAGATAAACTACCATAGGCTCCCCCTCTAGTAGAAGCTCAAGGCACCAAAGGGAAATGTAAAATCATCTTTGTGTTCTTCTACCCTCTATGATGCAATACAGAGGTAAATTAAAAGGACTGAAAGAAAAAAAAGTCAGTCAGGGCTGTCCAGCCTGGGGCCATTGTGTAGATTCCACCAGGTTGTAACAATTTGTTTTGGTTTTGGACTCGAAGCACATGCTCTTTCCCGTCACATAACCATCTGTCCATGAACTAATAGAGTCACCAGATGTGTGCATCAGAACATGAAACAGGCCTAGCTGCCACAAGGGTAAGAAAGCAAGATATGGGAGGAAAATTATGAAAGCAGTAAAGTCTCCCAGAAAAAAACTGGCCTCATAATATGGATGGAAAGCCACAGTGGAATAAGAAAACTTGAAACAAGTTAATCACAAGGCAAGAAAGGGAAGGGGTAATCTGGAGTGACAAATAAATTGACAAGAACAAGCCAATAGAAGTAATACCATACAGTTATGGTTGAAAAGTAAAGGATGGTGCAAAGAATGTTTTCAATGTATCCTCCACATACCATTCAGACTCTTTTCTCTGTCAGCATAATAGACAATAAATTGAGATGTATCTACTACATCGTGGTGAACAAATACTTTTCCATGGATTATACTGCATTTGCCTTTTCCTTCTGAAGCTATCAAGTTTTCAGAAGCAGACCTCTTGCCACCTAATTGTTTGTGGAGGTGTTTTGAATAAAGAGCAATCATCACATCTGTCTCTATGGGATTTTTTATTTTACCACAAAAAAGTATTATGTTTTCTTATGTAAATTGCAAAAAAAAGTTTCCAAGGAGAGAAAACACAGACAAAATTCAACTTTAAAATAAAGTCCCATGATAAAAGGATAAGCCACTTCATGCCATGCTACATTCTAGTTAGCTAACAGTCAACCACAATAACCGAAGCCTTTCTCCCACACTCATTTTCACACACGAATACCAAAATGCCCACATAGTCATACTAAACCATAGATTCAGAGAATGGTTTGGGCTGGAAAGAACTAAAAAAAAACAAAAAACAAGAAGGTAAGCAGAATTCACATTTGCATTCAGATGATACTCTTGGAGAGACATCAATTTGATGGATGGACCACTCGGTGGATAAAGAACTGGCTGGATGGCCACACACAAAGAGTTGTGGTCAATGGCTCAATGTCCAGCTGGAGACCAGTAATGACTGGTGTTCCTCAGGAATAAGTGTTAGGACCTGTCTTGTTCAATATCTTTGTCAGTGACAAGGACAGTGGGATTGAGTGAGCCCTCAGCAAGTTTGCCAATGACACCAAGCTGTGTGGTTCGGTTGATACACTGGAGGGAAGGAATGCCATCCAGAGGGACCTTGACACGCTTGTGAGGTGGGCTGATGTCAACCTCATGAAGTTTAACCATGCCAAGTGCAAGGTCCTACACCTGGGTTGAAGTAATCGCAGGCACAGCTACAGGCTGGGCAGAGAAGAGAGTCAGAGCAGCCCTGTGGAGAAGGACCTGGGGGTGCTGGTCGATGAGAAAATGAACATGAGCGGGCTTCAGTGTGCACTCACAGCCCAGAAAGCCAACCATATCCTGGGCTACATCAAAAGGAGTGTGACCAGCAGGTGAAAGGAGGTGATCCTGCCCCTCTGCTCTCGTGAGACCTCACCTGGAGTGCAGTTCTGGTGTCCTCAACATAAAAAGGACATGGATCTGTTGGAACAAGTCCAGAGGAGGGCCATGAGAATGATCAGGAGACTGGAGCACCTCCCATGTGAAGATAGGCTGAGAAAGTTGGGGCTGTTCAGCCTGGAGAAGAGAAGGCTGCATGGAGACCTCATAGCAGCCTTCCAGTATCTGAAGGGGGCCTATAGGGATGCTGGGGAGGGACTCTTCATTAGGGACTGTAGTGATAGGACAAGGGGTAATGGGCTCAAACTTAAAGGGGAAATTTAGATTGGATATAAGGAAGAAGTTCTTTACTGTAAGGGTGGTGAGGCACTGGAATGGGTTGCCCAGGGAAACTGTGAATGCTCCATCCCTGGCAGTGCTCACGGCCAGGTTGGACAGAGCCTTGGGTGAGATGGCTTAGCGTGAGGTGTCCCTGCCCATGGCAGGAGGGTTGGAACTAAATGATCTTAAGGTCCTTTCCGGCCCCAACTATTCTATGTTTCTGTAATTCTTCAGTGCTGGAGCCCTGCAAGAAGTATTTTCAGTTTCCTGACCACTTCAAGAGACTAAGTTTAGAAACACCGCATAAACCAGGTATCACAGAATTATTCAACAAATGTCTAAAAAGCCATGGATACCATTCCATTTGCTAAACACATTTGGTACCAACTGTTCAGCTGACATGCATTTAGTGTTGAGAAGAGTTTTAAATATATCTGCTATGTCATGTAATTCCCAAGTGCCTTCTAGAAGCAAAGATAAGGCCTATTGCTCAGGAGAGGACCTCAAATCTTGCACAGTGAAGGTTCTTGCAGTTATGGGGAATTCAGACAATCACAGAGAGGCAACAAGGAGCAAAATAACTAGGAATATGCTGACAGAAACAGATTGTCAACTGCAGTTTCAATTTTAAATAACTTCATTAATGGCTCTTACATTTATGTAGGCCACAACTATTTAATAGTCTACCACTATCAGCAACCTTTGCTTCTCATACCTGCCTGAGAGTAACACCACAAATTGTGTCACTACCCAGAACAGCAGTGAGGTTGCACAGAGCTTTTCTTTTAGGATGTAATCTGGATAAGAGATCTGTAGTTTTTACTCCTTAAATAAAATATTTATTTTTTAATATAAAGAATTTGTGTAAAACAAAACCAAACCAAAGTCCCCAAACAAAATCCACATTTCAAAATTGCCTTCTCAGTACTATTTTAATAAGTACATCTTAATTTCCCTTTGCTGAAGAAAGGTTCAAAGTCAGGGGCAACAAATACACTTCAGAGTAATATCTTTTTCTTAGATGGCATCTGATACCGCACATTTTTCCAGAATCATGTATTTGTTGAACAAGATTTCTCTAAGAAGTCCCCTTTCCATTTGATAGCTCCATGTTCTTGCTTAATGTACCTGATTGATTCCGGCATGCTTGTATAGTCCAGTATTTCATCCATTTCTATAAGAATCACTTGAATCCCATTACGGATAAGAGCATTATACATAGCTAGTTGTTGCTCAGTGGTATCTTCTAACAGGCAGCAACCAGATGTTTCTGATCCCAAAATAATCATCAGTCTTCTGCTTTGCTTAAGGATTTCATCAGCAACACTGACCACAGCTGGAAGCAATGAAGGAACAATCAAAGTTTGCATAGAAACTTTACAAATGCTATAAATTATTTCATAATTTTTTAATTGCATATATATATGGAGCAGTAGCTAAATCAGAGGACTGGTATGTTTAAGCTCTCCACACTGTCATTTATGATTCATCATTCGGTGCCTGAAATTACTGATAAAAATGGTTTTCTTCAGTTCCCCATGAAATTACTGATAAAAATGGTTTTATTCTGCTATGTTTGAGCTCTCCACACTGTCATTTATGATTCATCATCCGTTGCATGAAATTACTGATAAAAATGGTTTTCTTCAGTTCCCAGGAGCAGATACCATTCAAAAAAACTTCAACAATGTTATTAATAATGCAGCTGAATCCTCATCTGTTCATCAATAAAAAGAAAGTGCAGACTCTCATAACAGCAGAACAGAATTTTTGGTAAGAAACCAAAAAAACTTAAACAAAAAAATTGCTCATTGGACATATTATCCATTAAAAACAAATACAGTTTTGTTTTCCAAAACCAGTCATTTTTAAATTGCATATGTAATCTTCTGAGAACAATGTGTCAAAAGACCACTTATTAAACTCTGCTAATTAAAGCATACCTTCTCCTGGTAAATCATCCCTTCCCAATATAAAGAGATTATACCCATATTGTTGTTCTAAAATATCAGGAAGTATTCTATGAACAAAGGTTTCCAACTGATAGAAACTTCTGCTTACACTGTTTTTTGCGTACAGGACATATGCATTGTAGACTTTGCCATCTAAAACAAACACAAATGTTTCTATTCAAAAAACAAACAATCAAAAAAAATCCAAAAAAAAACCCCAAACCTAAAAATCAGCAATATACCTTTATTGGAAGGTCACTCTCCGCTTCTTTATTGGAGGAGTCACTCTCCACTTCTGATTAACCACAAGAGAAAATAGCAGTTCTTTCTTGTAATAATTCTGTGGGGAAAGGCAGGTAGAAGAAAAGGCCAGAAGGCAGCGGAGGTTTCGAGAATTAAAATTGCATAATAAACAGACATTAAAAAACCAAACCAAAACCAGATTTAATTCAACAAGTTAAGTTTAGCGCAACAAGCTACAAAACGTAGCTTGTTTTTTTCTTTTTTTTCATTACAATGCTATTAAAGTGTTCTGGGAAGACTGAACTTTCAACCAGAAGCTGAAACTCCTTTTCTGTGAAAGCATTTAAAACAGCCATGGGTGAACATCAACTATATCAGTGCATGGAATTCATCTACTTTCAAGCTATAGGGAACTTCAGACAGTCTAATTCTGAGCACTGCCATGCAAAATACCTGTAATGTTGCACTTATTCCAGTGTTTTTTCACACGTGCAATATAAATATCCAACACAGCAATCAAAACGCATACAAACAATAGTAGCATTTTCTCTCTTTGGCATGTAAACATGCTCACTGGCAAGATTTAGAAGGAAAGGAGCAAGAGAGAGAAGTTGGGGGGAAAAAAAGCAAATAAACAAAAAATTAAAAACAAAGCCAGAAAAATTAATCTCTGAGAAAATAAGTCTGATTTTCAATATAATATAAAATATAATGCATATCTTTAAACAGCTAGTTTACAGGATGCAGCTCTGCTGACACCTATTGATCATCATCAGAGTGACCAGAAAACTACATATAAAGAAACTACTTTATAGGAAAGCAAAAAGCAACATGCAAATTCAGAAATAACCTGGAGTACCTTTTGACTTATCTCACCATGACTGCCCTCCACATTACACAGTGTTTATTACCTCGACTATGATTATGTATTTTACTCATATGAATGAAAAAAATCCCCCCTCCCCCCCCCAAATGTCTTTGTGCGTATCTGAAAATTCCTCAAGGAAACTGCACATACATTCTACTAAATAATCACATTGCTTAGAAGTAATGGCATGTGAAAAAGTCAGTAAGCTAGTTGCACAAACATACCTGATCACACTCACATACCTTCCTTACTTGTAAAAGCACAGATAGAACTACGGTACCAAAACACCAAGTCAATCTTGAAGATCTTGTAGATTATGAAAGTGATAAATGTTAAAATTCAGAGAGAGAGAAGGCCTCCAATCAGCCACCTCTGTATGTCAGGAGCTGCATAAACATATAAGAAGATTGGTTTTCAAATGTCAAATTTGTCCAAGTCTGATATTTCACACAAATGTACTGTAAACTTGAATAGCATTTTTTCACTTCCATTTATCTATTTTTTTTAATAATGATAAATACACTACTACAGTGACTCCTTCCCTATGCACAGGTACATACATGCGTACTGCGAACTGTAATTCATCTGTCTTCTACCAACATGATATATAAGCATCTGATATCAAAACTTCTTCTGGGGAAGTCAAGAAAAACACAGGCCTCAAGAACAAAAGCATTTCTTACCTCTGCGTTTTAATATAATATAGGATGCAACCTGCCCAAAGGCATTTGAAGTTTGGCAGACAAATGGTTGTTCATAATCTTCACTATTCACTTCCAAAATTACTACCTCCACAGAATGCACAGGGTTTCCATCATAAGAAGTTTCCTCCTTATCCAAAAGGTGAAAAAATAGAGCCATAAAACTACAGCCCTCTCTGGAATGGCTTCATCACTAACAGCTGCAGCATGACAATGGTCGTCTCCATCTGCAAATGTCAACCACACTTCAGAACAGATGAACATTACATTATAGAAAGGAAAGCCAAACAACAGTTGGGCCTCCTACTGACACAGCATTGACACTGGAAAACATCGAGATGTTAACTTATCTGGAGTGGTTGTTCCCCAAAGAATGTAAGATTTCTATAGGCTGAAGTACAAAAATATACTTTACAAACCTAAGCAAACCCTTGTTACAGGCTTCCCAGCCCCTATAAGAGTACGTGGAGAGAGAAATTCCACAGTGCGATGTGACACAGAAAAGAGGTGTCATGTTGTGGTGAGCAGTTTTGGGATAGGGAGGACATCAAAGATGGTGACCTGCAGCAGACACCAGCAACTCAGTGCTATTTCAGCTGCAGGGAGTGTCAGCTAAACTGCTGCTTCACCCCATGGATCAGAAAGGACTTGTAACAGCTACTGCCAGGCTTCCTCGTTACGAGACACCCATTATCCCCCATACACTGCACAAGGACACAGAAATGCTCATTATGCTGCACATTCACCTCATCATGTGTACCATGATCTGTGACCTTAACTTTTTAACCACCAGGAAAATGAGGGATTCCACTATCTTGTTAACAAGAGACTTCAAAAGCAAAATTAACCAACTATTTAGCCAAGCACTATATTTTCCTGAAAACATATTTTAGTTACCATTTAAAATACAAAATAAAAGCTAGAAATATATCTTAAAGGCCATATATAGAACTACACTGATCACTTTCGAAGCAAAAAGTCACAGTAATTTTAACACTAACAAGAAACAAATGAATAAATGTGAATGACTAATGGTTGCAAAGATGACTATTTAAATGTTAGGAAGTACAAAAACTAACACTGCTTTCATGGTATCAATTCAGGGACCATGTGCCTCTGTATCATCACCTAATGACATTGCAATTCTTTATGACAGTATAACATGTTTGTATAAGGTTTTCGCTTGGTGAGCACTCAGTTCAGCATTTTATTTCCCCCCTTTGTCTTATGATGAGGACTTATTTCTCACAACTATATTCTTACTTTGAAGATACCATTCTCATGTCTTCGTCAGTTTCTTGATCATACATAGTGCTCGAGAATTTACAAAAATGATCACATTTTATCTTCATAGAACAACCATGAGATGGGACCTGACAAAAAACCTACAATTTTTAGTTCCCAACCTGTCATACTTAATGCAGATTTCTTTCTGCTCCAATTTTAGTTGCTTTTTCAAATCAGGTCTAATTTCTTCTCTCCTAATTCCACTTAATCTGCTTTTCACCACCCTCAATTTATTGACCACTTGCCTTTCTCATACTTTACTCAGTCCACATCCATTTTCCTCCCAAACCCCAATTCGCCACTGGAAATCTGTTTCCCTTTTCTCCTCTCACCCCACTAAGCTTCAGTACAAATACCCTCAACAAAGTCCATTAACATTTCAGCTGCTCTCAGTTACATTTCTCTAACCCATGGTTCTTAAACCTGGAAGTCTCAATTTCTCCTGTAAAGCACAGATTTGGCCCTTTGCAATGTTTCAGAGAGGCAGATGGGAAGTGAAAGAAGGCAGAGGAAAGAGACAGTCTGAAGATCATGTGCATGGATATGCTTGATCCAACTGTAAGATGTCTCTGCTAGGCCAGAGCCTGCTCAATAGAAACTGTAATACAGTTATCAGACTATAAGTATACAGAAACCTTTACCTGAGGTTGGAAATTAAGACGGATTTTTACAATGAACAAAAAAAGCACAATCACACATGTAGGCCATGTACCTACTATGTTTCAAGTTTCTACATTAAAGCATAAAGTGAACTGAAGGAGGCAAGCATTAGAATTTTTAAAAAGAATACTATTTAAGCAAATGAAAACTGTTGTTAAATATTTTAATGTCAAAGGGAGAAAGTTCCACTTTGGTTGCCAACATGGTATTTTCTAATCTGAAAACATACTTATACGGGCTTGCAAAATTCTGTTCATAAAAAAATACATCAATATACACACCATTGCTTGTCCAAAACACCTCATACCCATCAGCACCTGTTGTATTACAATCCACTGTAACCTGTGAGCCTATAAAATTGTGTTACAAAATAAAAAGTTAATTTTCATAATCTAATTAAACTCTATACAATCCTGTTCACAGGCTCTCAGACCAACTAAGGATGCCCCCACACCCTTTCAGAAAAGTTAATCTGGCAGAAGATCTATATACTCAGTGATCTGCAGGTTCAGAAAGAGACTGGTAAGATGGAAGAGACTAAATCCAGGAAGATGCTTCTCTATGGGGCATCACTTTCCCTGCAGATTCAAAGATGGATCCATCCTTAGACTCCCTTCCAGAGAGATAGAAAGCAACAGATGTGACAGAGAATACTTGGGTTCCCTACCGTTTTCCTTGTATCTGATAAATTTCCCTAGGGCTTTGTAAACAACATGCCCTGTCCCTCTCATTCCGAAACATTCCTCCTTCAGGAGGTCAACATAGTGAAACTGAACTGATTGCTGAACTAGTTTGTGTCAAAAAAACAAGAAAACACAAAACATGGCACTCAGAGTATAAATTTTCACTAGGAATCAAAAATCATGTTTTCTTGAGAAAAAACAACTTACCAAGTTGCACTTCAATGGAGTTGTTTCTTGGGTAAGATATTTCAGGCGGCTTTTTTGGTGGGCTCACTAACCAAGAAAAACAAAGTGCTTTTCAGAAAACCCAGGGCACTTGCAGTATGCTTATAACCCAAATACAAACTAAAAAAAAAAAAAAAAAAAAAAAAAAAATCTCACCCTGTCCTGTGAACAAGGTTGTCAGCAATTTCATAACAGACATTACTCAATTATTAAAAGAATTATATCACAGAATGGTTTAGTTTGGAAGGCACCTTAAAGACCATCTAGTTCCAATCCCCCTGTCACAGGCATGGACACCTTTCACCAAACCAGGTTGCTCAAAGCCCCATCCAACCTGGGCTTGAACATTGCCAGGGACGGGGCAGCCACAGCTTCTCTGGGCAACCTGTTCAGTGCCGCATCACCCCCACAGTGAAGAGTGGAGGTGGAGAGGTGGGCGTGCCGTGGGTTCGGAGGCGATGGGTAAGAGCGGGATGGGTGCAGGGCGGTGTGTGGGCTGTAGGGTGTGCTGTGCTCTCGCCGCACCGGGGATTTCTGGTGGCAGAAAGGGAGTGCCAAATGATAAGAGCTGCTGCTGGTGTCTAGCGTTCTACATTCGAATTCCCCGCTTCCCCACTCGGAGATAGCACCGAGGGCTTCTTCGTCCTCCATCCCCTCAGTCGCACACAGGCTGGGACGGCACGGCCAGTTTTGCTCTTCCTCCTTGGAGTGTCTTCATCCCGGCATCTTTTTTTTGCTTCCCTTCTCTTTCCTCCCTTTCCAGTAGGAGATAATGGTAGCCATAGGCTGAGGGGCGTCTGGCCACTGTCCAGCTCACCCCTAGGCCAAAGGCCCAGGAAGGACTGATATGGCAAATAAAGGTGGCAGAAAGGAAAAGCAAAGCTGTGAGCACAGGTGTAAACCAGTATCTCATAGATGAGGCCCTTACTGACATGGTTAAATGGACTTGGCAGTCTTGGGGTAGAGGTGGCACTTGATGATTTTAAAGGCCGTTTCCAACCAAGTTGATTCTATGATTCTAAATCTTCCCTGTATCTCAGGTACTCAGTTACTTCTGACTTGAAGCTAAACTATTCTTCACCCCACTTCTTCCAAATCTCAACATGCTCATGGTGGACTGGCTGTTCTGTGGCATAAAAATCCTGTAAATACTGCATGCACAGGCGCTGAGGGTACAGGTAAGTATCTAGAGTATTATTCCTCTACAATCTGGATAGCCTGTGACCCAGCACCCCACCGTTACAAACTGGAGCCAAATACTTTCATAGTACAATTCATCTATTTTAGACTTCTACTAAAGGGGAAATAGCATTTCTGTACTCCAAACAATATATAAACTCTCAGTCAGCAATCCCTTCCCTCACATTTAAGTGAAAACTAGTAGCCCTAAGTATGGGTCTTCTAAGCTTTAGTTTTGAGAAACTTGGACAAAATTTTCATAAACAGTGGAATTATCTACTCACCCTCTACAGTCAGACTGACGTCTCATGAAATGTTATACTGTTGCCCATTGTAGGTATATGTTATCTCGCATGTATAGTTTCCTTGATCCTGTACAGTCACATTGAAAATTATAAGATCGCTGTTTGAGAAGGCAAACCTTTCCCCTTCCAGCAGCTGCCAGTCCTAAACACATGTAGAAAACGCTGTTATTTCATATCACTATGTCGTTCTGTGTTTTGTCTCTAACAGAAGCAGAACTTTCAGTGGATCACACCATAACGATGGATGCCTTGCAGAGGCTGATAAAGAGCAACAGCAGTGGAATCAAAAGCAAACCGTACTTCTTTTTTGGCTCTGAGTTTTTAATTCAAAGATACTCCAAGTTCATTTCCCATAGAAAACAACTTTTAATACTAGAGAAATAAGAAAGGAAAATGCAAGCATCAGGATTTCTTAAAGTATTCACTAATGAAGATTAGACTTAATTTTTTAAATGAGGCAGAAGGCTGCAGAAGGCACTACCTTCTTATAATATAAATAGCCTTTAAATAAGTGTAAACAATATGAAAAGTCATTTATTTAATGGAACAATATTGAGCACATAATGGATATGCCATCTCTCACAAACGACATTCTAAATCTGTTTACACACCAAAAAAAATCATGACAGGGTCTTTTGCTAGCAGGCCAAAAGATGCCACCTGGTGGATATGTGGTCAATGGCTTTCCCACATCAAAGCTGAATTTCTATTCCATTAAGAAAAAAACCTGTATACACCTTTAAAAGGTAAAAAGTTTTAATCTTCTTCCAGTTTGTTTTCAAAGACTTCTTCTAGTATTTGCAGTAAATCTCTTTGTTTTCTCCTACAATTCACAAACTTCAGTGATTTATAATTTAAACAATGGACAATTACAAGACAGCACAAGCCACAGCATTCTCACCTTGTACCAACAAACAGGTTGAAAATTCTTCTCATTCCTGAAATGATCCAATGTGGACCCACAACCTTCGCAGATGATAATGTAAATATCAATTCCCCTACAGCATATTTTTCATTTAAGCATAAACCATCAGTCCTCTCAAAAACTGCTACTTTTGTACACATTCTCCAGCAGCTTGTCAAGTTCCTGCAATTGATATAGCATAATTAAATTAACCTATTTGGCATATTTTCCCACTCAAAAGTATATGGTAGTCTTTTTAGAGAAGAAAGAGAAGATGAGAAGTTTAGATTCTCTTATAGACTTGTCTTTGTCTACTAGGAAAAAGAACCCAAAACTAGACTTACTTTCCCGAACATAAAGTTAGTTTTTGCGAAAACAAACTCCTTTCTCCATCAGTATTTCTTTTACCCTCAAGTTCTACTTTCTTTATAAAAGTTATTCCCTTTGCAACTCACTTCTGTAACAATGTATTTTTTTAAATCTTTCACCTTATGACACATTCATAATCTCCAGAATCTTCTAGCACTGCAGGAAGAAACCAAATTAAATTCTTCTGCTGATGAATTCTAGGTCTCTAGGTACAGCTGTCTGGTTACCAACTTTATACCATGTTAAGTTGTAATCTTCAATTCTCAAGCTCTTTTCCAGTGAACATCTAATAGCAAGAGGCTGCCCATTAAGCACAAGACTTTGCCTCAACATCACATCATAGGCTTCACATTTCTCTAAAGAGAAGAAGCAACGATTTAAGAAAACCTCAAACACTGTAAAAGGATATACTGAACTCAGTTCTTGATTACATTTACAAAGTCCATTGGAGTTTTCAACTCCATTCTAAAGCCATCTACTAAAAAATACAATTATAATCCCTTATCTTTACAGTTTAAAGTATGCCTCGGTGATATGCAGAAATAGTTATGCCACTGAAATGAAAGTTTTTTGAACATAAACGTTACACTGTGTAGAATCTTGTTTGCAGTAGACTGCTATTTTTATGTTTTAGTTCAGATGCAGATTACTGAAGCACCTGTATTTCTCCAGCCCATTTCATGCCCACATACACACATACATGCGCACACAAATTTCATATTCAAGGTCTTTGTTAATTTCACTTAACTGTAGTCAAAGTAAGCCTTCAAAACAGAGGATGCTTTCAGTACCCACATGTCCTAAATGAACACTGAAGTTAAAGCTGTTGTACAAATATTAAGTTTGCTATGGAAACTTAAACTAATCCTTCAATTTATGAGCATTTAGAGAGGAATTATTACAAGTACTTATCAATGACCTCATTTCCTTTCCTTCTAACACAAGGAGATTCATATGGGAGTACAAAAAAAGCACCAACTCTGGATACCATGGTTACAGTTCTGAGTCAGTATTGTATTTATCTACAATTTCTGGTTTGATTAGAATGTCAGAACAGCCACACAGAGTCATGTAAGTGTCTGTCTAGCCCAAAATCCTGCCTCTGATAACAACCCATAGCAAATGTGTAAGAAAAAAAGAGTAGAACACAATAAGTAGAGGAATACTTTGGTTTTGGTCACTTTCTTTTCTCTTACGTTGTGCATGAAAAACCATTCACTGCTTTTCATTATTTCTCTGGGTATCATGCATATATGATGAGAACTGGCAAAGTAAACTTTCCCTCACCTGCCTAGCTACTGGTCTCTGCTAGTGCAGGGAGGGCAGCCAATAATCACCTTTCCATATGATTACTTCACAAAAAAACAGACTATCCAATGGATTGGTGAACCCTGCAACTTATTCATCCATGGGCAAAAAACCCAAACCTTTTCCAAACAAATGGCTTGCTAGAAACTCAAGGAAGAGAAATTAATGAAGTTTTTGTTTTAGCAGTCTGGCACTACTGCAAGATTCCAGGTGGAATGACAAGATTATGACAGCAACTCATCTGAACCACCTAAAACGTTTTAAACATGAACTGAATTGTTGGTTGGCAGCTGAAGAGGAGAAACAAGCCGCTGCAACGAAGTAGCCTAGCAATTTTACAAAAATCTAGACATCATGTTATTGTCAAATAGTTATATTTTCCAGTATGAAAAAAAAATCCTAAGCACACACTCTATTAACTAGAACTCATTTCATCAGTTTATATACCCAAGAGTCATGCTGCCATTCAGGCAGACCTGACAGGCTGAAGAACTGAGCTGACAGGAAACTTACTAAGTTCAAAAGTACTGTGTCTGGTAAGGAATGACCCCAGACACCAGTACATGCTACAGATTATTCAGCTGGAAAGCAGATCTGCAGAGAACAACACTGGGGTCCTGACAGACAACAAACTGGACATGAGCCATCAACGCTCCCTCATGGCAAAAAAAGGCTAACATTGTCCTGAGCTACATTAGAACCTGCCAGCAGGTCAAGGAAGGTGATCCTTCCCTTGTACTCAGCACTGATAAATCCTTGTCTGTTGTACTTTGCCAGTGACCTCACTAGAGAAAGTCTAACACAGGGCCACAGAGATGACTGAGTGGAGCATCTCTCACACAAGAGGCTGAAAGAGCAGGGACACTGCTCAGCTCAGGGAAGGCTTAGGGAGTGTACTGGTGGATCTTACCAATGTGTGTAAATATCTGACGATAGGGAAGGAAAAACAAAGAGCCAGGCACAAACAAACACAGAAAAATTCCATCTGAACATAAGGAAACGCTTTTTTACTGTGACTGGGATCAAACAGTGGAACAAGTTGTCCAGAGATGTTGTGGAGTCTCAATTTGTGGAGATAATCAATATCTAACTGGACATGATAAAGGCACCCTGCTCTAACTGACCCTAGGCAGATCAGGGAGGTTGGATTAGATGATCTCAAGAGTTTGCTTCCAATCTGAATGAGTCTGTGATAAGACAGTACACAAAATAGCACATATTACGTTTTACAGGTTCCTGCTTTCAGGACTGTCTAAAAGAACTCACTGGCATGCACATAAATTTACTTTTACAGCCACTTTCACAGAAAACTAGTGTTACTTGTGTGAATTCAGAACAAGACCTTCTGTAGCCACCAACAAACTTACCTACAATAACTAAAAACAGAAATGCAGTTCTGATATTACACAAACCCAATGTTTTTGCTCTCATGTTTCCCTGCAGAAATGGAAAAACCTTTCCGTTAGTGGCTTCCACAATTTAAAGTCAATGTTTGCAATACACAATTAATACAGGGAACATAAGAATTATCTTTGCCTTGGTTTAAGCCTGTTACCTGCTTGTTTAACCTGACAGCTCCTAATCATTACAAGAAAAAATAATAAAGAGTGAACGTTTCCTATTCAGCTTGTCAAGTACTCAGGATTTTTTTCATCTCTAGCACACCCCTGAGCTCTTGCTCTCCCAAGCTACAGTTTTACTCTAACTGTCCCTTAGATGGAATCTATTTTCATATTTCTGACCGTCTTTGCCACCCTTTTCTCTACTGTCTCCAGTTATGCTACAGCCTGTCTGAGGTGGGGACAGGAGAACAGAACTTGCATATAGTTTTCAAAACATAAGCTCGCTACAGATCTATAAGTTAAAACAATCATTTCCCCCTCCCCCCCCCCCATAAGTTCTGACAATCATTTGTTAAGTTCTACTGAGTATTGACCTAATATTTCCACAGGCCAATGTAGTAAAACCCCAAGTTCTCATCACTGAGTGTTAAAAATCAGGTAAACGCAAACAGCTGCTAAACACAGGATTTGATTAGAAATATACACTGAGCAGCAGAGGATTGTTTGGGACTCTATTAGCAATCTTACTCCATCTGAAAAATTGAGCATTCATCTTTTACCTACTTACACATACAGGTGAGAATAAATACATTATGGCAGTCTGCCTTCATTCAGGTGCTACAGACTCTGCTGAATCAGACATGTCTCCTGCACCCAGTGTGTTCGCATACATGTGTACAACTGTAACACATTTCTAGTATTTGAGAGCCATGACATCCCTTTACAAAAGTCATTGTTGACTCCTTCCCTGCATAATTTACCTTCATTTCCACTGGTTTCATTCTTTAAAGCAGTGTCTACCCAGCTGCCTGCTCCAAATACCACTCACTTGTCTCTATTTTCCTGGTTCTCTTTTGATTACTTCGAGAGGATAAAGAACCCACTAATCACTTTCTGATCTATTGGTCCCAAAGCTGCTTTAAATGAGACATTTACAATAAGAGAACACAAAAAGTAGCCAATCGTGGTGCTTCATTACAAATCATTTTGTTCTGTAACTGCCAGTACTGACTCTTCAATTTGAGACACATCATTCCACAGAATACAAGCCATAAGAAAAGGTACTGAAATTCACACTCTTCCAAGTTGAACACAAATGCAAAATTTTTTTGTTTTCCTTGTTATGCTCATATCTTCCCATAGCCTATCCCATAGGGGTTTTTTTATCCCCAAATTGTCTATTGGCTCTCCAGACTTTTTTTAGAAAAGGATCTATCAGTTGCATGCCTCTGACAAGTTGTTCCTTCATTTGGCCTGCCTTACTGCTTTTTTTTTTCCTCCCTATTCAGCCTGCCAGTTTTTACAGCACTGTGAAAGGACAAATGCATTTATTCAAACTGAGGGATAAGCAGGAGAATCCCACCCTGTTGTGAAGAATCTTCAGCTGATCACCAATTTCTACAACAGTCAAAGACGGCACTTCCGGCTGCTGTGGCTTACTTCACCAAACTGATTCAGAAGTGTGCCATATACTGAGTCATCTACACTGCTTCTTGCAGTGCCTGCTTTCTTCCTTCTTCCCCTTCTCTTCCCTTCTCCTCTGCAAATTTCATTCAAATTACAAGGCAGGTCTTCTCTTGCCTAGCTGCAAGAAGGAATGAGTCCCTGCAGGAATGCTGAACACAAGTAGAAATACATAAACCTTTAAGTTCCCTGGAGGGGGGTTATGGGTGTTTGTACAAAAGCTCCAGCTTTCATCACTAATTGTGACAGACAGTAACACTCAAATTCTCTGGTTTTCAATTTTAAAGGAGATTAAAACATTATAATAGAAATAATTTAAAGAGAAAACAGGACTGAACAAACTCCACTTACAACTACGCATTTTCTTCATGACTTCTCTGTATCACTGTTTTTTCATTAGCTCTGTTCCATTACAGCATTACTCTAGTGTTCTGACTCACATATGCTCTCTTCAAGCAGGTTTTTTGCCCCAGCATTAGATCCAGGAGATGCAGCAGCAGTTACTTTGTCATGTTCTGAAGGAAAGTATTCCAGAAACCTACTTCTCTATAAATTCAATGTTCTTTCTATCTATTTAAACTTAGAACCTGCCCTTTTGCCAACATGGAAGACTTGCAAATATACAAAGCCCTGTGTAAAACCACACACATTAACTGTTCCTGAAGGAGGAGATTCCTTCTTGTCTGACTTTTCCTGATGAAAAAACCTCCAATTCTGCAGAAGGTAAAACCAACGGCAAAATTAGGCTCTGCTCTTTGCATGCATTCACATAACTGATGATGAAAATAACAAATATTGAGTTCAAACGTTTTTCCTACCATATTCTGCCATGTACAATGTACGAGTACATTTCTCCCTTTTCCCAGCCATTTTGTGCCACATTTTGAGAATGCAACCAACCTGCAGAGCTTTACCACTCAGGACAGAACTCAGTTGGCATTATCGTTGCCCAGATTTTCCAAAGAGGAAAAAGCTCCATGTATCATGTATCTGAGGCCATATTCATAAAGCTTCACCCTGAAAGGAAATATTTTTATCAATATAAGGTTTAATTAAAAAAAAAAAAGAGAGAGAAGACAAGTTGCTGGAAGAGATCTTCAATGATAGATGCACCTTAATTACAATTACAGCATTCATGACAGCACATAATAAAGCATAATTATTCAAAACCATCATTAAATTGGTACAGCCATCTTTTCCTGCTCTCTCTAGTGCTTTTGAAGTTGACCTGGACAATTAAAACAACATCACGAGTCTCATCAGAACTTTGAAGAATCACGCCTTTCACTGATTTCTGCACATTTGTGGCACTTGTTTTTTGAATGCCCTATTCAAAAACACATACAGATTAAAATACACAACAGTCCTGTTTTCAGAACTGAAAGAACTGACAGAAAGTTGGAGCATCACACCATTTCTTTTACATAAGCCCATGAGCATTTTAAACTACTATATATATATGTATAGATACATATATATACATTCATATTACCTTAAATACTTCTATTACCTGCAAGGTACACCGTGCCTCTTCAAGAGAGCTTAATCAAGTTTTGATCTAGGAAAAACGATGACAACAAACCCACATAGTCCTCTGTTGCCAAGGCGTACCTAACTGGTGCTGGAGAGTGGACTGGGATGCAGTTACAGCACCGGGAGTATCTTGACAGCCGTTTTCCTGCGAACCGCTGACATCCCTCACCAGTGACGGCAGGAAGTCATTTCCCAATACTCTTCGTCGAAGTTCTTCACGGGTGTCACTGGAAAGAGGCTGCAGCTCCCCAGAGTCGCAGGAACCGCTCTGCAGGGAAGGGGACGGGGGTGGAGGGAGGGTGGGATGCCGCAAGAGACCCACCAGACCACGGGACACGTCTTAACTTCGAGAACACGGCACTCCGTCGGTTTCTCTCAGAACCCGATCCGCGCCAGGCGCAGGGGAAAACGCTGACCTCTCAGAAGAGATACCACCCCACCCCTCCGCTGTGCCCTGCTCTGGGCTTCCCCGGGAGGCACCACTCGGGCTGAGACACCTCACGGACGGGCCCGCTCCCAGAGGACTCTCCGCCGCTGCCTACCTGCACGTACGTTGCCGGGGATGGGCGAAGCGGGGGAGGCCCCGCTGCTTCATTCTAGAAAGCGTGGGTAGCCGCGGAGCCGTTGTCGGCTCTCGCCCCGTTACAGCTCCCGGCTGCAAACCTCAGTGACCCTGCGGTGCAGAGAGGGGCCTTCCTCTCCTCCTCAGCCCGCCCCTCCCCGCCTCGGCGGCAGGTGCTCTAGCTCAGGCAGGCAGGCCGGTGTTAAACCTGATTAAACCCAGGCCACGGAAAACAGTGAGATTGAGCAAGAGCCACTTCGCGTTGTAAAGGCAGCGTCTCACTTCAGCTGCCAGCCCCCTACTGCCGCGGCTAGGGCTCGGCCTCCGCAACCGGGAGGAGCCGGCAACAAACCCTCCAGGTGTGGGGTGAGCGGCGTTTGTTTTGTGCTGTGGCACGGGCAGGCTTCCCTACTGGGAGAGAACGTGTCGCTGGAAGAGAATGATCCCCTCGCGTGTGTAGAGACTGTTGGCAGGAGCATCTCGGAGACGTCAGCTGGTTTATTTGCTTCTTCAACAGGCTACTTTGACAGCTTGGTCCGAGTTCCCCGGACTGCCACATGTCGCTGAGATGCTGGGCTCCGAAGCTTGAGCACACAGATTTAGTCCCACTTAGCCGTAAGGTTTTACCTAAAGTGCTGTTAAGTAGCCCTGCGTTTTTTAGAGGTTACTTACCTTATTCCAGGAACAGTATGTTAACTGTGTTCTGGTATTTCTTAGTTCTCTGTGACTCAGAGTTATTCCAAGTAGTTCTTCAAATGTTGTGTGATGAACACTGGGCTTCTTTAAGGCAGTATTGTCGCTGACTAAAATTGTTACTAAGGTAACCTCTTTTTTAGGTTGCTCCCACAGTAGGCAGCAATCAGCAAACCCTAACCTTTTAGAATTAATGAGGTAGATGGTCTCATTATTATTAAAAAAAAATCATAAGCACATTTGTTCAGCAAATTACAAGCATTCTGCTAAAACTGCGGAGAATAATCCAGGCATGTCCTGCTTCTTCCACCCTGATTTTTCATTCTCCTTCTGGTACTTCTTGCATTCCACTTTCTGGTATGATTGTATTTACCAAATGCAAGCATGCTCAATCATCCTCCCCACAGATAAGCAAAGATGAGAGATTATGTGCTGCTGTGCCTGCATATCTTGTCCTCCACTGATGCAAGGTGGAGTTCCGACTCCTCCAGCCCCTAGTACTGGCTGAAGGCAAATTATAGCTGCTTCAGACATTATGCTGTTGGGAGGAACACAGAGAGTGAATGCATTCCTGGCTCAGCAGACAGCAGGATTTGTGCAGTCAGCTAGCCTCTCTTTGATCAGCAATTATATCCATATTTCATTTTGGAAATGTTTCTTATGAACTCACTGTATTAGGTCGCATCATTTTTATGCAACATTTCTGGCTGCTGTAGTGCTGTTTTGCATCACCAACAAATATCTGTGAGTTAAATCTGATTATCATAAATGCAAGTGAGGTGTTTCCTCACCTCTTCTACTACATTCGTCTAGAAGCAGTGATTTAAATAAATATATATATATGTATATTCAGAATTCTTTCTGAGACATACATTCTAGAGGTTCCAGTGTATACGCTGATGGTTTTTTCTTCTCCTATCTTCATTATACTACTACTAATAGTGACAAAAAATGTTTTCAGTAAAAATGTTTCTGTTATAAAAGATGTTGTTAAATATTACCAAAACAAATAAGTAAAATGGGAACTATTCAGTAATTCAAATATTCAGTGATTGATGTGAATCAGAAAGGAGAAAAAAAAAACTACATTACAGTAAAACAGATTTAATCTGTTGTTATTAGCACAGGGTGGGCTCTAACACAACTCATCAGTGCCACCTCTGAAAATGATTCCAGCAAAGCAGTGGTCATGATGTGGCTTATCTTTCTGCAGCTGAGGTGCTCAAAAAAAGGCTATTACTATACAAATGAAGAGACATCTTGGAGGGGAGCTGGAGCAAGGTCTTGGGAGTAGCATTTGGTATATTACTAAATGTATTTGCTAAATAAGGTATCACTGTGAAGCCCTTTTTCCATTGGATGGTGGCATGCATCTGCTTAAATTATTTAATAAACATAACACAACCAATGAGGAAGAACATTACCTACAATAAATAATTCAATCATTTTGGCTTATGCATAGAAGGAAATCAGAGTGAGACCACTGACTTAGCTAGGGATGGGATGGAAGTTGCCTGGGATGAATTTAGACCACTGACTTTTATTCCCACAAGCCTCCTGTTTTTCTGCATCCTCCAGTAGTTTCTGCATCCTCCAGAAAGTTCCAGCTTTCAAGATGACTTGGCTTCCCCAATTTACAATATTAATAACTTTCCCTTTTCACCTATATCCATCTAATTTGGGCATATGGATGTGGCTGCACCAGCATTTTTATTTGGATCAGGATACCACTTTTAAAGCTGATCTGCTCAACCCCACCCCCCATGCTTTGTATCACCAAACAGTCCTGTAGCTGAGTGAACAGGTTCCTTTCAGATGAGGTAAAACTTGAAGACAAGCTCCAACTACTTGGGCATGCTATCAACAGTACCTGACAGCAGTTAGTCTGAAATAAATAAAGTCTCTTGAAACATGCATCCATGCCAACTGACTTAACCTGCAAAAATCAGGGCAACACTTGCCCTGATTTTTATTTTTATAGCACAAGTGACAATGACAAGCAAACGAAATTGCTACTTCTGTAAGGGAAATGATAGAATTCAGTAATCTTGTGTTTTACCTGCTCCTGATAAATCATCCTTTGTACGTGAAAAGAGACTATAATCATACCATGTCTCTAAGATATCCGGAAGCATATTTAGGGCTAACCTATGTGGTTTGTAGCCACAACCTTAGGTTTTACGTGCAATACGTATTCATCACTTCTCTTTCTCATCTGCAAACTGAGCAAGACAAATCAAAACCTAACAATTTTCAAGCCCTTTGTTGTGTATTTTCCTAACATTTCTACTTTAAGCTTCGTGCACAAGATAACTTCAATGAACACATAAATTGTTCTGTTACACTAGTGTAATTAGGGTAACTGTTGCTGCTAACTAGGGAAGTGTTCACTATTTTAGTAACTTAGTCATTTTAAGGCAATGTACACTGCAACATGGCCAGTATATCACACAAAGCAATAACCTTGTATCTGCACTTCGGTGATGTTGAGCTTCACTGCAGAGAAGCAGCATCCATCAGGAAAAGAATCTTGTATGTAAAATGAAAACAATGAAGCTGGTACCAGAAAAATGGCTCTGTTCTGAGATCACAGTGGTAAAGACATGTTTTATCATCTCAGGTACTTGAAAGTCACTCAAATACCCACAAAACATACTGAAAACAGACATCCAAGATTATGAATATTAAACGTTTTTATTGCACTAGTATACCCACGAGTAATTAACTGTGAGCAAAACTTCTTGTGGATAGGTACTCAACAGAGGTACACAGGCACTGTGCCAAACTTTTTTATAGAAAAAAAACCCAACATAGAATTGCACAATCAGTCTTTATTACACAAAAGACTGAAAAGTAGACTAATGAACTTTATATAAATTTTATATTGTTTTCCCATGCAATTATATGTGAGTTTGCATAAGTAATTCTCTCAATTCCTTTTAGTGTCATGTCAGTTAGTACAACATCCTCTCTCAAACTAAGAAGCCTTATTTCTCTAAGCAAATTACATTCCTAAATGCAATAACAATTAATTATTTAAACAAGGACAGATAGCACAAGTAAATAACTTAATTCAAAATCTGTCGTATTATTTCTCAGGAATGCAGAAAGTAACTTTGCTGGTAACAATAACATTCCTTTCACATTAAGAAATCTCTGACAACTTTCTTATTTTCCACTTCTATTTTTTGGTTGGTTTGTTTTGTTTTCTTGCATTTAAGAACAAAATCCAAATCAGAGGGTAAGAGACATAAGAGTGACATTTGCACAGGTTCTCTAGTCTGCACCTGCAAGAACAAACCAAAGCAGCTTCTCACATGGATGGACTCTGGACTGGCTCCCTGTCATCACAGGTATTTGGCTTCTACTTCTATACTTCATTAAGCTGAAGTTCATTTAACAATGAGACATTTCACTACCTATCAGGACACAACATAGGCTGGCAGCTCCCTCTCAGCCAGGGTCCTGCTTGCTGTTATTTAGTGAAGGAATAAGGGGAAAAAAAAACCAAACAAACCCAGCAGTGCTGTAGGAAAGAAATATGTAGTGCTTTTATTGAATTAAAAAAATTACCTTTCTTTAAATTGCCTTTACATAACACAGGAAAACTTTAACATCATTTGTATAAATATATCAAAAGGAACAAGTATTTTTTTTTTAAATCAGTGTTTTGGCTCAGTAAAATAACTTTCCTATCCCTAGAGGTAGGGATAACAAGTAGCAGTTTTTCATTCAGTTTATTCCAGTCAGCAAAAATAATTCAGGAGGCCCAAAGTTGCTGGAACTCTGTTGGCTGGCCTGTGTAGTGTGAGCTGTCAATGTGGAAGCATAAAGTTAGCATTATACCCTAGATCTCAGAGTACAAATACCGTACTTCTAAGGTCTAGTCTTCACATTTGATATAGGCATCTTCTTACAGGAGAGGTCTGTGAGCAAACCATACAGCTTCTGTCCTACCACGTTCTTTTATCACTGGTAACTGAAACAGGCCTTGCTCAGGTGGATCTCAGTAACTTTAGATGTACTTTCAGGCTCTTTACCTTACAACAGGCTGTCACAGAATACACACCAGACTTAAAAGCTGTGTGCAACAGCTACGTCAACGTGGCACTTCATGACCAGAACTGATCCGCCCTTGACACTCCCATCTTGACCAGAATACCCAATGAGACCAGAATACAAGCATGTGCTTGTACATACATACATGACATTCAGCAGTATAACATTCCAGTACCATGGCAGTTCGAAAGTCTCATGTTTCAAATGCTTATTTCCCCCTCCTATCCTGAAATGAAGAGATTCTTATTCCATTCTTGCCAAACACACACTCAATTCACAAAGCTCAGAAGGCACTGTCTCTCAGAAGCAGAGTTTCAAGTTTTCCAGCATACACCAAGGTAAACAAAGCACTTTAGGTGTGAGAAGAATCATTTCCACTGTTTTTTTCACTTATCAGGCAGAACATGAGGGTCACACCATCCCACATTCACTAAGCAGTTCTTCCAGGGGATGGCATCTCACACTTTCAGTCTTGTTTGGTTGATAACAGAAGCATAAGATGATAAATGCTTGAGCCATGAAGAAGAAAAGACCAACATTGCAGTGTCAAAATGAACAGACAAATTCTGAAGGACGTAGAATATGATTCTTTTTTTTTTCAGGTGAAAAAGTGGAGATATCACAGGATCAACTCAAAGAGAAAATTTCTGCCCAATACTGTATTAGCAACAGCCTTTAAGGACAGGTTGGCAAGTGATGGAGTTTGACACAATAGTTAAGTTGGTTGTTCCAAGACAAGGGAGCTGTATGGAAAAAGATAGGCCACATTAAAAGAAAAAAAAAAATCAAATCTGTTTAGAAATCAATAAATTCCCTCCCCCCCAAAAAGAACTGAAAGTACATCACGAGTTACACTCAACATGCACACTAAGTCTTAACAACTTCCTTTCCCAAACAGCTCTTTGGAAGCTGCAGCTCCAGCCCCATTTCAAGTAGCCCCAGCCAAATTCAGTACATGGTCATCTCAGATTCCTTGTATCAGGGCAGAGGGAAAGAAGAAAAACAAGCAGCTGCAGGGGGCAACACAGGGCATCTCTTCCATTTTAAAGAGTACTAAGCAACAATATAATTTTAGCTCTATTTTCTAAACACAGCTGGAGCCAAAATACACGGTCCTATCACCCCTTTTCTTCTCCCATATCACCCTGAACCCTCCAAGAACCAGATAAACTCACTAATCTGGGAGAAAACTATACCAAGGAAAAGAACAGTTTCTGCAACCATAGCTGATTCAGCCAGCTTCAGCTGTCAGAGCTGATAAATGCTGGAGCCAACTCCCTGGCTAGGAACAGGAGAGAAAACCTGCTCTCCTTCACCAAGAGCAACCTACGAGAAGTGGGTGCCATGCAGCCCCTTGATCTGGTCCTTAAGGCAGATGAAGCCAACCATCCTATACTCCAAATGAGACAAAGTCTGTATCATTAAGGTAATTGTTCCAGAACAAATATATTAAGTCATTTAACTGTGGGGGAGGGGATGAAGGGGTGTCGGTGTGAAATCCTCTAGAGAGTAGTTTTTTGACTCAATACAGCATTAAAGTGATATTTTTATGCTGCCTGCATGGGACAAGTGACTAAAAATGGTGCAGTTGTTTACAATGTCAACAAGCTCAGGGAAGAGTATACTTTGTCAGGTTCAATAGCACTTTGAAGGGGCTGGGCTTGTCTCTTACCTTTTCTCTTGGACGGTAACACACTGATGCAGTAACACAGAGGGATTTATCTTTCAGCAAATTGAATCAGACAAGTAACAAACTTCTAACAAAGAAGTTTTGTGTCCTTTCATTAAAAAAAAAATGAAAGAAAACCCATTACATAATACCATAGCTGTAATTAATAGTTCTCTTCATATTCAAACTTTAACTGTAATAAAATATAAGGTTGTTTGTTGTTTTGTTTGGTTTTTGGGGGGGGGCGGTGATAGTTTTCCTCCCCTATCATTTTTAATAACAAAAAATTTCCAGCAAATCATAGTACAATTCTTGGAAAAGGCTTCATGTGCTTCCTACATGATATCCATGTCATCTCTGTGCTACTGATGGCATTTCAAAGCATTCTGTTGTTCTGGACAGAAGAAAAACATGATTCACATCTGTAGATGAAGTTGTAGTACCTTCAATCCAAAATATCTGGATAAGATTGTCTGCACAAAACAGACAAATGTGACCTTCAATCAATCCATCACCAACTATGTGAACGGAATTAGTCATTAAGTGTCATTTTTCTTTTGTTATTTAGGGAGAATTAAAGTCTTTTGGTAACAAATGCAGTTCTGATGAAGACCCATTTTTTCTGGACGGCATGTGGTAGCGCACTTTCTTCCAGAATTTGGTACTTGCCGAGTGAGACCTTTCTGAGAAGTCCCCTTTCCATCGGATTGCCCCATGCTTTTGCTTAACATACTTGATGGATTCTGGCATGGTTGCATAATCCTGTATTTTTTCCAGTTCAATGAGAATTACTTTAATGCCATCTTGGATAAGAGCATTATACATGGCTAGATGCTTTTCAGATACATCTTCTAGAATACTGTAACAGGAGGGTTCTGGTACTAAAACAATTATCACTCTTCTGCTTTGATGGATTTTTTCATCAGCGATACTGATCACAGCTGTAGGGGAAAAGGTTGTACAAAATTAAGGGCTTATGTTTCTATTTTTTGTTACTAATATGTTGCAGTTGTTTTACTCACTGTTTGATAGGACAAGGGGAAATGGCTTTAAACTGAAAGAGGGTAGATTTAGATTAGATATTAGGAAAAAAATTCTTCACTATGAGGATGGTGAGGCACTGGCATAGGTTGCCCAAAGAAGCTGTGGCTGCCCCATCCTTAGCAGTGTTCAAGGCTAGGCTGGACAGGGCCTTGAGTAATCTGGTCTAGTGGAAGGTGGGTGCTCTTGCTCATAGCAGGGCGTTGGAACTAGATGATCTTTAAGGTAATTTCCAACCCAAACAATTCTGTGATTCTACACTATTTCAGCCAATACACTTTACCTCACAAATAGGGATAGAGTAAGAGCATGCAAGCAGTTACATTGTGTTAGCCAATAAGTAGAAATTTGGCCAATGCAACACAATCTGACCCCATCAGCATGCACTTCCATATTCTTGTTTTGCATAAACAGAGGAAAGCTATCAACGATCAACTACTTGTTTTGCTAATGTCATTTTATCATCATCACAGGTGTAATAGCAAAAAAAACAAGTTTCAAAACCATAGGCCTAGATAAAACTCATCTCCAGATGTCTAGGCTAGCCAGACACTAAAAAAACCTGGAAGAGCCAAACAATGTCAGGGGAAAGGCAAAGATAAACAGACTTCATGGAAGCACCTAGTGCTGTATTTCTCATTGTCCAGCAGAGAAAATAGGAAAATAGCTCATTTGATGGTGGTTGATTTTTAGAATCACATCTGATTGATTGTCTGTTTCTGAATTGTATTTGCAGCTGCCAATGAGAAAAAGCTTGAGTGTAACTTGTCTTCAGGTAACTTACCTTCTCCTGGTAAATCATCCCTTCCAAATATGAAGAGGTTATACCCACACTGTCTTTCTAAGACCTCTGGTAGTATCTTCAGAGCAAAAATATCTGATGAATACAAGCAGCTCTCTCTGTTTTTTGGATACACAACATAAGCATCATAGATCTTCCCATCTGAAACTAAAGAGCAAGCAACAGAAGTAATATGGGAATGGATTCTAAAGACACAAAAGCAAGCAAGCAAGCAAACAAATAAAAATCTCTAAATTCTGGGATTTCTTCCCCACTGGAATAATTGTTATAGGTCCTAATCCTGCTGTTACCTAAGCATATATTATACTAAGCCTGAAATATTTGTAGAATTAGGCCTTCTAGAATTCAGTATGCTGGATCTGAATAGGCAAAAGAGACATGTAAAATGAAGTAGGTTTTAATATTATTTTTTAACTCCAAAATTAAAAAATGTTGGGAAAGAGGAGTTCTAGTAATACAACTGAATACTTAATATTACAGCTGCCATGTAACTCAAAGGTAATTTTTGTAACCTGGAGGTTCAAAGCACAGTAACCACTTAGACATGAAAACAAAAGCCAAAGTATTTGGCAAAATTCAAGGTCTGGATGGTATTAGGTATTCTGTAACAAACTTTTCAGAGAGACCAAATTTAAAAGACTTCAAAGAAACACAACAGAACCTCAATACCTCTAGAAAATACCTTCTGTTTCTCTAGCCAGGTATCCTCTCTGAGATGTCAGGAAATTACCCACAATTTACCATAGTGTCATAGACAGCTCCCCTAGCAACATTTTTCTGAATGACAGGAATTTACAGGAAGTAAAATAATTGGAAGTGCCTTCAAATAGAAAATGAAAGGTGAAATTTGTCCTGGTTCATCTACTGAAAGTAAGAAACACTCAACAATTCCACTGTATTACTCCTTTCTGTAAGAAGAATAATTAAAAGAAATCTAAAGAACTGCTATCAGAGCACCATTCAAACCACTGAAATATGTCTTCAGAGAAAGGAATGATAGTTCTGGATTCCTGGAAAGGTGCTGATTTTTCCCCCTGAAGATTCTTTTGTTTTCTGAACTAATTCTAAGCATCCTAAAAACATGTTATCCTTTCAAAAATCCCAAGGAAGACCGATCACACTCCATGAGGTTAGCTCATTGCTTTGCAAGGGAATGTGGAGCCTGTTACAATACAGAGTACTATTACACAAACATACCTTTTTTACCCAGGAAAAGATGGCAGGAGTCCCGATACCAAAGCACAATATCAATTTTGAAGATCTTGTAGATACAAAGAGTAAAAAAAACTAAAAATACTAACGAAACTCCTCCTCCAATTAAGTAACCTTGAATGTTCCGAGCTGCAGTAGGGTGGAATGAGAAGAGAGGAAACAAACAACACACAGTTATACACTAGAAGCAGAGAGATGAAATTGTTTAGCCATTAAAATACTTTTTAAACAAGGAATTAATAAATAGGACTGGAAGTTTTTCATGTATTCCTTTCTGCAGATATTAAAAAACCCTACTATTCCATTTCAGAGAAGAGTTAACTTTAGCAATGTGACAAATGAGGCTGCCCTTCAGCTGAAACATGAAACTATTGACATATAGACCAGAGCAACAGTAGTGAGAATTCTTGTATAAAATCTTATCAGTCAGAAAGCAGGAAAGTCAAAGGTGAGAAGGTGATTTCTGACCATGCTGCTCTCCCCAGCTTTCCACTCTGTCTAGCATCTTTGAGGATCTGTCATTGAATTTACTAATTTTCTGTCCTAAAAAAAAATCACCCCCCACAAACTGCATTTTTCAGTTCATGCATATTAAATGATTTGTGAGGTTAAATCCTACCCTGACAATCTTTATGAAGAACTTAGTTATGTGACAAGCTAAAGCTCAGATTCACTTTTCAGTCAGTTGTTTACAATGTGGCCAGTCAGAGGCAAGTTTGAGAATAACTTCTGTCAAAGGATTGGCTCACAGCTGACAAAACCAGCTCAACTGAAGCTCAATAGACCAGAGGCTATTTTTCTTCAGCCCTGCATTTGAGTTTTCAAAGCCTGATTTACCTTTAAGTTCATCTACTAAAAAGAAAACGTCCTGCTAGCTACCAATAGGTCAAACTTATCCTTGTCTCTGAGCACAAGACTGGGCACAACACACATTCTAAAACAAGTGGCAGGATGCTCGCAATCAACATGCATGAGCCTATCTAGAAAGCGGTAACACAGCACATGCATCAGTTATGAAAAGTCCATATCCTTTCCAAGCAATCTATTTCATTCCTTCATTATTATTATTACTGTTAGAGTTTCTCCTACTACATAAGTAGATTTAGGTTTTTTTCCTCTCCTTCCTCCTGGCGATCTGAAGCCTAGTATTACTGAAGGATAGCACAACCAGGTCCAAATATACATGCATGGCCTTTTGACAGTCCACACTTAGTCTTTTCTCCCTTCCCAGCTTTTCAGGGAACTGGCCATTTTCACTGCTTTTCTAGAAACACAGTCTCCTCCAAATCACATGCTACTCTAAGTACAAGCGTGTAAAATGAAGCACAGTACTCCACTGAGGTCCAATACTAGCTTCAAATAAATTGGACTGTTTCAATAATGTTTCCTAAAACACTGAATGAGAAAAGGCAAAACAAATTAAAAGTGCTGTTTTCTTTAATTTTGCTAATAATACAACAAAAATTTCACTAAGAAAGGTATTGAGCTGCACTGCCCACTTTGTACCACAGTACATCATGCAGTTTTAGTTCTAAGTAGGGTGTTGTCAAACCGAGATCAATCTGATAACCATATTATCAAGATTATATCTCTTACCTGGGCTTTCCAATTTGACGTAGGCTGTAAATTGTTGAGAACCATATATGAAGTGACAGAAAAATTTATGTGCATAATCCTTTACTTTCACTTCTGATATGTTAAATTTTGTTCCAGATACAACAAGTCCATGAGGCATCCCCTCTCTGTCATTAAAAAATGGTAAAAAGTAAACATCTGTAGAGAAACTGAAATATCATTGGTTAATATGTGAAAGATTCATCTATCCACTATTAAAAAAAACATTCATTTTTTATCTCTATAAACCTAAGAAGCCACTGAAGTACAGTAAATATCACCCCTGTAACAACCAACTTCATGATCAGAGGTGCCTTGGCATTTTCCATACATATTAGGTTTCTGGCCTTGATTGCTGAGTGGGACAGACTGTATCATTAGCAGTTATGCAGATGATACAAAACTCAGAGGGATAGCTGATACACCCCAGGGTCATGCTGCCATCCAGAGGGACCTTCACAGGTGG